AAAAAATGTCTACCCAATCACGTATTTTTAGTTTAATTTTTTTCGCGCAATCACCTTTATTTTTGCGATGAGTTTACAATAATCCGAAAAATTCACGATCTGTAAAATTTCCGCATTTCAAAACAGGAATAAATTTACTCCTATTATTTGAACCAAATTGGTATCGAATGACTGTTGTTAACTTGGATAGCAATTTACTCACTGGATAACTGGTACTATATAACAATTGAACCATTACACAACCTATTCAAACCAATGTCCGCCAAAAGAAAACCATTTGCTACACATAATATACGCATTTGGATATTTCCAATTGATCGATGCACAAACCACTTTTTGGAAAAACCAAATACCTTACTTATGATTTGTCACATTTATCGAAGTTCGAAGTGCATAGAAGAGTACGATAAAATATCACTGAATAACGCACAAAACACACACATAATGTCGCACACATTTTAAACAACAAATATTTCAAAATTAAGCAATGAATCAATATGACGACCGCTGTTTGCTTTCTTTTGAAATGGATTGGAAATGTTTTCGGCGCAATTTTGTGTATTTAAAGGTAAGATTCACTACTTTCTAAACTGTTTATATAAAACGAGCACAAACATACTAACCAAATGGCAATCTAGTGTGATCCACACCATTGGCGTCATCAGCACTTAGCAAATTGCATATTCGCATACATGGATGAACGGACACGCACACACAAAGAAAATAAAAACCAAAAAAAAAAAAGATTGCCCAACACCTTATATTGCAACGTAAACAGTACGACATGCATTTTCGTCTTTGTTATTATGAATGAAAGACATCAATGAAATTTCCTGACATTGTCATTTAAAATGGTGCCTCAACATGTGCCATATATCTAATTTCAATTTCAAGAATTGATGCAAAAACCGAACGAATCTTAATCATCGTTCCAAAGGCTCGAAAATGTCGTAATTGAATCAATATCTTAATTATTTGACATTACACAATTTGTGAATGAACTGATTGAATTACAGTGCGATATACAAAAAAAACCAGCAACGTATTGAATAAAAAACATTCGCTGAAACGACGGATTAAATTCAATCAGTACACATTTACTCATATTACCTATCCAAAAATTATGAATTTTAACTTATTAATTTATGTGTTTCTTTGTTCATGTGGACTGTTCGAGCATTGCGTTTATTACCATGCAATGGAAGTTATTTCGATATTGGGTTTGTGTCGAGCGTAGCAAATAACGTTAGAAATTAATGAGCTACCTTCAAATAAAAAAAAAAAAAACAATATACAAACAAAATCTGCAGAAAAGCAAACGACACTGACGACAACATGTGTGACAAGAGTGTTATGGTATCGATCGGCGCTTTGTAACAATCATTGTCATGTCGCGAAATATATTCATGAAGTGCTTGAAAACCTGAAGAGAAAAAAACACACACTTTTATTGGATTCGAAGTCAATGCATGAGATTGTGTCTTTTTTTGCTAGCGTTCAGCAGGCCAATGTAGCCGTTACCGGTCAAAACTACTGAGTCAATAATAAAACGATACCAATAGTGAATGCACATGAACGCTTCATAGCTTATATATATATATATGTGTCAACAAACTACGTTTATTTAACTTCATGTCTCGAAATGACCTTCTTCTATCTCTAATCTATAGCAATCGAAATTGGTTATATGAACCAACTAATCTTATCATGTGAGATAAGCCGTTTGGAATATTCATTTTATATCATTTTATTTTACATATCCAGACCCTGTAAAGTTTCTTTGAACTGTTGGAAATACGATGAGAAAAAAAACCACCATCAATTTTACACGCGCACATACGCTTGCTATGAATGAATTCACGGTGACAACGCTAAGATCCGTTTTGGTGGTACGTATATTGTTTTTCCACCAAACTGGATTTTCGCTTTAATAAACACTGAGGAAATGCCAGAATGACACATTTTGTAAATGATTTAAAATCGCCAAAACGCTAAACACCGCTTATGTGATCATAACTGAACGTATCGAACTTTAATTGAGCGAATGAGGTCTTTCAAAATAGGAAAATAAATTAGATAGTGTTTTTTTGTCATCATTGATTTATCCAACGATTTTCGAAATGAATTCGGCCATCAACCGGAAAATATTCCGGATTTTATGAAAATATTATGTCTTTTTTTTTTGCTATTGAGAATATGATAAAGGAAGAATTCATTTCCGCAATAGATTTTGACCAACAAAAAAATAACACCTTTTGTTTTCATTGAGCTCGGATGATCTTTCTCTTTTCTGTGCTGTGGATTCAAATTTCCTGTATACCTTTTTTTGTTGTAGAATTTTAAATCTTAGACCATTTCTTGTTGAGCAAAAGTTTGTTTATCTCTTGTTTATTGTTATCCAGCTTTTTAGTATAACGACAATTCCATATGAAATAGATCAAAATCTGGAAGCATGGTCAAATTTTGTGCTCAAATTGTTTATATATGTTGGCCCTCATGAGAAACTAAGATTTCCAAAATTTAGGACCCAAATTTTCACAAAGTCGTAAAAAATCAAGGAATCAATTTTCGAAAAAATGGTCAAAAATCGAAAAAATTGCAATTTTTTTTCTTCAATTACCTTTCCAACGATATACATATGTCCGGGTATTTAAATAAAAGTTTAAAAATGAAATTGAATTGAAAAATGCAATTTATTCGATTTTTTACCATTTTTTCGAAAATTGATTCCTTGATTTTTTACGACTTTGTGAAAAGTTGGGTCCCAAATTTTGGCTATCTTAGTTTCTCATGAGGGCCAACATATATACAAAATTTGAGCACAAAATTTTACCATGCTTTCAGAATTTGATCGATTTCATATGGAATTGTCGATAACATTTATTTGAGAGTTATTTTCGTTCATGGAAACAGAATGTTACGCTTTCAAAACAAATAACAACAACACCTTAGAACTATTTATAAATTGATCGATGAAAGCGAATAAAAACCTGGATAGTCTTTTAAGATGTGAAATAAATAGAAACAAATAACACTATGCCATAACGATCAGCGAATCGTAATCTCATAAATATTATCAAAATATTTATAAAACCCCCCAAAATAAACATCTATTATTGCAAATTTGTTGTGTTTTTTCAATTCTACGGCAACATTGACGTTATTTGATGCAAAATATATCTCTTACATTACAAATTTGCGTAAATGGACGACAAAACTTGATTTTTCTGGAAAATTTTGAAAATATCTTAAACTGAAGCGTATCAAATAATGGTGAGGCAGCGAATGGTCTTAGCACACATTTTTATATCCGTAATATCGAAAGCGAATCGTGAAACATATTTTGATTTGTAAATTAGCATTCATCATCGAAATTAATGAAAACAACAAAAAATTAGCGTTGACAAGCAAAAATAATTTCGTACGTCATCTTGTTCTCGTTAGAATTTTATTTAGACTCACGATGTATTCAATTACTTTCACGTGTTCATTTCGATGAACTCATAAAAATAACTTCGATGAATAACATTTACGTATACATAAGAATTTCCATAAAAATTACTTTCTTTTTTTTTTTTGTCAAAAGGAAACTGCTTCCATGTGACAAAATTATTATGGTTTTTTTTTGCCGAATATTGTGAACTTGACATTTATTCTAGAATATATGTTTGTGTGTTTGCGTATAAAAAAAAAAACAAAATTGTATAACCGTGACTGAATTTATGAAAAACGAATTGTTTTAAATTGAATACGATATTTCCCGTTTGCACAAGTACACAATTTACTACATGAAGCCCATTTATTTTCTTGGAAAATGAAAAATGATGATAAGAAATGCACAAACCTCTCGATGCAGTTTCTGCATTAGAAAAACAACTAAATGTCATTCAACTGTTACCATCAAATATAATGGCTTAAAAATACAATCGAAATGCACAAAATGTGTAAATGTGTAGAAAAAACAAAACATTAAACAGTTGTTTGTCAATGTGCAATATTTCATTTGAGAAGAAAATGGTGAAATGGTTTGTGAGTGATTCAAGCAATATATGTTGTTATGTCGTTTAATTTGTAGTGGGTTCGTTGTCTATTTGATTTCGGAAATCTTTTAATCCTCTCATTCGCCCTCTTCCATATAACGAAAATAGATAACAAAATTGGTAAGAACAGCGTGACTCAGGTTCACCGTCGAACCAAATCGAAATTATTTTAATGACATTTGAAAATAGACTATCGTAAAAAGTTGAATAATTTAAAAAAAAATATAGATAGATGTGACAAAGTCACTTTGACGATGCCGAAAATGCAAAAAATGTCATGTGTTTTATGCCAAAAGTAAATGTTCACATTTGTGTTCAATTGAAATACTATGGAATTGATTTTGACTTTGTTGAATTCTTTTTCTAATTAAATGTGAATGAAGCGAATGTATTGTATTAGAACATTGGCATTTGCGCTCATTGCCCTTCACAATCCCTTGCTGATGTCAACACAGTCTCTCTGCATTCTTTGCTTTGTCATTTGTTTGATAAACTCAGCATCAAATGGTGGCACCTTTACAATATATCGATAGAATAAGCATCAACGGAGAGAAAGACGACGACAGATAGAGGGACGAGGGATAGAGAGAGAAAGAAAATCTCATGTATCGTCGTCATTCATTTGTGTTTATCGTTTTGTTGTATCGACACAAAGATTATCATTGAAACGATTGAATAAGAAGAGGAAATAGTTGAGCGCCCATTGTGCGCTTTCAACGAAAGTGATTCGGCGTAACATGTAGATGTGCAATCAAATCAGTAGTACCAAAAGACGACGACATATTCTCTCAAAGCCCAATACCCCACCTTGTGTGGTTCGGGTGTGAGTGTGTGACCATCACGCGTATCACACACGAATATATCTCGGATACACATTGAATCCCATTGTAAATGAGCAAAGATATGAGGCAGCAGCACTAGTGGCAAGGTCAGCACAAAGCTCATGTTATACAAAAAAGTTCGATTTCAAATTTAGTTGATTATTAAAATTGGCGAAATTCAGTCGCAAATTAGCACGTTATCATGATTTTCTAAAAATCAAAGCAAAAGCAAAAGCAAAAAACATAACAACAAATCGTTCGCTTTTTGGTTACTTTGATAAAAAAAACAGCAACAAAATAGAAATTATATTGATATCCGATAAAAGAAAATAACAAATATAGTTTTACCAATTGTGTGAATATAACAGCAAAATCATTTGATAAATAAAAAGTGTGAGCAAAAAATAAATAATTCCAAAGTTTTGTGCAGTTTTTGAATCAATTGGTGAAAAGTTTATTATTTTTTTTTGTTTAACAAGTTTTAAAAAGGTTTGAATCATCATTTGTTTTGTTTTCTTCATTTTTTTCTAACAATTTCCTGGCATCATTACGGAAGCTGTGTTGAACATTTTTAAATCATTTTTTTTTTCGTGGGATATAATTTGATTGTTCTTTAAAACGAAAAAAAAGAGAAGAATTTAAATTGCCACCGGTAGTCGATTAGAAAATAAAAGGAGTGTGCTTCGTATGTAATTATGATTTGAATGAAATGTAAATGGATTCGGTAACGATCTGATTGAAATTGTCATGATGACGATGCGTTTAATATACAAAATACGATTCTCTTTAAGAGTATATCAAAGGTGAACGTTTTAATGGCGCAAATTAATATGATAACACGTTGTTTCTGTCAATTGTAATCGTATCTCATTTGTTTATCGGTTATTTGCTCGGTGAGCGAGCGTGTTAAATTGATTATAAGATAATTGGATCGAGTTGAATGGTGTTTTGTCGTTGATTTTTTCATAATTTTTTGCCACATTTCATGTTGCACCAATTCAAATTGATGATTACGAAATGCATACATATGTGCGTGTGGAATTTGATTGTGGTTGTTTGACAACGATGACAATGATAATGATAATTTATACGTCTGCAGTCTGTCGTACACATAAGAGCACCTATTCATCTCCAACCGCTCCGGTTCCTTGTTCATTAAAGTATTAAAAATCATACCTAAGCACCAAAAGCCAAACACACATAATGAGTGAGTGCAGGGCGTTTAAATCTCTCGTGGTAGTTTTATTGTTTTTACCTCACACATTAGATAATTGAAATCTCTGTACAGACAGACAACATGCGAAACATATAAGTAGAGTATTTCATAACTAATTCTCATAATATTTTTCTTGAGATTTTTAAACATTAATTTCTATAGCTCACATGTGAAATGTGAAAAGTGTGTTTGGTTGCTTGAGTCTGGCGCGCGCGCATGTACTTGCGCTCAGTTTGTTGGCTCACACACACATGTGTGTGTGGCGGTGTGGCACATGTGAGTGTGAATTTATGGGTCGCGGTGTACGGATATTAATATTGTTATTACTTATTAGTCTTATGATTATTACTATTATTTTGGGTGTATTTGTGTACAAAATACAAAACCAAGTGCCTTCATCATCAGCGCGCATTGATCAATGCATGAACAGAGCAAATCGTGTCGAAAACCTTGAATAGTTTGTTTTTTTTTTTTCTTTCTTTCTTCAAAGATTTATTCAGAGCCATTATTTCGTTATACATTTTATTTGATTGTATATATATTCGCATCGTTATTTAAATAGTAACGTGTATGATAATATTTGGTTTTTCCACATAACTATGTCGAATATTGTTCACCTTATATCAAATTTAACGTATGCTAAACGGTTTTTGCATTCCACATCATCCCTGTTGTGTTTTAAATGACGGCTATTTAAAAAAAAAAGTACACAACCATGAATCACATGCACAACACTGTTGTGTGATGATGCTTTCACGCACATGCTTTTGTGCATTTTATCGGTATTGTGAGACCAATCGGCGTTGATGTGTGGATGTGTGGAACCAACAATAATTGATCAAAGCATTGTTTAACCATAATAATATGCGCACAATTTGCTTTTTTCTGTTTCTCGTTTGCATTGCATCAATCATTTAATCCTTCAATCGGATCAGAAATGGTTTAGCATCAATTTCGTTTCTCTATTTAAGTTTTTGCGTTGCCGCATATCAAATTGCATTTTCATTTTGGCCTTTGCTTGAATTCAATGTGATCGCGCACGTGCTCAATTTTTCACATAGCACTTTACATTTATGCATGAAATTTTTGTTTTTTTTTTTTAATTTTAATTGTGATTGAACAACGTAATAACAACTTAAACTTGATCAATTACTCACCGAATAAATTCCAACGTTTTTGGGGTTTCTTTATTTGGTTTGTTTTCCTTTTATTTCTCGATCTTTCCATCGGTCTCGCTCTCTCTCTCTCTCTCTCTCTCTCTCTGCATAGAGGAGCATTTGAGAATTGCGTTACAACCACAACTAAATGTGTTTCGTTTTTTCACTTTTGTGAAATAATATTCAATACATGAACAAATTTGGGCAAAATTCATATGGAAATCGAAACCGATCAAGATAGAGAGAAAGAGAGTTTGAAGATTGAAATGAAAGAAGAAGGCAGAAAAAAACTGGTTAAATTTCATTAACATTACTCAAGATCCCGAATAACAAACCAGAAAATTATGCAGCTGTAATAGCAATGGCAACAACAACAGCAATCGAAACACAAAAAAATGCTTATGGTAGTAGTCATCGTAGACATTGTGGAAATGCTCATAACGCGCTACTAATCGGCCTTTTATGTATACATCAAATAAAAAATGAAGCGTGTTTGTTTCTAATAAAAATGTTTATTCCACGCTCAATTTGCTTTTTTGGTTTCTTCTTGGAAAGAGATTGAGAGAAAAGGGCATCCAATAAGCGATATTACACCAATTTAATGAATGTGGCGTAATATTCGCGCCACAATCACATTAACCACAGCTTCCAATAAAAATGGCATATTCGCTCAATGGTTTATTTATTTCTTCTCTTTAAAAACCGAAATGCCAGCCATTTCGTTTAAAATTTGCGTAAACGCTCATCATTATTATTATTATTGTCTGTGTGTTTTATCTCTGTTGGTTGATTTCTTCTCGCTGAAGATCAAACGCAAGAAATTCGTTCCGATTCACACGTACGCATATTCAACGAGGAGCGACCAGCGCTCTATTAAACACGAGCTACAAATTACGGAAATTCAAATTCAATAAAAATGCGAACATAATTGTTATCCATACACACAGTTAAATAAACCGGGGTTTTATCTGATGACCACGACTTCGATGGGCCGATAATATACGGTCAATTTGAATTGATACACACATATATATAAACCTGCACACATAACAACACTTCAAAGATTCAGATGTAAACGAAGGAAAAGAAACATAAACTATAAGACCTAACGAACCATTATTCATTTAAAATATTTTTATCGCATATAAATGTGTAATCGAAAATCGCGCGTGCTGTGATTTCTTTTGTGGTATCATATCAACACACTTTTTTGTGGATTCAAGCATGGCCGGCTTCAAAATCTGCATGATAAAGACTCTTTGAGAGAGAGAGAGGGAAATTAAAAAAAAAATCAAATTAAAACAGAAAGAAATTAGACACTGATGTGTCTTTCTCTGTAATTTGCATAAAAAATGAGCCATATTGAAATCTAGCGAAAAAGAGCACAACATAAGCACTACATATAAATCAATCATTTCATATTCAAGCAAAATCCGTAGAATTATTTGTTGGGCGATCGTTAGCTGGACCGACAGAAACAACTCAACGAAGACATTCTGTCAATTTGTTATGTTTTCGCAATCGGATGTTGTTGGTTTTGTTGTTGTGCGAAGCAAGAGCGCGTGTTCATGAATAATCCGTCACACCAAGAATCAATCGAGATTTCGGCGACAAAAGTCTGTTTGTTCACATTTGGACAAATTGTTGTTGCTATGAAGATCTGTTGCAATCAGATATCGAAAAATAGCTTAACGTTTTCGTTTTATCGTTTCGCAACTGTCTTTGCCTCATTTCTCATCAAATATTCAGATTCATATCGACACATCCACATGTGTGCGTGTGTATATCTTGGAAAAAAGCCTCGATCAGCATCTGTGAGAGTTTTTGATAGGAATGACCGTAAACTGGAAAATAAATACATAATATATTGTAAATCGAAATACAAAAAGAAACAACGAAACACTATGAAAAGTTGCAAATCATAATGATTAAGAAAAGATGAACCAAAAAACTTGATTTCGTTAGAACGGAAGGTTCGTCGTCCGCTCGATTATTGTGTGTGAGGGACATTTTTTCCAACTTTTTCACTCATTTTATTAATTCTCACCGCTTAAATTTCTCGTTTCTTATCCGAAATGTGGTTTTAAATTCGTCGTTTTCTTTATTTTGCGAGTATTATATTGGCTGTGTGTCTTTTTTTTATTTTGTAAATTTCTAAGTGTGTTATTTCTTTGCAGATTCTCGGTGTGTATTCTTCTTCATTGTATCCGGTTTGCAGACGCGGAGCCTGTGCTATAGTGCCGTTTATTGTGACCTGTTCAATTCATTAGCGTGAAGTGAACTCGAGCAATCGCATCAAATCGATCGACTTCAGGCCGACCAATATTGTACTCTGTGAATTTTTTTTATTGAATTAATTTCTCGTCGTCTTTAAGTTAATAAAATTACAAAAAATGTCACTCTACGATAACAAATTTATGGAATATTACAACTACATATTCACTGATTTGGCAGGTAATTAAATTTTATGACATTATTTTTCATTTTTCACAAAAAAAAATCACGAAAGGAAATGACCATTTTCCTTGACGTTTGCGAATATTGTCGTCTGTGTGTTGTTTCATTTTTGTCGTTATAATTTGTTACTGGTCATTAAACTTCGATCGTTGCACATCACGTTTTCGATTAAGATCGAGAGAAATATACTTACAGAGAGACAGCGAGAAAAGAGAATAAAAATAACAGTTTGCGACCAGGAACCAGACGCTATAATTGTAACCTTTATTATAATTACCATTGATTTCGCTCAATCTAGATCCACGGACTAATAATTGGCCACTAATTTCATCACCTCTGCCCGGCATCAGCATCTTAGCCGCCTATTTATATTTTGTACTATCATGGGGACCAAAATACATGGCCAATCGAAAACCATACAAATTGGAACGAACCCTTATTGTATACAATATTATTCAAGTCATTGTTAGCACATACATTTTCTATGAGGTAATTAGATATGAATTTAAAGTGTTTTTTTCAAGAATTTTTTTCGTTTCGGTTGAATTTTCGGAATTTTGTTATGCGCTCATTCGTTACGCCGTACAATATATATTCTAATTGAGAAAATTTCAAGATCATTTACGGTTTATTACATTTTTACAGGGCGCATTCAATGGATGGTTTGCTCATTACAATTGGAAATGTCAACCAGTTAATACATCTCCCGGACCGGACGGCATGCGGGTATGTGTTCATTTTATTTGTAAAATTTTTGTCAGAGAGGAGAGAGAGAGGCAGAGAAACAATAAACCGTATTTTTCATCACACAATTCATTAATATTCAGAGCATATTATCAATATGTAATTTATTGGTTTGGATTTTTAACGCGAGAAATATATATATACATTTGAATTGATCTCGAACAAGTTTCGACGATTTCTCACTGAATCCATGCGCGACGGATAATCTGCGACGACATGGTAACATTTTGTCAAGCAAACAGACGAAAATAAATTTCGATTGATATCCAGACGTTTTTTGTAATTTCCCAACACAAATAATAATAATAACAATAATGCGAAATTCTGTTTTGCTTCAATCGATGTGGTTTTTTACACGCTTGAATTTCAAATTATGTGATAATATGCTCAAGAATAAACATCTCTTTTATAATATTAGGACCTCACTGTTATTGTTGAATTTTAATCGTTTTGCTGCAGAACATCTCACTTATATTAATCAATTATGGTGGTCTTCCTTCATTTAATCGAAAACGAAAATTTAAATTCCCCATTCACAGGAAGCACGTGGAGTTTATTTATATTTCTTGGCGAAAATTTCCGAACTTTTGGACACTGTATTCTTTGTGTTGCGTAAAAAAGAGCGGCAAATCTCATTTTTGCATTTGTATCATCACACAGTAATGCCAATGGTAACTATATATTTACTTTGTCACTTTTGTGCATTCATTTACTAATCGAACGGGTTTTTTGTTGTTGTAGATCTCATGGGGTGCTACAAAATATTATCCAGGCGGACATGGAACATTCATTGGTAAGTACACATGGGAAAATAAATTCGGGTTTTTTTTTGCAATCAATTTAAATCGAAATTTTATTTCGGGATTCAAATAAAGACAAAAAAGAATGATCGTAATGTATAAGCCAAAAAAGCTAATGTCAAAAGCTCAAAACTCGTTTCTAGCTCGATTAACGATCATAATGTGAGACGACATATAGAATTCGAGATAGAAACATAGAATTTGGCTTATGAAATGAATATGTATATCGCGTTGTATTTTTTTATATATGGAATGAATTGTATCATTAAATATGGCCTATAATCATTGAAACAGGAACAATCAACTCATTTGTACATATTATTATGTATGCCTACTACTTGCTGTCAGCACTCGGACCACAAGTACAAAAATACCTTTGGTGGAAGAAGCACATTACAAACATGCAAATGGTGAGTTACATAAAAAGAAAACAAACCATTTATGTAGAAAATTTTACGATCGAGAAAAAATAACTTTATTGACTGTGGCACAAAACATTTCTATGACGTACATTGTACGAAAATGGTTATTTTGATGAGCCCACTCAATGTGTGACTTTGGATTTGGTTATGCTATTTATTCAAATTTTCCCATTATAAATATAGATTCAATTCTGTATGGCGTTCTTGCATTCATCACAACTGATCTGGAATGATTGTGGCTACCCAAGATGGTCTGTCTGCTTCACAATGCCGAATGCAATCTTCTTCTATTTCTTGTTCAACAATTTCTACCAAAAATCGTACACAGGAGACGAATCGGTCAAAAGCGAAAAGACCAAACAAAAAGCTCTGAACGATAACAACAACAACAACGACAGCAACAACAATGAAAACAGCAAAAATAAAGACTTGAATAAAAAACAAAATTAAGTAGTAACTAGTAGATCGAACAACAAATAAAGAGAAACAAGAACTTTGTTGTTGTTTTAATTTAACAAAAAAAAGAAAGAAAAAAAACGAATGAAAAAAAGACAAATTATTTATAACGTGGACTGTTTTAACTTCACATACAAATAAGATTCGATTTGCGACAAAATGTTCTTTTTGTATTTGTCAGTACAAGAAGTATATTTTTTTCTTTTACTTATAAGTAGGATAGATATATATGTCTCTGAAAATGGATATTCGCCGTAGGGATAATATTCAAGTTCATGCAAGCATAGATTGTATTGGCATAATCAAGTATATTGGTGTAATTGATTAAGCATAAGCATAGATGAAATAGGCTACAAATGAAGAAAAAAAAATGATGCAATTTTAAAGAGAAAACAAATTCCATTGTATTGATTGTCAGTAGTATTAAATTCATTTCAAATGCTCATGTAGTGTGGAATCACCGATGATCGTCCTTTGACTGCTTAGTATTCATTACGTGCAATTTCACACAGACACAAACACACACCATTTTCAATCACGAAGAAAATACAATAAGAGAAACTACTCTCAATCAGAGTATGTGTCGGTGAATCTATGATATATGTGAATATAAAAAAAATCCCTTTTTTACATGTTTTTTTTTTTATTGGAATAAAATAGTCTTTAATAACAAAGTAATATAATGACATCGATGATGTAACTGAGATTCAATTTCCATTAGAGATATATTTGCAACATAAATATTTACTACAAACAAATATTGCATAGCCAATAATAGTTATATTCTAGTATGTCAGAACGAATATATTCAAAATAAATACACATACAATGATTGTGTTCGTTATTATAAAAATATAAACTAATTAGAGTGTCATCTCTGGTGTTTTTTTTTTTGTTGTCATTTCATTTCCAACGATAAATTCACATCAACGAGATATGATGTTGTAATTTATATTCAGATATCGGTAAAGTGTTGAAATCCAAATGTGTATGTATGATAAAAATGTATCCATCTGGATTGATGTGTGTACGACGGTAGTGTATTGACACAATTTATTTTACCGCGATCAAAGTTATTTAGAACGGATTGTTTGACTTTCAATCACACTTTATAGTTTGTCTGCGGTCATCAGTTTCATTTTATTGTTGTTGTTGTTGGAGTGGATTTTAAAATTTACATTTTAATTAACACCTTTTTTGAAAAAGAGCAAACGATAGATAGATTTGTTTAAAAGAATAAAACTGAATTCCTTAGCTCGTCGATTATTTCATGCGCCAAACCGAATGATGTAACAAGTAATTTATTTATTGTTGAAATAAATCTGCAAAAATTAATAGAAATCTCACGTTCGGTGATATTTACTCTTGCTGTTCAAGCACCATTGGTTTATGTTTCAAATTATACGTCATTTTAAAAGTGGCACAAATAAACACTCGCGATGATAAGTGATTTGATTCGCCTTTAATGCTCATCATCCGGTTTTCATCGATTGGAAACCAAAAGTGATCTCTTAACATGTAGATTCTTTTTTGTGTGTGACGTTTTTCGGGTATATAACGTTTGTTTTTTATTTAACTACTTCTGTTTCTCAGTATGTTGTAATAAGATTTGTATTATGCATTTTTGCTTGGAATCACTCAAAATGTATATTAATTGAAGTTATGTGTGAGAGCGAACATTTGATTTTTCAGTCAACTTCAAAAGACGATTAAGAATTTTGAGCTAAGATGATTATTTTCTGACTGGTTGATTGGGTTTTGTTTTCTTAATCCATGTTTTGTAAACACCAGATCTTAAACGAAAAAAAGAATCCATATTTCCCATTCGACACCATGAATTTTGTATAGTGTTGTTAAAGAGCATCATGCTTGCATAGTAAAAAATGCAGATTCCAAAAAAATCACTCTGTCAAAAAAATCTTCATACAAATGTGGAAAAACATTAACCAATTAATAATCATTAAACACTAATCATTTATAAGGATTTGACGAAATATGTCATTAATATTTGCAATTGTGTTTGAACAATGTATTCGAACGAAAAATGCAGCGAGGCAACAATTTGAATTCATTTGACTTCAATTTTTTCATAAAAATTCTCTGTTTGATCTTTGATTTGGTTATGATTCTTATTATTCCAGGTCAAATATTGCGATTTGATTACTGATTTCATTTGATGGAAAATCTACGAATTCATTATCTTGTATCATAAAAATATAACGGAATTGAAAAAAATTGATCAAAAATAATTTTTCAGATAAAAGTGTTATCCGAGGTGATTTGATTGTACTTTATCCAAAGTTGGATGGCTTTAAACGCATTCATGCTTAGTTTACATGTTGCTTCACAAGCTGTCACTCGAACTGTCATTTGACGTTTCATGCAGAGAACAAATGAACAAAAAATAACACACAACGCACTGGTTACAACGCGATTTGTCTTCGTTTGTATATTGTATATACAAAAAAAAAAAAAAAGAAATACACGAAACTATGGCAAAACAACCAATTTTAAAGGAATTGGAATATTTTGTGAACGGTGCAACGACGGCTACATCAATCAGCCCATCTGGATTATCACATTTAGTGCATTGTGGCTTAAATTTACTGCAAAATTTGCCGGCATCAAAAGATGCTGTCTTCGAATACTTTACAATATTTTTCGATGCATCGGTTGCCGGCTATGTGAAATTGATAGAGGTTAGTTAGAATAGCAACCGAAAATCTTCGGATCGATTAAACAGTCGATTTAATCGATCGGATAATTCAATTCAATGCCAAAATTTATGAAAAAAATCCTGTATATTCTCGTAGCAAAAAGATCCGAATCTGGTTGCATCATATGACAGCACCGTTGGCGAGGTTCAGGATGTCTTGGAAACTCTAATCAATCAAGGACAACATGCATGGGTACCATATATATCGGCATGGAGCATCAAATCACTCGGTGTATTGTCAAAGAAATATAAACGATCTGACAACAGAGGTAAATTTTACTTGGCAACGTTCCACACTGGAACTTCCAGTTGACATTGCACCATTAACTCTTCAACTCATTTTTCAATAGAATTATAAATTGTGCGACGATATACTTATAAATTACCTTTATTATTTCAACAAATTCCGTGTCTACGTTTCCGTGTTGTTCGATATGTGAATTTTATTTGATTTTTTTCATTTACTTGAATAATATGATTCGTTTAATATGTAAATATATAGATATATTTTTGATTCACTTAAATGCACTTTAAATCGAATATCGAGCAAGAAAAACTAAGGCTATCACAGAGGGGTTTTCGAAACCGTTTTCATTACAAATGATAACTTTACATTGTTCTAATTCATACATTTGTACAAAAAGATGAATAATTCAAAACAACAATCGTTTGAAGTGAAAAAAAATTAACTTAATTTTTTTAAGTGTTTGATTACAATAAAATTCAGAAAAAGAAGAAAAAATCCCTCGACTTGTGATATTCAATAACAATGAAACTAAACAAAATAAAACCTCTGCATAGATAGGATATTTGCAATTCATTTGGATATATGCACATGCAACTCACATATATATCTCATACAAGTATTCGACATGCGTGCTTTACCACTGCAGCACTCCTGTTGCTATACCAAAGAGACATGGCATTACATAACTCACAAAAATGTGCCAAATGTTCGTTGTTGTTGTTTTCATTCAAAATGCTTTGATTCCGTTAAAATGTTGGTTTGATTTTCATTCGAAATGTGATTTTATTTTTGAATCGCCAACAGATATCGCATCGACATGTAATCTTTGGTTGGGTTCGAGTGCAATGCGATGCCTTTTAGCAGTAACTGTGTCCTGTTTTGAAAAAGTTAATGCAAACGAAGAGGAAAATTTCATCGAATTTCTGCTAAACGGTTATATGCAAAATCCGGCCAGTTTTGATTGGGTTGTTGCCCGACTCGGTAGCTGCTTTCCACAGAAAATTATCGGCAGGTAAACATTTTGAAAAATCATTTTAAATAAAAATGTACATGGCATTTTTTTTTGCTTACAGAGTTTTAAATTGTGGCCTCAAACTACAGACCGATGGATTTGGTCTTGATACCGAAATTGGTATATTATCATATTTAGCATTTGTACAAGATGTCCAACTGAAAACTGTACTCAATGAAATGGTTAAGGTTTGTTATTTACCTAATAGCATCGACATCAGCGTAATTTTGAACTACAAAAATGTTTTTCTTCGATTTTCACAGAGCACGCTTTATGAAAAATCACAAACCAATCAGTTGAAGAATACAATACCATACTTTTTCACGTTGGCTGGTAAATCGGATGTAATACTACAGCAAATGGTCTCCGTTTTCTTGGACATATGTAAGTACCAGTGTGTTAAACAAGTAGAGTAAAAAAATATCTTGAAAATTTCATTGCCTTTTCCAGACGATGATAAATTCGTTGAGGCGCTGAACGATCAAATAAAACTTTGGCCATCCAATTCCAACGTAAAAGACATGCCATCGTTGACATCGTTATTATTGCGCATTCGAAAGGGTGCAACAAGAGTGATTTTAATAATTGCCGAAGTGGCCGAACAAAGTACATGGTGTCATAATTTGCTTGAGTCAGTTTTACAAGAGATATTCACATTGGTCAACGATAATAATCGAATGTGCCCCATATTATCCGATGTTCTCGAACAAAGTTCACAAGATCTCTTGATATCAACGAGCGTTGCAAAATCATTAATTAAACGACAAACAGCAATTCGATTGATTTTATTGGCATCGAAACAATCGACACATATCTATCATCATTCCGTCACCGAATTATTGGCATATGCCAATCATACAGAAAACATTAATCCCATTGAAGCGCTCATTCGTCTTATGTCCGGTGCAAATTTTTCAAATGATAATGTTGGCCTAAAACCAGGCGTTACCATTGCTTTGGAGCGTCTTTTGATTGACGAATTCAAAATGGAAGACGATAGCATCGAACGCAATTTGAATGTTTTGCAAAATTTGCTATTTCTTGTGTGGTAAGCATCAATTGCTCATTTGGAAATTTAAATTTCTTTTTTTTTTTTTCAATTTTAAACATTCAATTCTAATTTTTGTATTCGTTTAATTCATTTATAAAGTTTGGAAAAATATGGGAGTTCAATTCATTTGAAAGAATCATTGCTAACCAAAACATTAACACACTGTGATACCACACTTATGGAAATTGCCAAACGATACTTAACGAAGGCAATGGAATATGTGTCATTCATAAATGCATCAAAATTATTGTCGTTCGATTACATCGACGATGAACCAGTATCGAAGAAAATTAAAACCGTCGAATCGAAATTGAATCGGAAAGAAAAATGCTATAAATATACAATTACTTACAAAAGACACATTCATGCGGTGATGAGTCTACTGGACATATTGGAAATTGGCAAAAAAGATCAACCACTTGCAATGGACAAATGCATCAAATGGGCCGAATTGATTGTTAAATATTTCTTCTGGTGCCTCACTGAAACAGGTAAAGAATTAAGAGACATTGTTTATTTTCGCTTCTTTTTTTGTTGGTCGCCACAAAATATATTTTCACAAATTCAATCAATTCACAGATGTGAGCTGTCGACAAATTGCTGTTGAAAGAGTTTACTCATTGCTGACGCGTCAGTGTTGCGGTCGTAAATATTCTCGTATAACTGCATTGCGTGAATTGTTGGAAGGTGCATTGTATTCGTATGGAAATTTGTTTGGCGTTCATCTGGACATTGACTTTGATAAAAGTGTTCAGAGCAAAAAACGTGACAATCGTTTACTCATCAAAATGAATCAAATGCAAAACAATACACCAAACAATATTCGGTCATTTTTGCATGCTGGCATCATTGGACAAGGTTTGAAATTGCCAACAAAAGAAGCATCATCACCGGATGCCGACATACGAAACATGCTACTACGAGCTATGATCGCTTGTTGCAAACAAGACGTAAGATATTTGCACCGGTCTTATTTCAATTTCATTTGGTTTTAATTAATGTTGTTTTTTTTTTTGTTCAGGACGTTGCAAAGACGATCGATGGTTTTTCGTCAATTTCATCGTTGCTCGTTGAAATGATTTCGCCCGATGTTATGTACAACGGTTTACCATGGCCGGATGAGGAATTTTCAAAAATAACAATGGAACGTGATCTGCACATTCGGCGAACGTTTAAAAATGCACCAGTTCTATGGTCAATATTAGCATTGATTTCAAATCATCGGCCATCATTGTGTTTTACATCAGTATTACTCCGTGCAATTTGTGCAACGCTATTGCATCAATGGCGTGCCAAATCCGTTTTACACAATCAGACTGTTGATAATAATCGCGAATTGTTCAATGTCACGAAAAATGTGCTGGAAATAATGGCAATGGGACAAATATTATCGGGACCGTTGGCATATCTTCATGTAGTCGTTGAACACTTTGAACCATTTGAAATTGTGGTTGTGCTTAAAGAATGCGTATGGAATTTTATGAAAGAAAATACACCATCACCATTACCATACAAAGTGGCACCGAACGGTAAATTATTAACTCAAATCGTTTTTAAATTTTCATTATTTCATTTAATACATGTTTTAATTTTGCGTTGAACAGGATTGCACTGGAAAGATCCCAGCACAGAAACGATTTTGCCACAATTTATCGATCCGCTGAGAAATATTATGCAAAGGAAATTACCAAAACTCGGAATGCTTTATTATTATATGTTTGTTGCGTCCGAACTTGAAATATCAAATCAAACAAATAATAGTTAAAATAAAAAATAGTTAAGTTTGTAATTGTAATTGAAAAACAATTGGTTTTTTTTTTTAAAAGACAAACAAAAAATGCGAATCTTCAATGACAAACAATTTAGTGTAGTTTTTTATGAAGTTTTTTTTATTATTTTATTTTCAAGTGTGTAAAACAAAAATAATTAAAAAAATATATTTTAATAAATTTATAAATCTTTAAAATCTCTATTTTATATATTCATTTTTTTTCTTCACAATTTGAACGAAAAATGTTTTTTTTTTTTTGACTAGAAAAATCTTCAAATTTTTTTAAAACGCTTTTTATATGATTTCATGTATAGTTCATTATCTCACGTCTGGCCTATATAATAGTGCCCTCACGCCGGCACTATTATATAGGTCAGACGTGAGAGTGAGAATATAATGTGGCAAATCAATTTATATTTATATGCTATTGATGAAGTTGCAAACGAAATGAAAGAAAATAATGAAAAGAACCGTATCGATGTCAATATGTTTGGATGTCGATGCTGATTTGCGAAGTTTCGCACAAATTCTCTATCACAAGTCAAGCGTTTTTTTTTGTTAATTTTGACCTGGATCATATGTAAATGAATGAACAATCGAGAAAATATGACGGATGCTAAACGCAATATTTTTGTTTGTTTTCTCTCTTGAGCTCAACCTCAAAATAAATATCTAGGTCATACCAAAGACACCCATCGATTTCTAACATATGCAATTTTGGAATGACGTTGTGGCTGTGCGTTGAATGAGCACAATTTTTTTTTGATGCAAACCATTTCAATTTTCAATTCGTTTTGCCGTCATTTTCCAACACACTTGTGCAATTCGTCGCGTGTGTGTGTATGTGTGTATGTATGTGTATATATATATATTTCATTTAAATCAAAACCATTTGCAGGACTGCACATTTTATTCTGCATTCATTCTCTCGATTTAACGCATTTATAACATTGAGTAAATAACAAACAAATCAAATCTATGACGGTCGACATCCGGTCATCTTTCGAACTGATATACATGATGATAGTTTTTTCGATAATTTCCTATTTTTTGAACTTCGTTTGGTTGCATTCACTTTAACATGCGATGGTGATGTCGTTCGTTTGGCTGTACGCGAAACAAAAAGAGATGAAGAAAGAAAAAGAAACATTGGAATTGTTAATGGAAAAAATCAGTGACCGGTTCGCGCATATTTCTATGTTTGCCTAAATACGCTAGGTAGCATAGATATGCCAAGCATAGCCGCAAACGCAACCGACGCATCGCCGTTCACTCTATATGAACAATGCACATGTTCGTTTATGCAGACGACCGTGCGTATACAATATAGCTCGAATCGAATGGCGACGGGTGCGTTGCGGCTTGCGTCTCCGCTATGCTTAGCATAGCTATCAGGCATAGAAATATGCGCGAACCGGTCACTGGAAAAAATGCGTTTAAGAAATGCGTAAACATTCATTATTACCGTCCTTGCATTGCATTTAATTGATACTGACCGGTTAGATCGTGTTCGGTATAATAGTCTTGTTCATTGTCATCAGTGCCATAATGATAGGCATCTAAATACGGCAAAACCGTTGAACTCCTTAACTCATCGGTTCTCAATGGTGGCACTGAGACGCGTGTACCAACTTTTGTCGGTGTGCTAACGGTCCATCTAAACATTCATGAATACATTAATAGATATACTATTACGTAAACGAAAAAAAAAAACATTCGAAACAAAAAAATCACATACGTGTGCTGTTTAACTTGTTCCAATGTTAATCTATGTTGTGGATTCGATTGAAGCATTCCAAGAATTAAACTGGCCAAATTTATGTCAAACTTTTGAAACCATTCGGGTGCTTTCCATTGATTTTTACCGATATTCTCCAACAGCCGATAAATGTTATCTCCAGCGAATGGATATTGACCAGTCGTTATGTTGTAGCTGCAATGCCATTTAACATATTAATCAAACGAATTTAAAATAATTGAAAATTGAGTCTTACAGCGTTACGCCCGAACTCCAGATATCAACTTTAAATCCCGAAAATGTTTCATCGCCATTTGCTATCTCCGGCGGTTGAAATGCCGGTGAACCTTGACCCGTTGAGCAAGTATCATTCATGGCAAACATTGATAAAGCCTACATATGCATTCAAAACAATGACAAAATTAATTTGAAACAAAAAAATCGTCGCCAATCAATAACTCACCTCTGCCACACCAAAATCCGAAATTTTCAATGTGTCATCGAGCGTAATCAATAAATTTCCAGGTTTAATATCCTTGTGAATGACACCTTTTCCATGTAAATATTCTAAACCATCTATCAGCTGAAGAAAGTATCGATGCGCTTGGAACAATGGCATTTTCTTTTCAGGCACCGAATCCAACATTTCCTAATCATTTTTTTTTAAATATATGAATTTAAATCGATTTAATTATAATTTATTTAAAGCAGTCGATAAATCCACCATGAAAAATAAAATATTTATTACCTGTAGCTGACCAACACAGTATTCCATCACTAAATACATTTTTTGTTTTTCTTCATTATATAAAACATCGAGCAATTGCACAACATTTTTATGCCGCAGCACTTGCAACAGTTGAATTTCGCGTCGAACATTTTGCTCACCATTCGGTATTCGTTTCAGTTTTCTTTGTGTCAAAATCTATTTGGTGGAAAGCAAACAAAAAGTGATGACGTTCAATTGATGACCTATTAATTTGGTTTTCGCAAAAATACGAGAGAAAAAAAAAAACATTGGAAAAAAACTACCTTAACAGCTCGCCTGCATAATGTTTCCGAATCTAATACTTCTTTGACTTTTCCATACGAGCCTAAATGAATGCATATTCAGAATATGACACAATTATAAAACTTGTATAAGATTTGATTTTTCGAAGTCAGAAAATGTAACTTACCTTCACCCAATTTGTCGCCCATCACATATTTACCAATCATTTTGCAGGTTTTTTTCTTTGCTTGGTAAATAATTTCAGCTGATTCGACACGATTGAAAAACATATTTGTTGCATCTATATTGATTGACATATCTAATTTTTCATTTTCATCGTCATTTAGCCAGGTGACCGCCTGTCCACCATTTGTATCAAGTAAATCATCTTCGGAGAATTGTTCGTCGCTGGCAAACATTGAATTGGATAAAACTAGTTCCGATTTATTGGCATCCATTTGAAAATAAAACCAATTGAATTTAATTTGACCGGAATGAACACATAGAAAATTGGAATTATTTTTGTCAAAATTGGGCTGCGTTTGTTTTCCTCTTGTTTCGTATTTCTTGATTTCCGTAACATTTAATTTAATTCGTGTGGCTGTTATTAATTTTGCATCGAATAAATGACAATGAAATCACAATTTTGCTTCTAATTTTAAAAATGAAAAACATAAAATATTTAGAAAAAAAACTAACTAATGCTATTAAAATTAGTATGGCTGCGTCATTTTTACTGCAGACATATTTTACTAGCCATCATTTCAAATGTCAAAATTTTGTTTTGCCCAATAAATACGAGTGCATGTATATGTGCGTGAATATGTGTAAATGCTTTCACTTACATTTTGTATATTGAATGGAATGAATTGTTTGTCGTCAACTCCATCTGGTGGCGAAATTACCGTAAAATTGGCTACCACAATTAAGTAAAAGCTATTCGTTCGAGACCTTTGATTTACTTAGCTTCAGTTGGTTGATTAAAAACAAAAATTCCTCAATTTTTTAAACAAAGATATATGCATCAATTGACATATTTGATTGTTTATTTCAGAGAAAACCACATTTAAAATGTGAGGTGACTCAAAAAAGGATGTTATTTGTGGTTGTCAATAATTCGCGACTTTTTTGTTGTTGTAAGAAAACAGATACGAATAAACGTAGTCAACGTAGAAAATACCGTATTTGATGCTATCTGTGTTAATATATACAAAAAAAAGAATTTATGGTTTTTTCGTAAATTCTTCACACACTATTTTTTTTTTTTAATATCATCACTTGCTTTATGTGCTAAACAGAACGATGAAGACCGGTTACTATTAACCGCAGACTTGGCAAAATAAAATAAAAATCAGTGCCTTTTGGAGCTAAATCATTGGATCGAACAGTGACATTCGGAATAAATCTTGCTTATCCCTGATCTTCGTTCTGCAATTTAGTTAATCAATGTAAACAATTATATTGTTTTTTATTTACAAAGAAAATATGTGTAAAGTATTATCTCCTTTGTTAGAAAAAGTTTTAAATAGATTTAAATCAATGATACCCAGCTAATAATACTCCTTTTAATTGACGAAGAAAAACAAGTTCAATGTAATTAAAAAAAAAAAAACACGCAGTTTATTTTTGAGAATTACATTGTATAGGAAATTCAGTGTGACTTTTTTTTCGTAAAACATGTTGAAACTTATGTTTTATTAATCACTGTGTGTAGGAGATACGGCCTCATTATCCTCGGTACGATTCTTCCATAAATGTTCACATCTTCAAACCTAGATGCTATGAATTTCATATAAAAAAACGTAAATTTAACTCATAAAAGTGTTTTGAATTTGAATATAGACGAAATGAATTGGAATTTTGAATTATTCATTGGATTATAAATTGAGTAAAGTAAGCCTAAGTATAAACGGAAGATGTAATTTTGATACGGTTGACCGAAAAAAAAAAAATTTCTTTCGTTTTAATCATTTGCAGAGAAATGCCGTAAATTTTTGTTTATGATTATGGTGACTCTTTTTCGTCGTTGTTATCGCTGGTGTCTTAATATTTGGTAGAAAGCCGTTTTTCTCTCTTCATTTTGGATGTTTCGCGTTTCGTTTGATGTTGAAAATGGGATTTATACGATTCTCATCGTCAAGAAACGCAAAAATATTTCAATGACGCAAAAGAGTTTCATATCTTAGCGTTTGTGTGTGTGTGTGTGTGTGTGTTATAGGTTTTATTTTAATTTTGTACCTCACGTTTTCTTGCGTTCTTTATCACATCGAGAACAAGCTTTAAACACCGATTAATTTAGATGGTGCGCGAATCACGTGAGCCGTAGAGAAGTTCAAATACCTTTTATTTCTATCAATCGATTTTTTTGTAGTATTATTGTAATATAACGTATTTTGGGCGTACGTATGTAACGGCTAAATGACTAAGGTATGTAACGTAAACTGGAATTTTTTTTTGTTTCTTCTTTTATCAAGACCTAGGTGACATGAGCGAACGACGACTGGAGACGACATATGGCATTGATATATTGGAGGACTGCAAAACTTGCAACACGACCTGCAGCGTCGGTTATTTCCATTATTAAATCGAAACAAAAAAAATTCCAGTTCACCAACCAAGTCAATTTAAAATTGAACGGGAATTGTGGAAATTATCAAAATATCGAACGGAATAATTTTCCATCGCAAATTGTAATTGCTGCTGTGATAAAATTGAAAAATATTTTAAATTAATTCGTACGAAAAAAATGACTATCGCATTAATTGTCGCACTGCATTTTTTTATCGTATTTGAGCCGACAAATTCTAGACGAGAACAGTACTGCTTATGAACAAACATGATTCGGAATACAGAAGGAAGTTGATAAGAAGTTCCGTAAACCAGTTGGCAGAATAAAATTGCATTTGATTTTGAATGTAATTATGCGATTGCCATTTCATTCACGATCAACACGGCCGCATGTTTAAATAGAAACATTTTAAAATCGTTTATGTAAATATTTCTACAACTTTGAGAATTTTATAAATTGTAAGGCGAATTAATTGTGTGTATGTGTATAATGTGCACGCGGTGCTGTATGTGTTGTGCAATTTACGACTTTATGATTTATTTTATTGGTTGACTTGCTGACTGGAAATCGATTCGTCGATTGAAATACCAAAATAAAAAATTGTTGCCATCAAATGCGATTTTTGATTCGATTGCAAAAGAATATAAAAAAATAAATAATAATAGATGATCGAATTTGGGTCTATGGGTCCGGCGTGCAAGGTAATATATATTTCAAGTGTGCGATTTTATTGTTGCTGTTTCTAATTTGCTTGCTCGTTTAAATGACTCGACTGTCAATACAGTCTACCTTTCTAAGCAATTTTATGCACTCGATAATTAAATCGATTAACATGTTTAAAGTAATTTACAACAAAACACTCTTCGATTAATCATTTGGAGCGAATGTCGAAAAATTATTTTTTCTAAATGAACAACATCTTGACAATTAAAAAATTGTCGATATTTTGCATTTATTCGATTCCAGATTATATGGTGAATTTAAAAAAAATGACGGAATAACATATTTTGGACCGGATACGAAAATTATTTTTGTACGCGCGTACCAATAGTAACCGCATTACATGTGAATGCCGAAATTAATTAAGCTTTAGCGCCCCGATTCACGGTTCTGATCATCGTCCGAGAACCATATTCAATATCATGTAGGGGAAGCGGGGTAAAACAGAATGACCGCAACAAAAAAAACGAAGAAAAAAACCCAAAATAAAAGATATGGAAGGCAGAAGCACTGCGACAACAATACACAGAGCGGCCACAAAACATGTATACGAATGGAATGGCAATACGAATATGCGAATACAAGACGGTTAAAGCTCACCCATCGCACAAAGCAATACAGTAGTGGGGCGTTTAATTATATAATGAAAGTGTTAGACACAGGTAGTGTAGCTTTAAATTTTATCTTTTAGTCTTGTGACGCACATGTCGCAGCGTTGTCAGTTCGTTTAAACGAATTCTCCCCGAAAAGAAATGTTAATTATTATTTAAAAATTTCTTTTGCCCAAGTCAAACAAAAAAAAAAACAGTTGCTTCTGCTGTGTCAAACAATCAAAACGGAAATTCTCATGTTTTCTGAATAGTTCCAAGAAGGTTGTGTGATTTGATTTAATAAGAGAAAAAAGAGAAAAAAAAAGACGAACCAAAAAAAGACAACTTTAGGACGGAAAGTATTGTTCCGCTGAAAGTAAAAGTATAGATAATTTTACACTAAATACGTAAAAATTAAAATTAAGTGTGACAAAGTGTTTGAAACATTTTCAAAAAAAAAGACTTCATTTTCACACCGAGAAAGTGGTTTTGATTTTTCCATTCCTTTCCCGTTGTTTTAGAGAGAAAAAAAGACGCTAAAGGTAATTAATTCTAATCCTGTTCTTATTTAAATAAGCAAGTAATTAGTTTATAAGATTTTATCGTTCGAAATCAATGTTCATTAAAAATCTGTGAAAAAAAACGAGCGATTGAGAAAAAAAGAAGTATGTATCCTACATTTGGTGAAATTTAATACCCGTGTGCGGATTGTGAAACCGTTATGATGGCCAAAAATTCGTGAATTGTGTGAAAAATGTGGCGCTTTTTAGCTATTAAAAAAACTATGTGACTTCTAAACAATTGAAGATTAAAGATAGATTACCATTTTCACAGGACTTCTCTGTATCTTTTGAAAATGCTTAAGTTGTGTTTTGTCACTGAGGTCACTGACTAGAAACTTTTCTGAGTATTTGGTAAACATCACGTACACCTTTCAAAATTTAAAGATAAGTAATTACATATAAACGCTGTTCATTTCGAAGCGAAAAAGAGTTGAAACGAGAAAAACTTTAAGAGAGCGAAAGAGATGGAGAAATAAAAAGACCGGATTCTAACCAGAAATTTGCGTGAGAAATGCCATCACAAAATTGCAGAATTTCATAAGAACCGAAACGATTGAGCAAGATCGATATAGACACACAGAGAGATAAACAAAACGATATTTATTGTGGCAAAAGCAAAGTTCAAAATGCAAAATAGACGATGTGCTGAACATGTTTTGTCTGCTGCGATCGTTGTCATAAAGTGAACTGGCAAATTTCCAATCGAAACAAACTGGATGCTTCGGTGAAATAAAATTTATTAAGAATAATATGCTAATTGAGACTTTGGGCAAAATGTGAAAATGTTGTTTTAAGCAACGTTTTATGCAGACTAATACGTTCAACAACAATGTCAACAACAACGAAAATGATCAGGGAATGTGAAAACCAATTGGATGAAGAACTCACATTCGAAATTCATCAAAAATCAAATATATTCACGAATCTGCATGCTTAGAATCATATACTGTAAATTAGATGAGTACATTTTATAATACGCGGATTGATGGTATTGCGAAAAATTCTTGTCACTAACTGGTTTATTTCTTTTTTTCTTCACCATTCCACTATCATTGATTGGTTACAATGTCTTGGTCGTTGCTCAATATACAAGTTCCCAAAAAAGTCAAATCAATTTTTTGTTAAACAGGTTTTTTTTCCTCTATGCTTATTTTTCTTTCATTTTACTTCAAAATGGTCGAGAAAGAAAAAGAAAGAGAAAATCATTCTATTTAACAGAAGACAAAAAAAATTGAATCAAAATTTTGATCGTTGTTTTCATCCTTTCAAAAGAGAGAGAAAAAAACGCACAAATATGATTTGTAACTTTGTGTCTCTATGTGTGCCGTCTGATCATAGCCAACGGTCACTCATGTGATATTGATGATGGCAGATCATATTTTCCGATGGCACATATTGATTTTGATGTGATCCGTTCTTTTTTCTTTGATTCGATGAAAAGATACACCAACATTGACAACAATCGAAACTTTAATTATTGCTTACACAACCAACAAATTTTTCTTTGCGCACATAAAACTACGCATACCGAATTTCTTTCATTTTTCTCTCTGTCGTAACTGTGCAACGCCAGTTTTTGTTGGTCTCTCCATCATCTGTTTCATTTTTTCCTTCGATCTTTCGGATTCGAAAAAGACGAATGAAGAGGAAAAAAAAAATTACCCAATAATGGCATTATTCGAATTATCATTCAGGAATGAACGGAACAATCTCCGCACAACTTTTTACTTGCAGCAATATTTGAATCTTTCATTAGTAAGTTGCTGTTGTTGTAAATTAATAGAAAAGATGAGACAGTGGAAAAAGCTGCCAAATACTCAAATGGTCAACAAAAGCGTTTCGTCTGTTTTTTCTTTCGGTGTTCGTCTTCTTCTTCTTTCATTCCAGAGTCAAACGGTTTCTTTCTTTTTTGTTGTTGTTGTTGCCTTTTGTCATTAAATGCGTATTCAATACGGGTGTGATAGTGTGTTGTCATGTCATCTCGATTAGATACATTTACGATAGAAAATTAGACGATTAGCGAGAAAGAAAAGACGACAATGATGATGACTGATCGTTGATCAATGCGAGATGAAATTTCTATATGCTAGCAAGGGCTCAACAGTCATGCCATGCCGCCGAAGTAACAGGTTCAAATCGATACACACGCAGAGAATAGGAAACTTTTTACTCTTTTTTTGTCTTCTTCTTCGTTAGATATTCGTTACAATAGTCGTATACATTTCATTATCGACTAGCCAATTTGAATATAGTTCGCTAACTGACAATGAACGAGATGATCATTTACATATATATATATTATTCACCGAAAATTCATGGAACACATGGTATTTGTTGGGTTTGGTATGTTCGGTTGTTAATTCGCATTTCTTAATAATAATGCGGTGCGCTTATGAAAAAGTAAATAGGCGGCTCACAAATTCACCAAATGGGTGCAAACAATATATGCGAGAGGCTTAGATGATGATTTGTTCGTCTGTCTCACTCGCTCCCTCTCTCTCTCTTCGTCTCTCGCTCTCTCTCTGTTAACGTCCGAATAAATGTTTGAACCATTATCGTGTGGTGCTGCCGTGAGTTAGAGTATGTCATGACAACTGAATACTATTGTGCGCGTGTGCGTTTGGCACATGCACTCATCGGTACCGATGACGATGGAGCAACAATGATGATAAAGATTAACAAAAATTTCACATAACACATTTGTGTATATAATTTTTTTTTATTTGCTAATGTGTCATGCTGTTAAACGATATTTAAGTGTAAAATGTGTTGAATGGCAGTGTGCTCCATTAATCATTGACATCGGAGCTTTTGTTGTATGATCGTGTTTTTTGTCTTCTTTTTTTTGGCGAATTGCTGTTAAACGCCTCGGGCGTGAATTCCTATTTCTAGCCTTTAGCCAACATTTCAAAGAGAAATTTTAGAAACCATCAAACTAATTTTTTTTCACTCTCTCTGCATATCCGATCGATTGGGCTATTGTCTTTTTTAAATTGAAATGATCAACAAATTTTGCAATTAATGTTTATTATAAGATTGGGGGCAAAACGCCCTACCATTGCATTGAGTCGTATGGTGATCGCATGTACGCACGCACATTCTCTTTTGTCTATCGTTTCAGCCAATTTTTGTCATCGGGTTCTTTTTGCAACTAATACGTTTCCTTATAATCTCTTGAATTTTTTTTACTCAGCGACATTGAAAATTTCCTGTCCCATATACAAATGCTGAAAAGTTGTGATGATGGCTTCTTATATTATTAATAACAAATCAACATAATATTTGTGATTGCATTAAACATCAAATAGTTTAATTTGCTTTGTCCGTCTGTAAATGTATGTTTACTTTGTCTCTGGTCATTCTAATGGAATTTCGTTAATTTAAATATTCTAATTAAGATCCAATCGGCTATAGTCACAACCAGTTTCATATTTATTAGCGTCGTAAAGTCGAATTTTGTTTGTTCTCTTATTCAAAATTGATGTAATCGGACATTGTTGAACTTATGCATGCACAAACATTCAGTGGATTGCAAAATACAGCACTCTATCTAATATATACAGTACATATATGATCGGTTTTGGTGCTCGATGTTGAACAGTCACCAGAAACTAGTTAAACGGCCATCGAACATTTTTCGACTCTCTAGCCCATAATCAGATTTATGGCTCACAAATTTAAGTCATCATCGTCGACAGCGACAGCAGCAGCAAGACACACAGTGCTACTTTAAGTTCACATATTGCCGCATTACAATACACACAATCAATAAGATGTCGTTTTCTCTTTTAGTTGTTAATTTTATTGTCGCTTTTCTTTTCTTTCATCTCGATTTATGTGTCTGTCTGTCTCTCAATATGCATGGCGTTTTTTTTCGGCCATTTGTTCATCACATCTCGCTAACTTATCGAAATTGTGACCTATGCAAGCTGGGTATACTTTTAAAATAGCATACATGCTATTCCCTCTAGTTCGTATGCTTTCCAATCTATTATAAATATAGTGTTACGAAAGCGTGAATGAAAACACACAAGAAAATCTCACACTTGGTTTTTTTTAAAGTAAAATTTTAAATTTTAGAACAACGTGCTCAGATCGCTAAGAAGCGAAAAGGTTTGACTGCCACATGACCATGCGTCGAACATGTAATTTACACAATTTTTCAATCACTTAATTGACGTGATTTATGATATCAATATTGCACTTGAGATTTTGTTTATATAAAACATATGACGCGACATCATTGACGTTTTTATAGAAAACGTGAGAAAATCTGAGCAATTATCTAAATCATTGAAAATCAGTTTAGAAATATATCGGCACGAGACAGATCTCGTTTCTTTTTAATCAAAGATGAGAAAATGTCATACAAGCGTAATATTTTGTTGGGTTATTTACGTTGTCTTCATTCACGCTTCAAGGGTATTTCGATTGATTTAGAGTGATGAAGTTGGCATGAAAAATAAAAGAACCAACTCTTGACAATAAGAAAACCCTAACATCTAGGAACCGTAGCTATTGTCTTGAGAAACAATTCAAACAGCTTGATAAATCCGTTTTTTTTAACGGATATACTTATCGGGGTCACACAAGGTCGGTCGATTGGCAAAATTGGCACATTCCATTGCAACCATATGCATAATTTTTAATATACTTAGATATTAGATAGAAACGCCCGTCAAAATGAGAATAATGTGATCTTCAAAAGGAAACAAAAATCCGCTCATTTCAAAATGTTCCATGTTTTCTATTCATTTTCCTTCTTGATTTGGGATGTTTTGTTTTACTCGTATGGAATTTTTCGGCCTTCTTCATTAAGAAGGAAGAATGATTTTGTTTTTTGAAATTTTCTCTATTTAATGCGAAATGCCATAGATCTTGCACTATTTTTGGTGCGCATTTTTAAAATGTATGTATTAAAATGGAAAGCATACACCTTTGTCTTACATTAATTTCATTGGCATACGGAATGGTATGCTATTTTGAAAGCACACAGATCCCGCACGGGAAATTATAATAACTGGTATTTTTTGTTTTCTGTATCAATACGACAATGTTTCAATCTTATGTCTTTTCTTCTTATTTTGTTGTGTGTATTTTTATTTCTGTGTATGCGTATGCTTAACACTGATTTAAATCGAATATAGGTGTATGGGTTTGCTTTGAGTGTGAGTAACATTGATCATTGGTTAATGATCGGTCACTAGTAACACAAACAAATAAATAAACATAAAAACCCATTTTTAGTATATATCGATTACGAAAATTTCGTGTGCATAACATTCGTTCAGATAAAAAAAAAGGGTGAACCTGTATGTAGTTGCTGCGAACGCATTTGTATATTTTTTGGGCGAACCAGAGAGCAACCGAACTGATAGACACACAAAAACCGAATGAAGAAGAAGACGAAGAAAACAAAGACAAAAAAAGAGCCAATGAGTAAATAATTTCAAGTGAATACACAAAATTAGTGTTTCACTTTCTTTTATTATTATGGTTATAACTGTTATTATTGAAATTCTGTCTGTTCGCATGAAGAGTGTTTTTCATCTGTGATTGTTGAATCATTGATGTTGATGTAAATGCTTGATGCTTTGTCTTCGGCAATCATTTAAATTTGGTTAGCCAGTTGTTTCGGCATGTTCGTTTATTTCAATTTTCTTCGTTTGGTTTGGGTCCCATTGCGGTCAACGTGAATTTTTCTTTATAAACGCATATCATAAATACGCGCAGCGTGCTCGGTCCACTGCGGATGCTATTTAATTCGGCTATAAATTCCAATCCTCTTCATAAATCATAGGTAGTTAAATATGGATTGCATAAGTCGCATATCCGATCAGTCAGCGTTGCGAATACATTTTCTAAATTTGTATGGTTTTTAATCAAATATAGACACGCACAACTGATTCTCAAATATGTATGCTTGGAGATGCATTCATGAAAAAAACGTGCGAATTAGCATTTATGATTGAAGTCGAAGTGCTAGAATTACCAATGTTGCGAATGTTTTCTTTTTTGCCGATATTTCTACATAACCATTTTTCTTTTTGTTATTATTCAGCAACATTTAGCGGATAATATCGGATAAAAATGTATACGGATAACATTGCATATCGTAAAAATTAGTCATAAACTATTTCTGCAATGAACTACTTTGAATTCAATTGATTATAACACATATGCACAATTTTTTTTTCTCGTTCATCGATATCCAGTACAAGTTTTACAAAATAGTGTGTCAATAAATATAAACAAAAGTGAAAAATGCAATTCAAGTTTTCGATTTTTGTGGATTTTTTGCAGTGTAAGTGATTGAATGTATTTGTTTGTATTATTATGCATAAGAAAGCGTAATTTCATCGAAATATTACATGCAACAACCGAACTCAAGTTGATAATAATGACAGCATTTTGTTTAATAATATATGGGACTTATGGATGTGATAATACATCGATCCAACAATGTGCGCTCAAAAACAATCGAAAATACTTTTACCCAAACCGAACAAAAAAAACCATTTAGTCAATGGTATTACTGCATACATAATCGGCAATTTCCGAGCACTGCTACACGTCGAGACATAGCATCCGTTGTGAATAAAAACCGGGCCGAATGGTTGTTTTCTTTTGTTGTATATTTCAGTGCACAATTGTCGCGGCCATCCAAAAATATTGGGCAATTTCGACACATGAGAGCTGAAAAAAGTGTCAGAGATTGTCGGTGATGAGGTAACTCTTTTTTGGTGAAAGGTTCTCGCTTCTCATATTAGCGAGAGTCGAATGGTGCGACAGGAGAGGAAAAAAAAACCGGGAAAAATTCATCGGAATGAATAGCATGTGTAATGAGAGTGCTTTTTTTCCGACGTTTTTTTTTCTTCACCGATATATACGACATTTACGTTCACGTTCACGAAATTATAAGCGTGCAAATGCAAAGTAATTAATTATTTCTTTTTTTTTCTCCTTTTTTTACTTACTCAACATTGGTGTTTTGATTTAGCAATAAAATCCAGATAACTTTCATTTCTGTTCCCTTTCAATTTCGCTTTGTTTATAAACCATCCGTTCCGTTGATCACTTGTCTCTTTACCATAATTTCATATTGGTCATAACTGCCGGCATTTTTGTGTGTCTGTATGTAGTTTTCTTCTTTTGAATAAATGCATATATCACACGAAAATCGAGGACATATATTTGTCCATTCCAGAATGATCACAGTTACGTTGAATGGTTGAAAAGCAAGTTTGTAAATTCCACATTTAGTTTAATCTAAGCAACAAGAAGCTGCAATAACATTGGTTAAAACCAAACATAAAACAATTTCTACGATGAACTGGAAGATTGTTAATTATCAAGCAGGAATAAAAAATAAAACTGCCCACAAGAACGGAATAATGGAAACTATTATATAGTTGTAGAGGAAAAACCACAAAAGTCAATGCGAACATAATAACAGAAACAGATACGAATAACGCTTCAAAATGATAATAATGTAGTTCTACCACTAGAATTATTCTTTGAAAGCTTGATTGCGACGAAAGACAAGTCAACTACCGTAAAAATCCGCAGCAATGGTGCTGACGCAAATTCGATGGTGTGGTGCTCATTCCACACCAACACACACACTGGACATCCAGCGTATAGTTTTAATCTAAATTTAGAATAAATGGGAATGCTATTTAATGCATATGACGTCATTGCATCTTGGGGAATTGTCTCTAATTTCTCCGCGATGGAAAGTACCAGCGTGCGTGTTTGATACAAGATGGCTTATCATCGTCATTATTTATGATCAGAGCCTGATCGTCCGCATACAAATATAAATATAGAAGAGCATTCTTTTGTTGTTGTTTTTTGCAATTTGTATTGACCAATAGCCCGATAGCAATGTTGATGACGCAGGGTTTTGTTTATAGACAATTTTTTGTTGCTGCAACGCAATCTACGCCGCGGAAATAGATGAGAGAGAAAAATAAGTGTATCCAGTTTGTGTTTGCTTTTTTTCTCTTCTCTGCTTACATTCATAATCATGATAAATTCAACCAATTATTTGCTAGATTCATCTGTTCATATGCGATTTGCTATTTAAAAAACAAAAACAATGAAAAATTGTTTCATGAATTATTCCTTGTATATGGAGTAATGAAAGAAAAAAAAGCATGACTGCGACAACAACAATAAAAAAAAGATGGCGAGCAGAAAAAAAACACAAGTATATATAATGAGTATGCAAAGATTGAATGGAACTGGATTTAATAGCGGCAAAGATTTAGACAAGTAACGTATAAGAATCGATAGAATTGGTGACGATGGGCATCACATCACAATGTGTTTAAATCAAATATTCATTTGATCATTGTGTGACGTACAACGTTCAGTCGTCCACAATTTACGTCAATTTTTTCGACGGAGTGATTTAGCGTTGCTCGTAATAATCATGGTTACATTAAAAAAAATGATTGAAACCGATTCGGAAGCTTCAAGAGATTTCAATTTCAATTTCTATTCTATTGTGCGGCTCACACGCATACGCGTTTTTCACCCCCACCAATACACTACTGGACTTGTAATGGTGGCGATGCGCACAATCGAACGGAACAACTTGCTCGAACTAGTTTTTGGTATGCACGTTATTTATTGAAAAAAAAGAGCATGTATCATACTCATACCATAAAATATTGATGCAATTGTAAGCACAAAAATTGTTTGATTGAACATCGAACATCGATAATAATAATCGAATCGAATGGCCGTATGTTCGGGCATTCAATAAAAGATTTTAACATTTACTGTCACAGCGTCTCATTTTAATGTCATTCTTTTATTATTTATTGGTGTGCACATTATACATTTGTGTGTATGTGCATTTTTTATTCTCTTTACAAATCATTCTCTATTTATTTTCATGCTCTTTTTTTGTTGTTTGATACCCGATTATTTATTTGTCTTGTTTTCGCGCGTGTGCTTAATTTCATTCGTTACATAGTTATAGACGAAGCACAAGGTGGTCAGCTCCAAATAATCATATTTTGAATGAATGTATGTCTTTGTATGTGCAATGCATGCACAGTACAATACGATATTGGCTTCATACATTATTTCTCTCTTTGTTCGTTCAACGTTTGATTCAAACGATCAAATGTTTGAAAATAATTAACTATAAGTGTATATGATTGTGGGTATGTGTGTGACGTTCTTACCGATTCAAGCAAAATGTGAAGAGAAAAAAAAGGCGATCGTGTATTTATTTAAATCGATCGCTTGAATTTAATGAAAACTAGTTGTAAGCTGTACTTTATGTGACACATTTACTTACTAAAGAATCACTTTTCCTTCTTTTCACTCAATACAGATGGACTATGTAACAGGATTTTATGAAGGATGGCGAGACCTGATGGACAATAAATCAGATCCAAGAACCACAGACTGGTTTCTTATGAGTTCCCCGTTTCCAACAATTATAATCAGTTTAAGTTATGCATATTTTGTTAAGGTATGTAGAAGACAATAACCGATAAATCTACAGACGATCATAAATTCATCTAGAATGCGGCGAACATTTAAACCGTCTTCTCCGTATCCACGTTGGGTGCGCAGTCTGTTCGTCTCTATATCTTGAAATTTCAGCGAGTACAAAAGTCTTTTGTCTTTGCACAGCACATTTACATGAACCAAAATGAAAAAGTCATTCGAAATGATGAGTATGACTAAAAAAAAGTGTCACGTTTTGACAATGCTAAAATTAATCCAAAGATTCGCAATTAAACTAATGTTTACAAAGGTACACGTCTGTTTTTTTTGCCATGGACCACGAAGAAATTTATGAAAAAATCGCACGTATATACTGATGACTTTTGACCGTCTACTTCAGTTCGTTTTTTTTGGGTGAAGAAATTCCCAGTCACATCAAATGATCCCGATAAAAAAGGAAACCGTCCACATTTTTTGTCGTAATTTCATTTTTGCATTATGCAATTTAGCTGCGACGAGCGAACAACCACACAAACCAGCTAGTGATGCTTCATCAATTCTATTTCGGTTATAAAGAAATCATCACATTAAAAAAAATGATGAAACTCGTAAATGCAAAAAAAAAAAACGCATAATACAATTTTTCATTTCTAAATTGTGCAGGAAATCAATGTACACACACCGGCGGGGTTGACATGACACATAATCATATATTTTACTTCCCAACAATAGTTGTAAATTAAATTTATGCATATAATTTATTTGACGGCCATTTGAAAAACAAAACATAGCGATTACTGCTTCATTCAAGTCATTTCAATCAAATATAAAATGGAGTATGTATTGCTTCAAAGTAAACAACATGCCAAAATTGAGCATTTCACATGGATTCCATGAAAGCAAACACCAAGAGCATAATTTCAATATTTTTTTGGTAATATATTTGGACTCCTTCGACGGTCAGACGGAACCAGATCCAGTTTTATTCAAAACAACCAAATGTTCGAAATTAAAAATAACAACAAACAAACACAAAAAGATTATTAAAATTTTTTTTCTAAGCTGCGACACATATAAAAAAAATGATAAACCGCAAAAGTACGGACTTTTAAACATTCATTTTTCTGTTTTCGATTCGTTTTTTGTTGTCGTTTATTTCGAACATATTTTTTTTCTCTTCTCTCGCTTGCTTTTTTTTACCTGAAAAAAAACAAACTCAAGTTGGCAAAGAAAAAAAAAGCGCACACAACAATCCAACGGTGTTCGTTCACACTGCGACTGTACTCGATTGAATTGATACCATTTTTTATGTAATTTGTGTAATTATATTATTTCAAAAATATGACCTTGAACAAAATTCATCGTAGAAATGAAGAGCGCAATGTATGTATGTGTGTGTGTTAGGCTGTGTACAAATCATTAGGTGTATCATACATCGCAGTTAGCGACATTTTCAGGTGGTTATTGAGCAGCAGCACAAAAGTGGCTATAGCGACCGATGACGGCAGCCACCAAAAGCAATCAAAGCCCGTAAAAGATAAGATTGTATATGCAGAAGCTTGCATTGCTTATATTATGTTGTATGTTGAATTGAGACAAACATGTATATAAATGCATGTGCACATATGCCTATGTCGTGCCGCGCGCGCTCTTTTTTTATTATTTCTGTTTACCTTTGCAATGAAAATCATTTTTCAAGTTTTATGATACATGTTGCTAATATTATAATATGCTATACCATATGTGTGCGCCTCTCGTAACAAATAATTTTCAACACAATTCGATCGTGATTCCGTTTGCAGATTTTGAACTAGACATGAAAAATTCTTGAACATTGAGCCTCACCGTTAATTTGTTTTGTTACGAATCACATTCAAATGAATCAAGTGCTCAACCGTACATATTAATTTATGGGTAAAAATGCAGAACCAGATTTCGAAACTATTTTTTTGTTCGCGCTTATTAAAAATTGAATAAATTAAGCACAAAAAAGCGCGCAAATCAATATAAAAATGACTTTTAAATAGAATGCATTTTCATCGCGTACTCATAGTTGTCATAATTTTCAGTCTTATTGTTATTCTTCAAGTTCAATCACACGCATTGAATGTACGTGTGGTCGACAAGTATCGACAAGGAATCATGAAAAAGCATAAAAAACAATAAAAGTAGAAACACTCTTCAATTGCATCGTGTACTCAGAATTGAAAGATCAATTTGGTTCATTTAACTTTTCCCAGTTGTTGCGCACTGTGTGAAGCGCTTAAGATCACGTCGATCGAGCAATTAATTTCAATATTTTTTTTGAAGAATAGTACCGTGCAACATACACACGGGAAAAGAGAAAGAGAATATAAAGAAAAAGCAGGCGCGCGCACGACCAACAACAAAACAAAAAAAGAACGACGATTCATCATTTTCATTTACGGAAACACAATAAATGGTGTTTCGCGTTAAATAGCTTTGGACATATTATTCATCTTGTATATGCATTTTATTATATTGGTTTCAATGGGGCAATAAAAATGACTATATAAACCGTAGACAGTGTAGATGCATTTTTATAGCGAAATACAAAGATTTTGTGGGCATCTCAGATACTTGATCTCACCTTGAATGCACGATTTCTATAACATTTATATGAACGACAAAAAAATGCCTGGAAATTTATTCGGCATATATGCCATGCAGTTTTTGTAAGCAACGGAGGCAGCGACAGCAGCACCAATCGCAACAACAACAAAACATTGCCGTTTGACGTAAAAAGCAACATTTCGATTTCCTTCTATGATTTCTTGATTCATTCATCAAGAGCGCGCAATTTTTACCGGCATATGCGATAAAATACACCGATTACAAAGCTCTTGCATTTCTTTCTCTTTCTTTTTTATTGCAATTCAGTTCAGGGATTGTGTATATATTACACTTATGTCAGTGTGTTCGCGATACTTGTCTGTTGTCATACGTTTGTTCGGAAATTATTTCAATCGCCAACATGACGACATTTGCATACATTAACCCAATACACAGGCAATTGATCTAATTAGTTGATGTGCAAATAAGTAAGCACTCTATTTCAAAGCCAGACGACAAACTGAATCGCTTTAATTGTTATCATGCGCTTTCAGTCTCGCATTCAACGGTCAATTTTATTTGAGAAGCAAGTCAAACACTTATGTGACACGTAAAATCTCTCACTTTGTAAAAAATACTGTCTGATTTTTTGGCATTGCTCTCCCTCTCTCTCTATCTCTCTCTATCTGTTTCGGTATTATTCTCAGTCACTGTAAATAAGCAATGATATATCGCTCGTTTCAAAGTGTGTATGCATGTATAAATATTTGCGCCAAAAGAGGAAAAACATAATTGAACGAAATTACAACAAAAAAGAGTGAAAAAAATGTTGTTTCATGATATGCGATATTTTGTGATTTCATTTATAGGTAATTGGGCCCCGTTTGATGGAGAACAGGAAACCATTTGAACTTAGAAAAGTTTTAATCGTGTACAATTTTCTGCAAGTGATTTTTAGCTGTTGGTTATTCTATGAAGCCAGTATCACAGGATGGCTTACTGGCTACAGTTTTCGATGCCAACCAGTCGATTATAGCCGAACACCGATGGCCCTGCGGGTAAGTGTCAATATTTATGTTTATCATTGTCATATTGAAAAATATATCATATTGTTCATATCGTTGCTATGGCATTTGTCAATTCATTTGGTTTTTTTTCTCGAATGTGTGTGCCCAGGTGAAAAAAAACGAATGGCAAAAAGACACCTAACAGCTTGTATGCAGTAAAATATTTCGTCACATAATTAGTTAAATTCTTAAAATAAATCATTTCAATCGTTTCTGTTCTATGCGATGGTTTTTTTTGTGTGTTACTCTTGGTATTTCATTTTTTTTTTTGAGTAATTTCGAGATATGCATGTGAGCCGGTAAACTTTTAACTAATGAATCGGACTTCAACTCATAACATTTTGAAATGTTAATCGTCGACATACACACGGTTTTAAGATACCCACTTTGAAGATTGCGACTTATAGAGTATCTCGAATTTGAATCGATTTGCGCAATAGCGTTGTATTGTCGTTTAATGTTTGCAACCGAAAAGATTCGACAAATTAGCCACGATCGATGGGATAACATTAGAAAGTATACCATAATGTGCTGAGGTTATGCTGATTTTCGGCCGACTCACTTCCATATTCGTATAATTTTATGTATTAAATTCACTTGATTTGGACAAACGAAGGTGATCCACTGAAATTTTGACCATTTGATTTGTTATTGTGCACAGTCAATACCAAATTAATTGAATCACAATGATGCTGAATTTGAAACATCGTTTCCATAATTACGTAAAGAACGTTTGCCAAATTTGAACATTCATTCGATTTCGATGATTTTATTCATTCTACGGCGGCCATGCCACACACCATATGATATTTTATGAATTTTATTTTTGGAAAAATACACAGCTTATGACGAATATATTAATTGAATGTTGGTTTTTATTTTATTTTATTTTTTTGCTTTAGATGGCAAGAGGATGTTGGTGGTATTATTTTTCTAAGTTCACCGAATTCTTCGATACATTCTTCTTTGTGATGCGAAAACGTTACGATCAAGTTTCAACATTGCATGTCATCCATCACGGAATAATGCCAGTGTCCGTTTGGTGGGGTGTTAAATTCACACCCGGCGGTCATAGCTCATTTTTTGGCTTTCTAAATACTTTCGTTCACATCATTATGTATACGTACTATATGCTTGCCGCCATGGGACCCAAAGTACAAAAATACTTGTGGTGGAAGAAATACTTGACTGTCCTTCAGATGATTCAATTCGTATTGGTTTTGGTGCATGCACTCCAATTGTTGTACAAAAACGATTGCAACGCTGAAATTGGTTTCGCCTACTTCATCGGTGCACACGCCATCCTCTTCTACTTTTTATTCTCGCGATTCTACAAAGAAGCCTACACGAAAAAACAAAAGGTACACATATGATTTAGAATGTTGAATTTCCTATCAAATGCGTATGTTTAAATGTCGTTTATTAATAGTGTTCTTAATTTTTCTTTTATTGAATTGTAGCAAGCTGCCGATGCCGCACGAATTGCAAATGGCAAGAAGAACGACGATGCTGATGCTGATTCGAAACGCGATAGTTTAAAATTATTGAATGGTCAAACGAGCATATACAAGACGGAAACAACGGTAACCAGAAGCCGCCATTATGTTGGTTCGGCCAATTAGATGCGAACCATTCGAATCGCGTGCTCTTCATTCAACGTGTGGAAATGGCAACACACACATACACACAACAACAACAACAACAACAAAAAGAATAATTTTTTTAGCAAATTTAAGTGCAACAACAAAAAAAAAATTTAGGCTACAATTATTTTAATTATACGTTTCTTTTTATATGCAATGATGATATTTTAATGCAACACAAACACAAAGATACACACAAAAACACATGCGCGCACAACTTTGTTTATGTTTGACAAAGAAATCCATTTGCATTTGGCGAATTATAAATTAAGAAGAAATAAATAAAAAAAGACACTAAGACTACAAATTGATATTGTGGTTCATTCGTAGAAAATTATGGATGGAATTTGAGCGGACATTTCGATTAAAGCATTGATATAATTTTATTGCGAAATGAATGAAAAACCTTTTTTTTAATTTGTACAGAAAAAAGCAAACGAATAAATTTATTGTTACAAAATAAAACACCCGAAATGTATTTATAAATTGAATTCCTTTTGTGGGAGGCTTTTACGTTGTTTGCACAAATGAAATTCCCACATCATCTTATAGCATCAGCCAGCAGACAGTTATTGCATATGATTGCAAAATTGAACAAATATTTTTTTGTTGTTGAATGTATGATGTTGTAAATTTCGAAATGAAAATGCAATAGCAGCAGGAAAAGCATAAAAATATGCACACATGTCAATAAGTATATCACCCGAATTAAATGGAGGGAGAGAGAATGGAAAACAATGCAAACAAAATTACTGGTTTATATATAAAAATATCTCGGCTATGCATTTATAAATATCGTATTGGTATTTTTGGTGCACTATTTGGAAATCAAATATTTTGCATTATGAAAATTAGTTCAAAATTTAAATATCGACGGGATGTCGACCTATTTAAAAAGCGATATCCATTCTCTTTCTCGTGCAACACCTCATTTGTCATGTGTGTTTATTTTGTTTTCATTTCGATGTTGTGTTTTTTTTCGTCTTCGTTGTTTTCTCTACTTTTGTTTGGGTCTCATAAACAATTCGACATTGGAAATGAAATACTGCATTTCAGGTAGAAATTACAATTGTAAGGTGCGTTTGGTGCGGTAATATTGATGACGTTTGCAACGACGCACTGACCCATTTTTTTGGATTTTATTTAATATATTCAAGGCTTCCAATTTCAACCTAATGGTCAAACAGATTTGTTCATAAGTTGTAGGCCACAACGGTGGGCTCCTTTCTATAAATGGAAATGATTGAATCTAATGGAATTTTTTTTGGTGTGTTTTGTTACTTTTGTCTCTTCGAACGACGAGAAATTTTTGATTATTTAATTCATTGCAATGTGGATGTGGACATTTGTGTTGTTCAGAAAAGAAAATAACATTCATCAAAATATAGAGCAATGTCACTACTCAACTTTTTTATGAAATTTCTTCGAATCCACATGTGTATTCACCGAAATTCATAATATGTTTGATGCATATAAATAAAATTGCACGAATTTGCAACAATGGAGAAATAAAAATAATATTGATTTGGGTTAAGTATATTCCGCTCTAATTGTATGGTGCATATTTTTCCCTCGTCTGATCGTAAAAGAGAGCAAGGTAAGTCACAGAAAAAAACCGTGATTTTGTTTTTTTCGAACCATGACAAAAAAAAAACAATAATTAAAATGAAAACGATACAATTTTAAATTGTGTTCGTATTGAAAAGAATGAATTTAGTAAAGTTATATGATGAATTTATTCAATTTCGTTTTAATTGGAATTTTGGAATATGAATATTTATTGAAAGTGCAACCACCGTAATGTTGCACCAATTAGAAACCGAACGAATATGAATGAAAAAAAGTTCAAGTTTAGTATGTCAAGCGCCCTCTATTGTGGAATTTCAATAGAAAAAAAGGTACCTTGAACATTACGACTTGAAAGCACACACTAATCCGTTTTGCGTCATCATTTTTATTAGCTTTGTTCGGTGTGCAGCATCTTGTCGATGTGTGCGTTAAACGCAAAATTCTATCATCGATTCGCATAGATAAATTTTTGTACAATTATGTGTATTTGAATAGTTGATTATTGAATAAATCAATGTGTGTTTGTATTTTGTTTTGTGTGTGATAAATATAGACACGATTGTCCATATGCAAGTGAATTCCAAATGTAATGCTCAACAAATTCGAAGTTGGTTTGTTCTTCGTGACACAAGCAAAGAATCATACACGGGACCATAGTACGCCCGGCATTTTTATCTAATGTTTGAAAACGTCATTCGATGACAAGTGCCGCATATTTAACCAAACCCTCCATATGCTATAGAACCGTCAAAATCATTCATAAAATGTGCACATGTAGATGTGAAACGTGATTGGAATTGTTTGTGCAAAATGAAATTTACTAACAAAAAACGGGATCATTCGAAAGTCAATTGAGCATTTATATTTTGATTTTTGATTTTTTTTTTCGTTTTAATTCTCGGTTTATTATTTTGTTGTTATTGTTTTGTATGTTTCTTCAAACCGATTTGACCAACACATTTCGTATTGTAATAGTTGATATCCAGACGTGAATTATCATTTATACAAATTAAAAACAACGAACGGTGAGTGAATGATATGTGTAATTCTTTTTTCCGAATTGAGATTACTAATTTTTTTTGACATCATTGAAAATTCCAATAATAACGCTCCGGTTCACAATTAAGCGAACACACACACACATACACACCTTTGCGTGGCATACATGTAGATAGCCTGTGTGTCACACATACAATGCCGCGCGCACACCACACCGTATACACACGGACCGAGCGACGAGAAAGCAGACTAAAAATCTACACGATATATTTGATATCTGCGATTTTTTACTTTAAGTAGGAAAGTTGCCTTAGAGTAGAGCGGAAGAAACACGCTTGCTAGAGTAAAAATTCGTAAAGAAAATAACATAAAACCGATTCGAAACAAAAAAAAAGAAAAACATTTATTAGAAAGAAAAGTAAATCAATTTTTTTTAAAATTCAAATATTATACGGTGATAGCACAATAATCGATTCTAGACGATATAAACTTTGAACGAAAAAAAATATACCGAAAATCAACAAAACATTAATTCGTATACCGATTTTTTTTATAAATAAAAATTAGTCCAATAATAAACAGATAAATACATTTGATGGACAAAGTCAAAATGTAACTGCGATTTTGCATAAATGAAATTTATTGGAATTTTGTAGATCTGTCAAAAAAAAAAGTTTTGTTATTGAAACAATTGTCCAACAAGTTGCGCATCCATCAAAAGTTCATTAGTGAAAATTGTGTCAAGTAATTTGGAAATCAATCGGCTTTTAAGTCCATGTGTGTTCCGATATGTCTACGGAATATTGTCTCTCAGCAAATTGATTGATTCAGTTTAAAACATTCAAGTTTTATTTTGTGGTGATGAAAAGTTTTGTTTTTTTGCTTCTATAGAAATTTATTGTCATCAAAACAAGCAAAAAAAAATTAAAGTCGAATAAAGTTTCTTGTTTTAATTTTTAATTCGCGCACACAAAGAGAAGAAAAACCCAACAACAAATACAATTGCCGAAATAATTAAAATGGAATTCACATGTGTGTCTACTTGAAGTTATGTGTCTAGTTGAACTTGTCGCTTACACAGTTCATTTATTTCATTGTTGTGAATCTTATAATTCACTAACCGTTGAATTTCTAAGTTTATGCTTAAAATAGTGACTCAAAACGTATTATGTTGGCCCTCTTGCAACGCGTCGAGGTGTCCCTAGCACGCTGCTGACCGAACGTTTCACATAATCGTGAGATTAGTAGAGAAGCAACACTACGGTGGGCGTACAATATTCCCGTCGCGGAATGCACATGATTTTTTCGCGGATTCAGTAAGTTTTGGTTGGTGACTTGACGGTTAATTTTTTTTTGTATTCGATTGAGCCAATTTAAGACGTTTTGTGTTCTATTCAATTTTGAATGAATTTTTCTATTGTTTTTATTCGTTTTTAATTCTTGTCAAACATATCCAAGCACAAATCGTATGTTATGTGTTTTTTTGTTGTTGTTGTCTATCTCGCTGTTTCTCTATTTCCTCTTGTTTATGGAATTACCGTTAATCGATTGACACTATTAATAAAACGCACGAACAAAAAGCAACGAACGCGTGACACTTATAGTTGGTATGCAAACCAAACTGTGTGCAAAAACAAACCAACGAATCTCTCTTCCGACGATTAAAAAAAAGAAAACAAACAAATTTGGTATGCCGAATTTTTTTTTTTGAATTGTTTTAATTTGTTCTAACCTCGAAATGCGAAATTTATCAAAATCAAGCGCAATGGAACTCAATCATACGAAAGAATTACAATTTTCTTGTAGTTGTTGTTATTATTATTGTTGTTTGTGTTGTTGTTGCTGACGCGACGTATGCCAACGGGATTTGGATGAACCTCAACGGGTTTCGTTTGGCATCGACGAGTTTCGATGGCAAAAGAATGAAATGAAGAAGGAGAGAAATTCGCAAAAAAAACACAAAATTTTTTCGCTGTTCTTTGTTGTTGTCGTATTTCATTTTATTTTTTAAAAATTTTTCGTTCGTGCTATGTGGACTGTCGTTAACAACAGTTAGCTTTCGCCAAATATTATCACCCGCCTTGCCTCTGTCTATCTGTCATTGTGGCTGATTCAATTTTGTTGTTGCGTTGTTTTTTTTCTGCTCACTTTCTTTATGTCTCTAGTCATCCGTCTCTTTTTATCTGTTTATCGGATATGCCGCCATGCTCAAGTGTGCTTCAACGGTATCGTTCGCATACACAACATAATGCCACTTTTTCACTTGTGTGACCGAACGATAATACGTCAATATGCGTAAAACGTTTTATGCATACATATATGTATATCGCACACTTTCTCCAGTCCACCAAGAGAACGAATGATAGATAAGCATTGATAAAAATTGATATATCAACACATTCATTTACACATTGCCAATACGTGATAGATGGATAGATGGATATAATTCAATGGTGAATGAAATAGAAATGATGAAATATGCGCATCATTTGTCCATTATTCAAACCAATTTAATGAGAAATTGGGCAATAGCATGGCAGAATGTCGGAGAATGTGATCGGTTATCGTCGGTTGTTAAGTGACGAGATCTATTTGCCATAATAGTGCCGTTGTTACACATAAACGCATATAAATATGAATACAAATTCAAATAGCGTATGACATACTGTAAATGGTACAAAGTGAGCTGTTGCATATATTCGATGAACAGTGGTGTTGGTCGATCAGCGGTGTCTACTTGTCGATCGTCATCGTTGTTGTTGTCGTCTTCTTCTTCTGCTTCAATATGCCATATCAATTTCATCGCTTCTTTTCACCCAACCGAACCATCGGCTCAAGTAAATCGAATGGAATTTAATAAGAAATTATATAAACATCCAAAAACTATACTTCATACAACCTTCGAACGGAGTGTAATCGAATCGTAAGCACGCATTATTTACTAGAGTATTTTATGTATGCCTATGAGCGCATACATCGCTGACTTCGTAAATTATTGATATAAATTTTTATGGTTTTTTTTCTTTCTTCGGGCTTTTTTTCTTTCGAAAATTGAGGTATGTGTTATTTGCCTATGACGTGTAGTATAGAAAGAGTGGGAGTGTACATCGTGCTATACCAAGTGATTTTTTTTTTGAGTTTCACATACTAACTTACTGACTGACTGACTATCTGACTAATTTTATATATACCATGTATACGCAATATAAAATATATCTTCACAAATACGCGTGCATTAGCATGATAAGCACCAGCGAATTCACTGTCCAAATGTTCAAATTTAGCAATAACAGCAACAAAAACAATAATAACGACGACGACGATGAAAAAATCCCTCATTACAACAGGAAGGTTAAATCAGAAGCGCGAGCTTAAAGTGTGCATTCCACTTCTCATAGAAGATTGCATATACAATGTATATACATAATTATTATTAATTTCTCTCCATTTATAAATTAAATAATTCCGAAAACGTAATCATGATTACAATGTATGTATCTGTATGCACACAGACCAATCGGCCGACCGACATCACTTTGTATTCCATTGAGCATAATCTTTTTTTTTGTTTTAGTTGTTTTGTTTTTTTTTCGTCAGAAGTATATGATTCATTTAACATTGGACGGCTTTTGAAGCTGTAGCAAGGAGGAAGTAAATAGCATTGTTGACACACACACACACGCACACACACACTTTTCAGAATGACGAAGAATTAGATAATATTTGCTGTTTTGAACATAGAAAAGCACTCGAGAAAAGTGGTCGTATTTAAGTGAATTTATTTTACAAAGTTTTCTCTCTCTCTCTCTATTTCTCGGTATATGTGTGATGATAAATTTGTCAACATTATTAATTATCGTGAGTTTGTTTTCGTTTTTTTAGCCTAATCTTGGTCACACAGCTACACTGTAACACGTCACAAAGTCACAAACAAACCGCTATATATACACGCTCAATTCGATAAATTGTATGCATTTCGTTGCGTATGCGTATCGTTGCTCATCGTATGCTGGACATAAAATTTGTCCAATAAATATTGCCCGCATCTGTATTTTTTCGTATTTAACTTTTTCGAGTTGGAGCGACACAAAGAGAAACATCAACGTTAAACATAATACACACACTTTTTTTGACTTTCACCTCGTTAATCGCACTGTGATATCGTAAAAATCGTTTTTAATGACAATTTTCTTAATCTGTTTTGGTTTCTCTGATCGTGCGTTTTCATCAAACGATTGCCGTTAGCATGGCACAGCATCCGATGCGTTCCATATCTCGACTTGTGTCTTATATTCAGCGTCTTCTTTCTCTTTCTTTCCTTCTTTCTTTGAAATTCGTTTGATGTTTGCATTCGATAAATGCTAGATAGTGTGTTGTATGTTTCGTTAAATGCAAGTCAGCCATATGATTTCTATTGCATATTCCGGTCAATGAATTGATCGATGTAACCGACAAGCAATTGAGAATTAAATAATAACGTTAAAATGTAACACATAGACACATTACAATCAAGGTATTCAAGAAAGAAGAAAAAAAAATATAAGCGCAACAACATTAAAATGAAATTGAAAGCGAAATGACTATATATTGAATGTGAAATAAGCAGACAAATATATTGAATCCGCTGGATTACGATTCGACTTGTAGACATAACATATATATATATTTTTTCTCTTTTGTATTTTAAATGGTTTCTCTGAGAGTTTGTAACTCTATGACTGCACAATATGATCGTGCAACGAGAATGCAGAAATCCAATGTGAACAGCCGAAGCGAGTCCGTTTGTTTGTTGCAAGGGAAGGAATATAACGTTGATTATTTGGTTTTATTCCACGAAATATAAAAAAAAATTCCACTGCATTGACGACATAATTAAGTGCTGGTAAGGTTACTTTCGGCGTGAAAGACCCTTCATACTGTAATTTGAGAGGAAAAAACCGACCACAAAAGAAGAAGAAGAAGAAATAAAAAAAGTACAAAAATTGGTTTTTTACGGGAATATATGTGTATAGTTCCGAAATTCGTAAGATATTTTGTAATTTTCTCTTCCCTTTTCGGTTTGAATTCAATCAAGTCCCACGAACACACACAATGATATTATTGGTAATTGGCCACACATTGTGATTGGTGCGTACGCGCATGCATACACGCATTCACAGAGACCAATTTAAACATAATTTCGGTGGGTAATCAATCCATATGACAAAACCTAACCGCAAACACACATAAATCACCCCAAACGGTGACACAACATACAGGATTCAATTAAACAAAAATCGCTTTTCAGAGCACTAAATATGAATGCAATCACACTTGATACCATTATGAGAAAGAGTTCAAAGCCCATGCACATGGAGACTGTATACCGCATACGCGGCACATGTATGACGGTCTGTGGAACTCTCTGTGCTTGTTGATTTCGTTTCTAAAGTGCATTTATATGTAAATCTATGCATTCAATGAATATATCGTTCGAATGATAATCACGTCGACCGTTGTGAAGTTTATTTTCTCCAGGCGATAGTGAATCGTACATTTTCATATATAGGTGAATTTCGGATAAGATACGAGCATTGAATTTGAAATAAACTAACCCTTCTGAAAATAAAATCAAATGCTGAATTTCACTAAAATCAACCGATCATTTGAACTGAGTTTTTAAACTGCAATTTTGGCGATTGGTTTTTCGTAAATCGCAAGGTCAAATCATGGTTCAGAATGACCGATCAAAGTATTCTCACGAGGGTAATCACTGAGGTTAACCCACATTCACACTCTCACACATAGACATAGAAAGCGAGAAAACACACATGCATGCATAAGTCACTGGACGTGTGTTATTGAAACCGAATAACTAAATTCAAAAAACTGAAATTCCAAAAGCGACCAAAAAAAAGACTTCATAACATAACAATGCAGAGACGACGAATTCAAGAGATCAAAAGTAAAGAAGAACGATTCGTGTTTTCTATATACGCATTCATCTAGAATGTTAATACCAATGATAACAACTTGTACGTTTTTTTGTCATTCATTTCTTTTTCCAGTTTTTTGTTAAATCCGACAAACAAGTTATAAATGAAGGGAACTTCTCAACACAAATATTCTCAATTTGAAATTGTATTAAATGCCGAAAAAAAACAACAACACCGAGTGACTCGTGTGTTAACCTTCCTCATTAAACTGCATTAAACCAATGCACAACATGTTTTCTTTAACCAATACAAAATTTAATGTGATCAATGATCATGAAAAATGGTTCGTTTAATATGAAAAACATTTGTCATGAAAACGAGAGGCCAACCAAAAATAAAAAATGAAATGATCGTCTGCCGATCGAAAGTCGTAAATTTTGCTTTTGCTTTTTTCAATGGTCATTTTACATTTTCGACAAATTATACGTTACGAATGGTATTCGATAAAAGCTGAAAAAAAAAAAATGTTGTGATGCAGGCACGCTGCTAATCACATATTTTGAAAACGAGACACATAGCAAAAACACTAAACGGATAACAAAACAACGATCGAAAGCTACACGAACAGAAAACAAATTCTTTTAATGAATGCAAAAAGCCAGTAATTAGACACATCATAGATAAAGTCAGTTTATTGTGGTACACCAACACATACCCATAGGCAGACCAGTCCAGCCAGGCTGGTTGTCAGGTATATAGGCATGCACACTATGTATTCAACACTGAATACATTAAATGCCAATTTACGTATGCGATGTTTAAACTTTTTGATTCCGACATCATTTACGCTTGGTGGTGGTGTGTATGTGTGTAAAATACATTGTAATAAGAGCAAAATCAAGGGAAATACTATCGAAAAAAGAAGCTCTGCGAGACAGAAACGCTCTCTTAAAAAACCCAGAGACAATGCTCTGGCCATAGTTTAAACATACATTTTGAGTAAAGCGCACGCTTCACAAGTTAACGGTGATATAAACATTTTTTTTTCTTCGTACATTTTGTGTATCTCGATCGGAGAATTTTATAACTTCTGTAGTGTATGCATGTGTGTGTGTGTGTTTTTTTTTTCATTAACTTGATTTAATAATAGAAAATACCAATCGTAAGTCCTTCGTTTTATCACGTATATTCGGGACGATATGGGCAATGTTAATTGAAATTTTAATAAATTATGAGCGAAATTTTCGCGTTAAAGTAACATTTATTAGATGTAATTTTATTTTTAACGTCTATTTAAGTCATTTAGGCTTCTTATCGCGCATATTCTCATTCAGAGATCGTTACACGTTAAATTTATCAAGCTAATTGCGATTATCGCAATTTTTATACGATCACTGATTTTTCGCGTTTTTTTTAAAAACATTTTTATTCGGTTGTGAGAGTGAAAGAGCCTGTTCTCTGCAAAAGATTTATCCAGTTGAAAAAAATGAAATAATTTAAAATCCACATATGTTGTGTAACATTTAAATGCAAAATGTGTGTACGTGAAGTGCATTGTGCAATGTAAGGTTACAAGTGTAATTATAATCCGATCTTCCTTGAAAAAAAAAAGAATGAATTTTTCGCGCGAATTCACGTATTTACATTCAATCGTAGATTGTCAAGTGGTCAATACAGGCTACGAAATGTGATTTTAATTTCTCTCTCACGCTCTCCCCCTACGTCAATCAATTCTCAATACACAAATAGAGAGAGACACACACACACGCAAACAATAATAAATAAATCGTACACCCGATGAATTAAAACAAACCAATCAGCTAACCAACCACAGAGTTAAAAAAAAAACGATATAACTCATAAAATAAAGATGGATAAGCTGATAAACAAGTGCGAGCACATTAAGATTATTGCCGACACTGGTCGATAGAGAGCGAAAGCCAACGTGAGCGAGAACGAACGAAAGAGAATATCGACATCGTCTAGAATAACTTGATAAAAGGAAGAAAATCATTATAGTATCTGTTTATTTATGCGGTGTTCGTGCTTGTGTGCTCTCGCAATCGAATTAATTGTCATTTTCGAAAAGTTATTGAAAAGAAGAGAGACGGAATGATTGTGATGGAATATATCAGGTTTTATAAAATCAGTCGGTTTTCAATTTTGCATTTTATTAGCATTTCATTCGTCGTGCCGTTCAAATCGACTGAAAATTATTTTTTTCGTTGCCAATTCAAAATTCGTTATTTGTTCTGAAGCAACAGAAAAACAGCACAACTGGCATTTCACTCAAAATCAAATGCAAACCAAATCAAATAGAAATTTGTTATCGTTCGTTGTGGATATTCTATAGTATTTTGCCAATCATTTGTGTGTTTCTTTTCGTTTAGTGTTTTTGTTGGTTTTTTTTTGTTATCGTCGTCGTGGTCATCGTTGTCATTCGTCCTTTTGATAATTTGACTTGACGTATGACTCTTTTTCGTTAATTTAATACATATATTTTTTTGTGGCCAAGAGATTAATTCACGCTTGATTATTCCATTGAGTGTTGTTCACTTTATTAATCACTTTCGTTTTCTATTTTGTTTGGTTTTTCTTTGTTAGACATTGACACGTGTTACGATGGCGTACATTTTACACGATATATATGATTGGTATCGGGACCTGATGGATAACAAAAGTGGTACGTATGATTCCGTTTTATTAAAAAAAGCAAAAATTCCCAAAAAATTGGTCATCATCATCGCAGACGGTTTAATTTTTTAAATGAAAGGTCGTTGCTTTGACTATTAGCAGGACACGTGTTAATCGTGCGACTTTTTTGTTTGGCATTGATTTTAAGTCATTGTTATTGTTTTGATTTCCAGATCCACGGGTGAACGATTGGCCGATGATGATGTCGCCGTTCCCGACAATCGGAATCTGCATATTCTATGCATATTTCAATAAAAGCCTAATGCCAAAAATAATGGCCAATCGCAAGCCATTTGACTTAAGGAACACTTTAGTAGTTTATAATCTTTTTCAAACCGTATTTAGTATATGGATATTCTATGAAGTAAGTAACAATTTCAATAGACAATAGCCATTCATAAAATAATAACTATTATTATATTGCGTGTATGCATTTGTCTATGATTGTAACGGTTCATCATCACGTTGTTATTTAATACAATAATTTTTTTATTTATGAATTTGTTCTTTAAGTAAAATGAATTAGCTTTTTATTACATCATTATCAAAACTCTGAACACTAAAATTGCGATGTTCCATAAATTTCGTGAGATTTGTTTCATTTTGAACATGGTCATATAGCGCATTGTTTCGAAATTAAAATGATGTTGCAAAATGTTTATCAATGTTCTGAAGTGCTTAGATTTTGTTTTTATTTTGATATGAAATGCCGGTTCGATTATTTCGCACGTGAAGTTTGTACGCGCAATGGCCTGAATGAATATAACGTAATGATTTGCTGATTACATTTTAATGCATTCGCAATGATAATATACCTATAGGTTTCTTGTTTTCTTTTGTTTTATTCTCTTATGGTCTTTCCATTCATTGTTATTTATTTTCTTTCGATTTCGTTTGATTGATGCAATTTGTAACAGTATCTTGCGAGCGGATGGTGGGGTCATTATAGCTTTAAATGTCAGCCTGTTGATTACTCGACCAGCCAACTAGCGTTAAGGGTAAGTTTTAATTATCATTGAACTCCATGTCACAATACAAATATTTCGTTTGAATTTCGTGTCTCACTATTTCATCTTTATATTTATCTTTATATATATCTCGAAATATTTCGTTTGTAATTGCGTATAATTACAACAATGTCGAAATTAATCGACCTTCACGGATTTTCCTGTTGCTCATCAATTAATAATTATTATCGCTTGGCAATTATATGCATACAAAAGAGTGATGTGAAAGTGATTTGCATGAATTACAATCGAAATTGTCGTTGATTATTATTATTTGTCGGCGTCTCTGACATTTGCTTCGACCGTTTTCTATTGAACCGCCAGTGATTCTGGCAAGAATTCATTGAAACAAGAAGTTAAACAGATAGAGGGAAAGAGTGTATGAGTGATAATAATAAAACGAACACGCTGCCTATACACACACACAAAACAAAAATAAAAATTTAAATATAAATTGCATTAACTGCTGTTGCGCACGTGCTATAAAATGTGCATATCACAGAAATGAAGCCGGATGCTGGACGCATCATCATCGATGACAAATCATGATATCGATCATAAATTGTATGCAAACAATTCACATGCGTAATAATGTAATATTATTGATCAGTTTTTATTTCTCTATTTCCCCTCCCTCCCTTTCTTCCGTTTCGTCTTCTTTTCCATTTACAAATCATCGGATTGTCTTGCTCATATACACTCTTTGCTTTGTATTCCGTGTACTCATGCTCATTGTGCTAAATATTTTCGACATACATCGAATTGTTTGATTATTAAATTTATGCCTTTTTCACTCTCGTTCTCTGTCTCCCTCTCTCTATCTCTCTCCCGTTCGTGCAACTATTCGTCTTGGTTTCGTTTAGATGGCGGCTACTTGTTGGTGGTATTACATAGCTAAATTCACGGAATTCTTTGACACATTTTTCTTCAATTTGCGAAAAAAGACTGAACACGTTTCAACTTTACATGTTATTCATCATGGTTGTATGCCTTTCTCCGTGTGGCTCGGACTCAAATTTGCACCAGGTAACTAACAATAGCACATACCCATTTATTTATTTATTTTTCTGTTCGGTTTTTTGCATACGGTAGCCAATATATGCGTAAAATGTATGCTATATTGTGTTATGGCAAATCAATGCTCGACATTTATATAGATGTTGATTTTTAAGGCGTTTACCATTCACTGACTTCGACAAGACTCTGAATCTATTCGCACTTTTATTAGGAGCACATTTATTTGGCTATGCGATTAATTTGTAATTTGATTTCGATACTATTTTCGCGCGATGTGAATATTTAATGTTTGCGATATATCGACAAAGCAAACGATGCTAAAAAGAAAACCATAATATACAACTGCACAAAGCGACGACGAAGAAGAAAAAAAAACAGCAGACATCGATTGAATGAGCAACAAAAAAGAGACGACTATATGAAAATTAAATGCCTCTTTTGAGACGACAAGCGTTAATTGCACCATCCAATGCACTACGGCATTCGAATGGAATGGACTCTTTATGCGTTTATTTAACATATTTTTTTTTATGTAAAAATAGGAACATAAATACAGACGAAGACATCGCGTACAATGTTTGAACTCATGAATTGTTTTGTCAATGCTAACCATTTAACATGACTTAATTCAACAATGAAATAACCAAAATATTCACTCGAATTTGAATGAAAATAACACCGAAAAACAAACTCACTGTAGTTTTTTTTTCTTTATTTCTTTTGCAATTGAGATTGAAATTTCAAACCATCCAACATGTAACCTTAAAATGTTGACACCGTTCTTTGTGCAAAATTAGCACAAAGTCATTATATATTTGCTTATTTTGGTTCCTTATTTGCAATGTTGAACTCATTTGATTCGTTTTTTTCTCTCTCTCTCTTTTTCTCTGTTCTTTTTCAATTTCATTTTCAGGCGGTCACAGCACATTCTTTGCCATGTTAAATACGTAAGTTTTATAATACAAACACAGACATACACACATAGATCATCTTTCAATCAATCCGTATTTTTTTATTAATTTTTATCATATTTGTTTTTCTGATTCGTTTTTTTTTTTTGCTTTTCATTTCGTGTTCGATGCGAAGTTTTGTACATATCATTATGTACTTCTATTATATGATTGCCGCCATGGGACCAAAATACCAAAAATACATTTGGTGGAAGAAGTATTTAACCGCTTTCCAAATGGTGCAATTTGTTGCCATTTTCATTCATCAATTCCAGCTATTGTTCAGAGAATGCGATTATCCAAAGGGATTCATGATTTGGATTGGATTGCATGGTGCAATGTTCTTGTTCTTGTTCTCTGATTTTTACAAAACCAAATATACATCGAATCCAAAAAAAGCAGCCGCACTCAAAAATGGCACAACCAACGGCACTGTCAACGGAGTAAGTATCTATGGGTCATGTTCATTCAGATCAGATTTGATGTATAATTTGGTATATAGACATTCTCGTTCTATTCTCTCATTCGAATGGAATAATTTGAAACCCACAAAAATAAAAAAAAGAGACGAACTTTTCAACTTTTGTCGATACTCTCGAGCTTAATTAACACACACACACATTTTGTTGTGTATCAAAAAGAAGTGTTCCTATATCGAAACATTTTCCTCTTTTATTCTTTTAAAAAGCAGCCATATTTTGATCAAACATTTAACCTCAAGTGAATAAAAAAAAGCTCATGGTTTCTTTTCTTTTTCGATTCACCCCCCAAAACAGCATTGTGCCAACAAAAATGGTAAAGAGACGACCATAGCCAATGGATATACTAAATTGGCCAACGGATCAAGTTCCAACAATGGTAATGGCATCAAGAACGGCATTAACGAAAATGGCCAAAGCAATCTACGTAATCGACAAACGGCTGTTAAATAAACACAAAATCACTGTCTACAAATTGAATTTGCATACTAAAATGAAATATTTAAAGATTTAAACAAAAAAAAACAATTTGTTTTTTTTTTCGAAGCAATCAAACAAAAACATTTATATTATTTTTAATTATTATTATTAATTTTTTGTTGTTGAAAAATCAAGAAAATGAAAAGAGGAAGTGAATCTAATCTTTCTTTGATAGGCACATATAATTTTATTGAAAGGAAGAAGAAAAAAAAAAAAACAAGATTAAAAATGATGTGGAAAAATTCTAACTTTACAGAAAAAATTCAACCCAAAAAAAATCAAATGAAGAGCTTACTCAAAGATAAACACACAAAAATAAAACAAAGTGAAAAAAAAAATCAAACTGGCACACAAACTACATTAGAAAAAAACTTTTTTTAGCTCACCATGACTTGTCACTCAAGCAGCATTTATTTTGAAAATTGAAACGAAAATATGCACAACTTTGTGCGCAAATATTTCGAAACATATATTCTTTTTATGAGTGTACACAAACAATGATTCTTCATAAATATTTCGGAAACAATCGTACATTATAGCAGCCGAACATTTGGCATTGTACAGATTTATACAGATATATATATATATATGTATATTCAAAACACAAATTTGCAACAACAATTTAATTTGATATTCATCTGCTTTGCAAAGAGCTACTGGCAGAATCAAAAGTGAAGAAAAAAAAAGAAAAAAAAAAGAAATCAAATATTATTAAGTAGCATAGGATGCATTCAGATCTAATATTTAACAATGTAAAAGAATCTATTAATTTATTTAATACTTTATTGAAAGGGAGAAGAAAGGAGCATAAATACACACACACAAGAAAAGGCATCAACAACTACTGTAGGGACAAAAATTAGTATGAATGTTGCGTCTTTGATTTTATTTACTGTAGAAAAAAACCAACCACACGGAGTAACAGCGGAGTAACAGACACAGTAACAAGAACAATAAATTTATGCAAAAATGAAAATATCCAAAATCTATATTTTTTAAATGGAATTATGTTTTAAAATTACACATAGGATTAATTTATTATACAAATATTCAGAATGGGTGTTCTATGGTTAAAATTTAAATGAAAAAAAAAAAATTTATAAGATTAAACGTGAAAAATCACATTTGCATTCACATACATTCACACATAAAAACAACAACAACTATTGCTGCAACAACACGCAAATGCAACACACAAATTCATATTTATAAAGTTGTAATTAAGCTGGAAAATAGAAATTAATTTGAATAAATGCTCTTTTTTATAACCACTGGAATATGATAAATCTTTATTTTTTTTATTTAAAAAGTGAATGTGTGCAAAAAAAAAGACACAAAATGAACAAAGCGACAAAGAATAATCAGGTAACTACACACTGCCCGCTAAGATAAATGTCCAGAGCTAGTTTAAACATAGATTAGTTTGTCTCATTTGTTGATGTGTTTCTTGAATAAATCAAAGAAATTCGAAAAAAAAAACTGGCGACCAAAACATCCGCTTCAACTGTAAGTCTTCTTTTCTATAAGTGAAAACAGGTCCGTTCGGTTTACCATTTTTTTTTTGCTGTGGTTAAAGACAAAACAAAATAACAAAAAAAAACGGCACATTAGAACAGCGCATTAGTTGAACATTATATAATAATGATCCTTTGTTTATTTTTATAGTTGTTTTTGCATATGTTTCGGTGGTTGATCGATAAAAAATATGATATTTAAGTTCAATTCACGAATGTACCCCAATCAATGGCACTTTTAGTACATACTTCACACTTGTTAAGGTGTGTGAATGCGGTCGTTGATTTGTTGGAGATATATAAAATGAACGCTTTTGGCTTCAAATGTCAACCACTTTACAAACGTTCATGCGTTCATTGCAAATTGTTACATATTCTTTTTTTGAAAAAAATGCACAAATAGGTGTGCATGCATGACATGAATCTGTGCAAATTGTGACGGTCAAAATCAATTAGGAAGCAATTTAAAATAGACTATTTAGGATAAATTCTCTTTACAACAAAAAAAGCTTTATGTATATAATGTGTTAGAGTTTGCTATTCATTTATGCGTTCGCATTGCGTCGCCGCATTAATTATTTCCGGAATCATTTAGTTTTTTTTTTTGTAATTCAAATCAAAATTGATTTGTCACACACTTGTGTTTTTCATAATAATAATAATAAAATGAAACAGTTTTATTACACTTATTTTCTTACGAAAATAAAATCAACGCGTGTGTTGTTTTCATTACAATAGATACTTGAAAATGCATGACAAAAATGGCAGCAAGTGTTGTGTTCGAGCGAACGCTTCACGATTACAATGACATTGAATTTTACCATAAAGTTCAACAAAATGACTTATCTGCTCGTAAGATCTTCAACACCATTTGATATGCCGCGGCCGACACAAAGGCAACCAAAACAAACCGGACATTTGCATTGTGTCATTCTCGTGCGCTCTCAAAATCTAATTATCTAGTTCATTATCAGAATTTCAATGAGACACGGTAATTATATTTTGATGATCAAGTGGAAATCTTATAATTCTCTCCATACAAAATAACAACAAACAAACGTGTAGTAAGATGAAGAGAATACAATGTGAAACAGAAATGCAAAAGAAAAAATAGGGAAAAAAACCGACTTGCTCATATCGACACTTTTCGCAAATACACTTCCAGGAGACGTGTTCATCATCGTTCCGCGCTATAAGTATCAATTTAAATCTAAGTGTCATCATATTATGACTGCTGTAGCAAAAACATTTGAAATCTATTTGTATTACTAAATGGGGGTAAAGAGAAATATTGTAGATACATCTAATACAAAAATTAAAAACAAAACCCAACATAACAAATGAAACATAAAAATATAGCGAGGAAAAAAACGAAGCAAAACAAAGAAGAAAAACACACACAAACGGCAGCAGCATTAAAAACACCGAAGAAATGTCGCTTGGTCACGTTTGGATAAAATATTAAGATACTGTAAAGAAAATCGAAACAACATATACAACATACTACGGATGACGGACAACGACGACGACGCTGATGACGATGGCGGCATATTGAACAAGAGAACGAGAAATCACTAAGTCACTGTCATGGCCAGTCACTTTGACCAGACAATAAAGCGCACAACCATAAGAAGACTGGACTATACGTACGAAAAAAAAAATATTGCTATTCAAGCATTTTTGTATTGATATGGTATTGAGCAAATTTCCTTTCATTTTATTTTCACTATGCCACACAAAACCATTCAAAGTGGTCGGGTTATGCCATTTTTGTTGTTGTTGTTGTTATTGTATGCAGTCTCATCGTTGCTTACATTTTGAATGTGTGTTGTATGCATTTTTTTGTATATGAATGCAATTTAACAACCGCATAAAAATATACCATCCATTCAATTGGGGCATGCAGCTGAAAATTTTCACAAATGATTCAACTAAAAATAAAAAAAAGCACTTTGCAGCACTTGTCCCTGTTTCATAAAACGTTCAATTCAATTTGTATCATGAGAGACATTTTTCCGTTCGCTTTGCATAACGAATGATTGATTTTTTTTAAATTTCGTTTATGAAATATTTCGAAAACCGATCAGATGGTATATGGCCGAGTTCGAGGTGAACATTCGCATATCATTCCGAAGTGAAAAATGTACACGTAATAATCGAAAAGTTGGAAACTCTTCAATGATGTCGAGTTTTTCATTCTCGTTTTTGGCCAATTTTTGTGGTGAATTTGACGGTCGAATACGATGACCCAACACTGTCGAATTAGATATGTGCGCATTCAATTTACCGGCTTTTACTAGTTTTTCCCTTCAACAAAAAAAAACGACACAAAAAAAAAGAGTACGGCTCATTAAACTAAATCATAAATTTTAAATTCATGACAAGAAAAAACCAATCCAAACAAGTTTGGAAGGTGTGCGACTCGGAGCAATGTTGGAACGGAAAAAAACAAGCAAGTGCAAGTACTGCATGTTTCATTGTCATCAAAAGTGCTTTCCATTCTTGTCATTGGGCATTTTTATTCTTCTTCCCTTGTGCGTGATTTTGGGAGTGTGCGTTTGAGCGCAAACGCGCACAAACGATCTTGATCAAACTCGAATTTTTGGACGGTATACATAAATTTCAACGTGTTTCATTACATTCATTTGCAATACTGCACATGCAACAATTACCTCCATTATATGAATTAATTTGGTTACTTGTACGTTTCGATTTTGAACTGGTTCGACGCTTTCGGTTTTTTTTTTGCAAAATGCAGTCTATTTTGTAAAATTGTTTTTCTTTTTTTTATGAGCTAAGTAATTCAAAGTTGAAAAGAGGTCGTTTTTCTTCCTGCCTTTTTTTATCTCCGTCACAATAGCTCGTGCGTCTATTTCCTTACATTCCAAATTAATGCCTTACATATTTTTTTTTTATCTTTTGTCTTTATTTGATATTATGACGGTGTCTTTTATTTTTGCGGTAACATTGAGCTTAAACTATTTTTAGCTCAGTTTTACGTCTTAGCATCGCTTTTTTTGTCTCTCGTTATATATATATGGTGTGTTATTTTTCATTTGGTCATTTTCATCCGTATAAAGAATATATTTACGTCACAGATAATGGACTGGAACCAGAATCGAAAAACCTGTCGTCAACTGTTTACTTCCATCGTCTCGCGACCGCGATAACAGACTTTTTTACGTAAACATTAATTTGTGTGACCGATGTTCTGCTGATATATCAGCCACAAAGATGTCGTCATCGGAAAAATAACCACATTCACATTATCAATTATGGTTCTAAAGTTCAACTTATTTACTGGATAAAAAAAAATTGAATTTAGCGGAAAAAAGTGAACATATAGAGAGAGAGCCGTGTGGCGCACGAGCGCAGAAGCGCGTAATTTTTTTTTAATTTCTTACATTTTTCTTGTCTGGTTTGGTTGGTTGGTCATTCGATCGTTCTTTTTTTACGGCATATCATATATCATTATTGCGTGCGCGCCACTTGCGGAATTTGTTTTGATTCCCAAACTATGTTTATAATTAATGATATAGAATATTCCAGAGAATATTGTGGCTAGTGCAACTACTAGAATTATCGGCAACACAACAAATCATGTGCCAAAGAGACCATCCGATGTACGTAATCAATGTAGTATTAAGCACGTTTGCCATTAGCTGCCTGACCAACCACAGATCTTTGTAAATAAATAACATGTCAATGGCAATTAAACCAACAAGAATGGAATGAAATCGCTGGGTTCTTCCCCATTCTGTTTCTTCTTTCAATGTTCTTTTTTCCTCTTCAGCTTCATTTAAATAGATGTATATAAAGGAACAAAAACGACATTTTATGTGCAGTGATGACGTAGATTCTGAAATTCCTTATAGATTTTCCCACATTTGATTTTATTTTATTACGAAGACACGGAACACTTAAACGAGGCAAAAATAAACATATCAAAACTAGTTGATTTTGCACATTAATTTTATTTTATTATTATGCTATTTGATTCGATTGCACGCACACAAACGATGCACAAATTACTTGAAATGCTAGAAACTGTTTTTTTTTTTTTTTGTGAATCAAATCAATAAAATTCACATTAAATACTGAAGCCCACTTAATCACACATTTAACAAAAAACTACTTATCCGTGCTAGAAAATAAAAATGCTTCAAAATGAACACGAACAGCAGTAAAAGATATGTGTTTTTTTTTGCTAGAAAAAGAAAGAACACGAAAAAATAAAACCCCAGACACTCAAATTAATTTATGTATATGCAGTTGATCTCGAACAAAAAAAAAAAATCAAAGTATGCAATGAAACGAAGATTCATAAAAGTTGATTGAAATCAGAGTTTGTTTATTTTTTCAAGTGGCCACCGTAAAATGTTTGTAGACATCTTTTTTCGATCCTATTCATTTGAATTGAGTGCAAATAAAAAAAATATATACGGGAAAATTAATTTGCAATGCACCGATTTATTTGTAATGCACATCATCCGGCACCATATATCAATCAGAATATGCATAGAGTATGGTGCTCGACATTGTTCGTACTGCAATCTGCATAAAACGAAACTATATTTTGCAATTAACTGTATAATCAAAATACATGACTGCATGATTGAAATTCAATTGAATTTAAAACTGAAAAATATCAAAATTCTGCGTATCCAAATCAATATGGCATCATCATCATATCGGAATTTCGAACATCTTTCAATTGTGTTTGATTTTTCATTTAAAAAAATTGGATTTTGATTTGGGTGACAGTGTTTTGCACGTCTTCGCAATTGTATATACAGATGATTGGCGAAAATTGACGAATGTGAATTATATGTTTGGTTATCGGTGTTCTATGTGTCTTTTTGTTTACTCGTTTTCGTGTTAAAATTCTGTTGGTTTTTTTTAGTAGTCTCGAAGTTTTCGGAAAGCCTGACGCCGGCACATATTCGCATGATATGTGCAATTTGTGTGTCGGAAAGCCTCTAGAGTATCCAAAAGCTAAGAGCGAAATACCCGAAATCGCTAGATCGAAATGTGTGAACACACACTCCTTTATGCACACTCGATAAATCGTATGCGTGCAACCGATACGCCAGTTTGCATGTATAAGTGTGCTCTGCATCGGTATGGTTTTCGTACGCATACATATAGTACATCATAATAAAACATGTTGACAGTTGGTCAGTAGTTAAATTTGCTCCTATAGATATATTCAACATGTTTATCGGCCTAAAATATACCATTTATTTTTTCTCTCTGTCTCTCTTGTTTTCGCATTTATATATGCAGTGTGTATGTGAGTTTTATTTTTCTGTTAAGTAACAAATGTTGTTGATGAACGATACGAAAATGTGTGGTGACGACGATTTGCCTCTTGCGTGCTCAAATACGATAGTCGCCGTATGATGCGTGTGCCACAGTGTGAATGAAATACAAATGCATAACCGAACGATATGACACATACACACAGACAATCCGGGTTTTTGTATGTATATGTTTGATACAATATAGGGAAAACGTGCGCCAAAATATCGTATACACTATACACCTGTGTACATGTAAACCAATACATATAACGAAGCACATTTAATCGATAGAGGGGTTTTGAGCAAAACTTGACATGATTATAGCATTCAAATTTAGTTTCAATTTAGTAGTGTTTTAATCAACTTAGGTGTTCTTTAGCTGTAGATACAAATTTAATTTAAAGTAATTTTTTTTTATTTTTCTTCTGTTATTCACATATAAAAAAATAAGAAGCGAAAAAGTATCGGTTGAAAAAATATTTGAGAATTGTTTTGTATTTTTTTTTTGTTGTTTTTAAATGTATGTGTGACAGACTTCAAACAATTTGAGATAAAAATTTCTCGCCGAAATCATAAATCGTGCATTTTAAAACGCTTGATCTCAGTAAACATTCAGTATTATCGTAAATTTGTAATTTGGGTTCGGTTTTCTTTTTGTGGCAATAATATTGTCACCGCGCATATAATTACAACATTTGATTGGTATTCTCGAGTTTAAATTTATTTATTTATTTTTCTCTTTAAAAAGAAATGACGAAGAAGACGACAAAATGTATCGCTTAAATTATCCAGCGCCAAAAACTTATAAAAATAAATGCACCATACACCATATCATATCAAAGTAGATTTATCAAAGTGATTTATCATATCTAATATTTTCATTATAATTTTCATTGAACACGCGCGGTCTCTTGGACACTTCGTGTTTTTTTATGGACATCAATGAACAAAACGTTTGAACAATTTTTAGCGTAGAGCAAACATATCTTTATTGATCATATGAGTATATATCTATTATATATACATGTACAATTTTTTTTTTATTGAAAAACAAATATTAAAATTCGCGTCCAGCCAACGATGATAAAAAAAAACCACTGAAATTCAAATAACATCATATCATTGGCTAACTTTCTTCGATTTATTCGAATTCCAATTGGAATCAAATCGCATTCGTTAATATTCATTTGTATATGTGATAATCGGCCAAAAATACGCGCGCATACATCACCTAATCAAGTGTTCAGTTTCATTTAGTGTGTTTATACGAAAAATTATATCATGCATACAGTGATTTCGGCCAAAGTTTATCGTCAATTCCATTGGAATATCAATCGGAGGTTCATTTGAACAAACAAAAAGCAAAATAGATACACATTTCCTTGTGCAATATAGTCTACTTTGTTATCGCCAATAGAAGGCTGTGTGACATTTTTTTTTGCAATTCTCGCATTATCATACTTCTTTTTTCCATTTTCGGCATACGTGTAATTGAATGTGTGTGTACCTGGCCTCAATGTGCAATTTCGTTTACGATTCCATCACAATTTTATTTTCATTCACTTTTTCCCATAATATCTTTCTTGGGTTTGCGAGCCCGCGACCGCGTATCTTAGTAAACATTCATTCGGTACATTTTTGGTGAACACACTTTTCACCACAGAGTCCATTGCATAGTAAATCTTTAAAATAAAATTACATCGTTAATTAACATATTTAATTTTTCGTGTCATTTCGGTTTGTGTGTGCGTTTGTGGATTTTCCACATATATATATATCCAGACAGATTTACTTCTCTTTTTTGTTTACAACATATTACACATCGATAACACATCAATATACACCAACATAAACAAATAGCCGAATGAATAAATCATAAACAAATGAATTGCAACATAATACATGCATGACAAGTACATAACACTTGATTATATTTTGTATGAGAAGAAAAGAGTAAGCTAAAATAAAAGTAAAACAAAAAAAATTTTTTTAGCTTGTACACAAGTTTTAGTGCTTTCTATTTATCGGTAAATCTACTACAACCATAAATAAAGTGACCATCCAGCCAGTCGTTCGCTTTTTAAATCACCGATTATTATATCTGTGCGTATTTATGTGGCGCACATATCAAACACAACGCTACGACATTTTTCCGCTCATGGAAATTATCAACATCGAACTCGTCGCACTCCAAAAGATATTCAGATGGTTTTCGTACTCTATTGATCGATTTTTATCATTTCATTTTGACCAAACACACACACAGCCAAAAGAGCCAATTTTAATTTAAAAAAAAATATTGTCTTCATAACGATTGTTTTGATTCGGTTTTTCTTTTTGCGCCTTGGGCACATTCATACAATTTTCTTTGGTTTGATTACGACGCCGTCAATGTCGCCGTTGTCGATTGCTCTTATTGATGATGTGAACACCGTACTTTGTGCATCCATCCTTATTGCACTTTTGGCTCTCGCTCTTGCACCTTTCCGATCGTTTCATGTAACGAAAAGTTTGTCCCGATTCATGCCTATACCATATACATAAATTACATATGGTTTTTTTTGCACATAAGACTATTTTTTCTTTTTCGGTCTTGTTTAAACACGCGACACATCCATAGTCGAAAATCAAACAGAAATCTTGTTTGTCAAATCATGTTTTTATGTTTTCTCAGTCTCTCTTTCTTCTTTTTACTCTCTCTATCTCTTTGGCGATCTTTTCTGGTGTGTGTGTGTATGCCACCACACGGTTTAAATCATCTCTCTTTTTCTCGGTTCGTTCTCTTTCTCGTTTTTGTGCGTTACTTCTTTCACTTTCAATTGAGTTATGTAAAAAATTGAAATGAAATAAAAAAACGCACACACACACTATTAATCATAACAATAATAATAAGCATAGCAACAGCTACTGGCTGCGATTACGATACCGATCACTGTATTTGTTATTGTTAGTATTCGAAGTAAAATATTTAGGTGGTTTTTTGTCACTCTCGTTCGTTCGGTTTTTTATTTCGTTTTTCTTTCTTTCATCATTTTTTTTGCAATTTTGCTCTAAACTTATGTGAAAAGAATGCCCGTATAATCATCGTTCACACATCAATTTGTGTGTGTGTGTGTGTTAATATCGAAAATCGATCATTCGCCGCATTATCAAAAGATCCACACTGTAACAAGTGTTTGATCGCACGCATTGATCTTCGTTTCCACATTTTATTTGACATTAGCCAATATGCTTCTTTTTCGCAAACAAAAAAACACACACACACAAAACAAAATTTTTAGTTTTAAGGTTAAATCATCAGCAATTGTAATACAAATGTTATATATTTATATTTTATTTTTATTTTTTTAACATTTTTCTGTTATCGTTGTTAACACACAGGCGATTGTGCAGCTAAAGTGAAGGACAAACGACTACCACCTAAATTTAAAAATTGTTCCACAAAATAGCCGATAGTGTGAAATAAAACAAAGAAAAAAGTCCGCTTGTGACAGTTGCGCTTAAGCAACGCATAAACGCTGAAGTAAACGCAAACATCCGCTAATAAAAAAAGATTATTTTTTGTTTTGTTTTCAATCAATCGCGTGCAAAAGAAGAAAAAATAATAATAATAAAAAAAAAGAGAAGAAGAAAAAAATTGAAAGAAATAGACATACACACAACCAAACGGAACGATATTGTATCAAAGCATTTTTCAATCAGTTGATCGATTCACATACAAAATTGCAGTCTCAATAAACAAAAGTGAAACTCTTAAATAAAGGAAATACCTAAAGTACGTGATATAAATTCTAAGCGGTAAGTTGAATATGATCAATACACATCTGTGTGTATATGACACAATTTTTATGTAGCATTTTGTGTGACGCTTTTTTAAATATATATATTCAATTAAAGCTATCAATGTGTCAATTGCATTTCAAATTGTTTTAATCGAAATTGAAGTGATGTTATCAAAGTTGTTCTATTGATAAGTTTTTTGTATTTGGTTTTAATTGGTTGGGGCCATTTTAAAAAGAAAACGCCTATGAAATCCGATTTGCTCTGATGGTGACTGGGCGAGCAAAGCGATCGATTAAACTTACATATAATTGTTTTTTTTTTTTAATATCTCAGTGGTGAAAGAAACACCTTTTACGAAATACACAAGAAAAGTAGATTTTTGCTGTTTTTTTTTGTTGTCGTGGTTTGCGAAAAGAAAATAAACCGCTCTATATTATCATTCATGCATAAGTCATAAATTTGTGTGTACAGGTCAAAATCGCATATATGCTGGTGTGTGACGCAACGGAAAACATGCTGAATAAAACATACAAATAATAATTGTTGAACTTTCGATGATTGTGATCATTTGTTTTCTGATAAGAAATCAAAATGAATTCAATCGAATTAAAACAGTCCAATTAATTCAACATAATTCGTTAATAATTTCAATTTTTTTCATTTTGTTTCGATTTATTTCAATGGACAACTCGAAAGTTACTACTTCTGTAAAGCAGACACGTACGATTTTCGTAAAATATATATTATATCTACATACAGCTGGAAGATTTCGTAGTTTCAATGTGAAATTTCATTATATTTATTTTATTTTATTTTTTTGGCCACATTATGCGAATAACCAATATCACACATTGCCAAGATATATATAAATAAAATGTATATTTTCACACTTGTATCGGATAGAGGCGTGAGCGCACTCGCCCAAAATCATTATCGTATGAGCTTTTAATTTTCATTGTTCCCATTGCGCGCACACACATCGATATATGCTTTAATTTTCATATCATTCGACAGAGGAAGTGTACAATTTGCATTTTTCGCTGATCTGATACAAAAAAAAAAAAACAAACACACACATCAACAACATTCAACGACAAACCAAACAAGGAACAATGCTGTGAATGCATATGTTTTATTTTCGATTGTCAGCGCCAATATTCACAATAACATGAGCTACTCCAATTCCATTGTTGCCAATGACACATAAAAAGCCCAAATAATTTGCGCACAGATTTTGCAACAAATTGAATTTGTCAGAGAAAATTTATGGATCCGGAAAAATGACCGATTCCCGGCACAATTTTGAATGTGATATTTCGTCTAGTATGCGTACTAAAGAGAGAGCAAAAAAGAGAAACATTTATGTCATTACGTAACCCTTCGTGTGTCGTTCAAAGTGTGCGCAAATTAGATGGAAAAAAAATATATATATATGTGTATCGAGAATCGTTTCGATCTGTATACAATTGTCAAGCGTTAGAAGAGCGAAAAAAAGAGATCGATAGAAAAAGCACAAATGTCGATTATTGACACAGAATTGTATGTGCTTTTTTTTGTTGTTGTTAAAGAATATGAATTTAATTCGAGGACATTTTGAAAACTATGCAATAATAAGTCAATTCAAGTAAATCAGCTCTAAATGCTGCAGTTGCTTTGAATGACCGGTATATGATGTTGTTATTGTTGCTGTTGCCACGATAAAAGTCCGAGTGCAATTTTGTTCTTTTTTTTTGTTGTTGTCATTCTTTCAATGAAACAAAGCATTCGATTCAGTTGAAAAACGAAAGCAAAAAAAGAATAATAAGAATCGCATAGCAAAAACGTGTTTTCCATTGCCTTTACGGATGCCTCTTTAATCGTTCTTCTCGCAGCACGCCGAGAGAGACGTCGTTGTCTTTCATTACAAATCATTTTACACAATTATACCGCCAAACGGACGCTGCACTGAAAATTAGCCACTTGTTGTGGCTTATCGTTCAATCAAACCTATATGTAGGTTTAAATAATGCTGTGTGCAATTTACAAAATGCTGGAATCATTCATAAAATAGTGCGAGCGATTGAGTGTGCGTGTATTTCTATTTAAAATCGAGTTACGAACACTTCTATATAGTGTCTCTGTTCGTCCCAATTAAATGTGCATACTAAAGAGCACATTGTCATAATTATTTATTTTTACTCTGCTTCTTGCAAGTTTTTTTTTCTTCTTTTTTTAAATATACGATTCGAAATAGCATGTGATCTCAATTTATTTTTACTTCATTTTTAGTTGTTTTATTTTGAGTTGTTGTTGTTGTAAGTGGTGGTGCTGCTGCTGTTGTTGTGCTTGCAAAACATTTGAAAATTTATTTCTTTTTCGTCAGCGCGTATTGTGTCGTTTGAGTGTGATGTAGTTAAGTGTACGTTAAATGATTTCGTTACTTTTACATACAACGAAATGCGCACCACTAAAATGAATAATTGATTAAGCGTAATTATGGGAGGCATTTTGTTGCGTACGCACGCATTCACATATTTGCACTTGATTACACTCGATTACTCAAGTCCACATTGAGCTTTGCAAAGTAGATCAGAAGTATCAAGTTGTGTGTGGTGTGTGCGCGTATTTGCGCTCTCTCACTCACCGTCTGTGCGAATACATTGCACCAAAAAAAAAGAGTAAATAAATTCAATATCCAAGTTCGAGGTAAAAATTTAAAGAAAATTTTATGAATGAACAAATTAACGAATAAGAAGCGAACAAAATGTGTGTGTGTTTGAGCGAACTCGATTTGCACTTTTTTGCGCCTTTTGCGTTCAGTCTCGATGACCTTTCATGTCCTTATGAAACTTGTTTCAACTTATGTGTGAGTTGTGTTGCTTTGATTTGTATCTGTTATTTTTTTTTCTTCTCTTCTCACTTTGCTTTTCGTAAATATCTATTTAATTCCAAAAGCGCTTTCAAAATATTCGAAAAAGTGCTTTGCTGAAGAAACCTTCGCACGCGAACTCATTTAGCTACTAACGACATTTGAATTTGTGCACAAATCGCGACAAAAATGGAAATTGTAATTTTCCAACCAAAGTGTTTGCGATGGACGAAATATTAACAGAGAGAAAGAGAAAGAGAGAGAAAAAACACCAAAAACAATAAACACACACACGCAAATGTGAAGAGTCTAAAATGTAAGACAGTATTTTGTAAAAGAATGCAAAATCATTGTTATCACAAAAGATTTTGTTTGACGATGCTTTTGCCTATGATACATCAATTATACGTGATTTTCTGATTTCAACTCGCAAAAGGTGACTTTAGATATTTGATTTTGCAGCGCCAGTCACCTACCTCTCCAGTCTCTTTCTTTCTATTCACATTGTCTCAGGAAGCTTTGCCCTTTTCGCGTCGCATTTGTAATAAATAAAAACGGCAACAAAAACAAAAGACTAAAAATGAGCGCACGCGCTCGCTCACACCAGCACACATGTTCACACAACAAAATAGCGTCTTAATAAATAGTATCTATCACACGAGAGAAAAAAAAAACGTGTAATCATAACGAGGCAAGCTACTTATTTCATCGCATTTGTTAATGCGTCGGGTAGCTTTTTGTTTTGTGTTTTTTTTTCTCTTCTCTTCTTTTATACTATTTTACGTGTCCGTTTGGAGTACAACACACATATTGATCATAGTTTTCTATAGAAATAATGTTGACGATCATTCTAGCTCTCATCTAATTCAATTCAATCATGCTCCCGCTGGGCTGGTTCCCTCACTCTCTTTCTCTCTTTCAATTTTTTGTTCGCCTATGTTTATTCCAAAAATTTTGATTTGCAAGGAACTTTGAACACCCATTCAAAGTTCAACTTGAAAATCCAAAAAAAAAAGAACGAGAAAATAAATCGGTAAAAAAATGCTGAATAATGTATTGCAAATAATGAATATAACATACGATAAATGTTGAACGATGAATTCGAATTGGTGGATTATGGCGAATCTGTTCGTGTTCACATCATTAAGTATCGACTGATGTTACCGGTTCGTCGTCCGGTGCGGTTTTTGTCAATTTGTTTCTTTTTTTTCGTCAACAATATCCGTTCGTTCTTTTTTGGATTTTTTATATTTTTACACTTTTCGTTCGACGAAAACACAAAATTGCACACAATATTGCAAATTTTGTAAAAAAATTCATTGGAATATCTGTCGATAAAACATTATAAACAAAGTGGTGAAAAAAAAAACGATTTCCACCAATCAAAGAACAATAACAGCGACAAAAAAAATTAAATGCCATCCGATTCATCAAAATGGCAACGAATAATTTTATCGCACAAAATACACGAAACGTTAAATCGATTCATGCTATAGCAACATTATCATTTGATAAATATCAAAATATTCTAATGGATTCGCTTCAATATCTCGCTAAAGTTTAATTGAATTAAAATGGAAACGATCGTAATCGAGTGTAATTGAAAGTCATGCCGGGTTAATTGTGATCGGTCATTGCAGTTTGATGGAAATAATAGATTGCGGTTTTTGTTTCTCTATCCTCTCAGTGAGACTCTTACTCATTCGGTGTAGAGATCGTTCAGTGCAGCACTTGTGTGCTCCCACAGTGTCTGAAATCGATGAAATCACAACAAAAATCATTCACCATATTTATGTGAATTTATGCATAGAGATTCCATAGAGAATAAAATTGATTTGTTCATTGGAAAATACAATTAAAAAGAATCCTTTGTTGTTCATTTTAATCCATATCCAAGTGGAATTTTCAATAAAATACTAAATTCATTCAATTCTCACTATGACGTACTTGTTCGTGAAAAAAAATGCTATATGCAAATATTAATAGAAAAAACCACTTTCAAGTCATCGATTTCATAGCATTATTATTGTCGCAATGAATATTCTAAACAAAAACAACGTAAATTATTATCAAAACACAATGTAATTGAGAAATGAATAGCAAAATGAACAACATTTTATTTACAATCATGACACGGGCGCCGATAGATTCTCGCGGCTAGTACCGTCCCATTTGGTCGATCACATTTCGATCATATCAGCAACAGGTAATCACACATCAAACACTTGACAATTGTCGCGATTATAATATATATATATAGCCATTGCAGTTGATAATTGCAATAAAATTGGATTTTATTTCAAGCCAATTTTGCAAAACGGCTATTAAAAATTGAAAAAAAGAGAGAAGAAAACTGCAATAATTCAATTGATGCTAGAGCGGCAACTGTGTGCGTGCATTCGCGCAACTAAATACAACAGCGCGATTAAGCACCAACACGTAAATTAGCGTGCAGAATGTGTTGTCAATATGCTATGTGTGTGTGTGTTCGCTCAAATCAAAGTTTATGAACTATAATATTCACTAAAGTGCTATAAAATCGATGGAATTTCTTTGGACAGCGATAAAACGAGACAACAAATTATGAATGTTTCAATTTCAAGTGCATAATGAGAAAAGTTTCCACACATTAAAATAGAAAGATATAAAACGATGTATGATTTATAAACAGCCTCGATGCCGATGCAAAATTGAAGTCAAGATCAATAGACTTTTCTAGATGTGTCCACACGCGACTATACACATTCGATGGTGGCCAGCAACAACAACAACGTTTCTACATTTTCTCTTCTCTGCTGTCTACATCTGTTCATTTCCGTTCCATTCACCTTTTCCCATGGATTTTTTTTTGATAATATACGATTCCGAAATTTGAACGGTCATAAATAATGTCCATGCAATAGCTGTTACTGATATGAGTAAATCAATCTTCGTACAAATCTTGTTATTATTTCGATGTGATGTAATTTATAAATAACGAATGCCCTGAACACAGTTGTATCGTAGCTAAAAACTATTTGTTTGTTAACACGACTAATTCTAGTTTTGTTGGTAATTTTGTGACGCATTTTGACCACATTTATTAATTGTTGTGATGTTGTCACAACATCAACAGTAATTAAAATGTTTTTTTTTTTTTCATCTGTAATAAATGCAACATAAGAGATCTATCTATTACCTATTTATTCAAACGTGTGTGCTAGTTCGTTCTATTACTTGTGCTTGCTTAAGCACACTTTTACCTATGCACAGACACACGCAAATAGCCATGGGACAACTTGAATGTGTACACTGGGTATTATAAGCGACATTAAAAAAAGTAACGACAGAAGAAATAAATGAAATTCCAATAATAATCAAATAAAATATTGCAAAAAAAAACGCGTTTTGTGTGAAACAAGTAGCATTCTATCTTTCGTTAGAAAAAAGCCGATCACATTTCACGTATAGAGTATACAGTAAATTTGTATCCCTTTTTTTCAAAAGAAAAAAATATGAATAATAGAATATGCTGATGTATAAATGTGCAATTCAACGAGTCGAATGGGCAGTTTTTCTCTTTCGCATTGTCTGTATATTACACAGTATGTGCGAGCACACACACACATACAGAAAGAGAATCGACATTTTCTGTTCGTTCTCCTAGTTTATAATTAGCCCAATGATTGTTATTGTTTCATTGAATTCATAGTATTATCGATTTTTTAACGGGCCATAAAAACACACAAGCAGTAGCTTATTTGAATCAAGGTGCACACAAATTACAATAATATTGTGTACTGTTCTGGCACAAAAAATGACACTAATTAAAATCTACAGAAATTTAAAAAAAGAAAATCAACATTTGCGCCTTGGTTGAGTGAGAAAGAAAAAGGAAAAGGGAAAGACACAACTCAAGGGAAGCGGCGATTGCAATGGGGCAAAGAAATATGGTGACAACATACCTAACGTATTGTTCATTTTGTGAAACATCGATCAATAACAATGTATAAACTTTGTTTACTCTTCATTTTAACCCCAGCCCACAAGATCCGTTGCGTTTCAATGTTTGCAATTTGCATGTACAATACACTACACACATACAAATACACATTCCGAAATGCATGTGCGTGTAAGTTAGAATAGACACGCATACACACACACACATGCAAATCGACCGCAAAAGTCGAGCTTATCAAATTTCCTGGCCGCCGTTACCACCGCATTCATCATTGACTGCGATGAATTTTCAAGCCAAACGACACGCTCGACATTTTTCAAATGGAAAATACTCTATGGTATCCCATGTTAAATGTAATAAAAAAGCAACGCACATGAATGGCGTCTTCGAACAAAACACATCAACGAATTACATCGACATATAGCAACAACAAAAATTATAACACGGCATTTATTTTGGTGCATATAACATACGTTAACGACAACAATAATTTTTTTCTTTCTGTTTTGGTTTTCTTTCTCTGTCGAAACGGATGACAACATACAAAAAAGGGTAAACCATAAAACGATTATTTATGACTTAGACACATCCCTTTTATTGCGTTTGCCACGAAACTTAAAGCCATCTTTTTCATTTTGTTGTATCTTTTTGTATCATTATTATTTTCAATTTCATAAAAATGCGATTTTTTTTTTGTTTAAATATTCGCTTCGTGGGAACGATATATTTGAAGGGAAAGTGTATTTTCATCGAAAGCTTTAATATGTTAATACATTCGATCTTTTTGTGTCAAATGACACGCGCACATCTGCGTGAAAGTATATAATGAAAAAGTGCTTATGCGCTTAAGAAAAATGTCACCACTTTTGATCTTAGAGAAGTGACAGATTTATCGTTGACGTATGTTCAGGAAATTAAGTTCTACCTATATCAAGAATTTAAGTGTTCAATCAAATTGTTGTTGTGTGCACATTTCACTTACATTTTAAAAAAAAGCTGTTTGATTTCATCATCCTTATCAAACCGGTTTTTGATTGAAACAAAGCGACGAAATATCGAAAAAGCAGTAATTTATTTTCTTTATTCGTTGCATTTTATAGGACAAGCACGTGATAAACAAAAGATTACTTTGTGATTCTTCTCCGTCATTTCTTTTCGAAATGAATGTAATTACAAGGAAACATTGACGTCCATATTCTTATTTATAAGCAATGATTTCTTTTTTCAACATTCTTTTGTTAATACGGTCAATGAACGATTAATTACATCATGGTCAGTGAATGATAAAGTATATCCTCCACACATTTGCTGCACAATTCTGATTTTAATTCGTGAATTAAAAAAAATTCCATTTCGACTCAATAATTCAAAATTAAATTCGACACAATTTTTATTTTTGTTCATAAAACCACACACATACAATGGTTTATGTGAAAAATTTCCGGTGTATTCCGGTGAATGCTATTGATTTATTATGAGTTTATTTTTTTTCTCTGTTGGAAAACAAGAAGTTTTGTTGTTGAAACTTCTGAATTGAAAACCTGAATATGTACACACTTAAGTATGTGTGTGTATGTAACGTAGGATGTTATTGTAGAATTAACAAAACACGTACACTCAACAGTCGTTAGAAGGTCATCTTGACGGAAGATTAAACAATTTGAAATATCTTTGACAAACTAACCGAGTTCTGAATATAAATTTCAATAACAGTTGTTGTATTTTTTTTTCTCTTTCATTCGCCGATTCTACATTTAGTTACACTATGGCCTTAATTATGCGATATATTGACAGTATGCAAAGATATATGGACAATGCTGGCGGTAAGTAATATTTATCTATATTATTGTTATTTTTTATTCGATATACATGTATGCAAAATGTATGCAGTTCTTTTAGCAATAAAATATAATAAAACCGATTTTTCTAACCCGATGATGACAACGATGAAATTGCTTTGTTGTTTTCTACAATATGATTGGTCAGTTGGTAGTTGGAATAGGTTGCAATACGATAAAAAGCAACAATTGAAATTGCGTTATTGCCTATCACATAACGAAAATTGAATTAATTAAACACAAACTGGATAGTTTGCAATTGAAGAAACAAACAAAAAAATATGCACATTCAGACAACCGTTATGAAAACTGTGCAAGAACAGAATTGGATGGCATTAGTGTTTAAGTACGAAACGAAAGACAGGCAAATACAGACACGCACATATTCTCTAAATTAAATGATTGATATTATATGTAGATTTGTGACTTGGGTCACACGGCACATTCAACCAAATCTCAACACATTAAAACATCAAATTAATAAATAAGTAAATGGCATGATCGGAAATTTGATCTGCAATTACTCGCACAACCATATAATACCGTCGTGTCGTCTATGTCGGTGATTATATCGCCATTGCTCAATTCAAATTAAGATTCTGGCCAAGGAAGTTTTCCGCAATCAAATACATAACGAAATTTGGATCTTTAATGATGTTGATGATATTAAACAGAAGCAGACGACGAAGAAGAAGTGTAAGAAATCATTTTATTATTAGACCAGACCTTGGTGTACATAATTAACGAAAAACCATCATCTGTAAGCAAGAGAAGACAAGTAATACCGAAAATGTGTGTAGATTACATGCGAGCAACAGCATCACACATTTCAAAAACTCAATGTGGAATACCATACAAACTCTAATTTAAACAAGTTATCAGTTGTTATGCATCGAACGAAAAATCATGATATTTTTTTTAAAAATATGTTTATTGAAAGAGGCAATTGAGCCGATGTGTCTCGTATGTATCTGTCGTTTCTTTTTGTGTGAGAGAAAAAAAATGTCCGGGTTGAAGGACGAGTGAAAGTCAATTTTTGTCAATTCCACAATTTTTGATTTTGAATTGTTGTGTTTTTCTTGCGCTTGAATTCCGCTTCGCGATGCATGTGGTTCACAGCCTCAAGTTTAACCTATGCCTGCTTTCCGACTGAACTGAATTGATGGTCGTTGGATTTAATTTTTTTTTTTACTTTTTTCAAACCTGATTTGTTCAGAATGATTTGTTGAAAAATGCGAAATTAATTAAATGTGTGCGTTGGAGTGAGCAAAAAATGCGTATAATCTGCTATGTTTCCGATTTTTTTTTCGCACTTGTTCAACTTGCTCATTAAAGGTGCGCGGTGTTTCGCACATTATGCCATTAGGTTCCGAAATAAAAAGACACTAACTTACCATTGAAATGTGTCAATCGCGTGTAATGTAATATTTTTCGAATTTGTTTTGATCGTTCGACTGTAATGACTTTTGCGAATTTTTTTTATTTTTCTTCATCTTCTGTATTCAATACAATGTGCGAACTTCTCGCGCACGCACACACACAAACATTTCCATATGGATGGATATTGTGTAACAAAATTCACGTTTGATGCGTGTACTGCACAGCATTTCGCACTTAATGTGAATTCATTTTTTAGTACCAAAGCGAGATATGCGCTCCCATTCGTTAGCTCGCTTGTTGCACCGCGCAGAATACGCTACATATGAATTCATGATGACACACATTTCAGCAAATTAAAAGTCATAAGTGATTCTCGTTTGTATAATGTTGTTAAGATAGTTTGTTTGTCGGGCGCGCACGCGCATAAAACACAAATCGCGTGTAAATATTGTATCATTTTTGCAAACATGTATTGAATATATTATTATTATAAGTGGCATGCAACTAAATCAAATGCCAAGTGAATAAATTCTATTGCAGGAAAAAAGAAGATTCATTTCCGATTTGTTGTGTCGTCGTCTTCTTCATTTTCTGCTAAGTGACTACAATTTAATGATCACGTTTATTTTTTCAGACCCCAGGACAAGGGATTGGCCAATGATGTCGTCACCATTTCCAACTTTAGGAATATGTTTATTATATGCTTATTTTGTTAAGGTTAGTCACTTTTCGGTGTATATACACAATTTGTATTTTTTCATCTTTTATTGATGTACAGCAATTTCATTTGCACCTTTCAGTCGTCCACTCAAAATTTATTTTTGGCCTCTTCTCTTATTTTCAATACTATGGCTATAAGCTATATTAAGTACATGCTTATGCATGCATATATGTGTATTTATATTATTGAATGAGCGACACTGTTTTTTCAACGGTGTCCGAGAAAAGCGAAATCTTTGGTAATTTCAAGGTTTTATACTTCAACATCGTGATTATGTTAATGTATTAAACAGAAAAGAGCCATTGAACTGTATCCACCATTCATGAAGTTGATCTAAAAAAGAACATGTGTATTTCCGACAACAAAAATTGTTAACGGCCAGCACCACAATCGAGAAACGTGTTTGCGTCTCTTCACTTTTGTTACGATCGATGTACAAAACAAATGTTGTTATTTTGTTCTGTTTTCGGCGGTCTGAATTGACCGATTTGAAATTTGTGTCTTCTGTACATGGTCAATATTGATTTGTTTCTTGTTTTGAAATACATAATTTATAAAATTGCATTTCTTTTTCATTCGTGTGTGTATGTCTTGTTCCAATTTTCTGATTTTGTTATTATAAATGCACATGAGAAAAAAATGCATTGCACACATTTAAAAGTGCAGTGGTGCGCGCGCGGCATAACTTTAACCCAATTTCCCGTTGTTTTCAAGGTAAAATTTATAATAAACCACTAAAACTGAATAAACGTAAACAAACAATGTCAATGAATGTGCAAACAAAACCGCAATAGTGCACCTTATTGTTCTACATACGCATATTTTCAAATCGATTCAAACACTTCCTGTACATACAAATACACACACACAAACACATTTCCATTCACATATTCAAATGAGGTTGCCAATCGAAATGTGACACACATGAAAAATGGTTAATCAATCGAAATCGAGAGAGAGATAGAGAGAGAGAAAGAAAACACATATTGTTCAATCATATGTAAGACTTTAAAATCGCATCGATCAACGTGTCTAAAACAAAGCCTAAAACAAAACATAACTATTACTTTCAACATCAACCGAAAATAAATGCAGTTATATAACTGCGATAATCTTCGACTTTTCACCAAATTCATTTGAATTACGTAGAAACCGACTACAAGAATTTTGCGACCACTTGAAGGCTAAATAGTGTAGCTAAAAATTGAACGAATAAAAAAAACGATAACAAAATACAACAGAAAAAAGGAACGTAGACACAGAGTGAAATTGAAATATGCGAATTAATGAAATGAGAAGTGCACACCAAAAAATTCGTTGACGACGTCAAAATTTGTATGGATTTTATTCCGGTTACATACCAAACAGTGTGTGTCTCATGGGTCAAATTTATTACACGTGGTAAATATTTCAATGAAAAAAAATCCTCTTTCGACACACGACATGCATATTCCAATGTGACCACGAAATAATATTAAATCAAAAAGAGGCTGTCCAAGCAAATTGCTTAAGAAATCGCATGAGACTTTATCAATTCGCACGATAATTCTTTTTCTCTGCATTGCCAGACTGGAAAAATGAAACTTTTAAGAGAACGTGTGAAAAATGCAATGATATACAATGCCATTTTTATAAATATGATTCTTCGTCGATTCATTTGAAATCGAATATAATAATAAGGTGTCACAAACGATGAAAAAAAAAACCGACGAACAAATATTTTCGGTGATTCGTAATAATACGGAATTGAGTTCATTCATACACATTCACACAGACATATGTTCAAAAGCTTGCTGTTATATTGTCAAAACTTACGTTTGTTCAATCGAATTCCTCAACCTTGCGTCAGTATAAATACGCCGAAAAAAAGGCGATGAAAGAAAAATACCTTTTTATGTGAAAAGTGAATTTTTGTGAAAAGAAATGCTCAACTGCTAATTTATTTCGTCATCGCATATTTTCGAGCCATCATACGTTATTATGCTTTTACTGCATTTCGGCCTTCGACTCTGTCACTCTCACTCTCTTCCAAACTCGTGTCGCTTTTTTTTGCTTCTCTCCATCGTCTTCGTCGTCATCGTCATCGTGGTTGTTGTTGGTGTTTTTGTATAAACTTTCATTATACGACGATGGCCGTTTTCGCTTTTATTTCTCAAAATGTAAACTGTGCGCACATCGGTGCTTTTTGTTGCTTATTCACACATATTTGGGAAACAGTATTTACGATGTGTATATAAATATATATCGGTTTTCATGATCTGCACCGAATTGTTTTCGACAATAAAATGCTGAATTGCGGCAGTGCACAAAATGAAATTCTTGCATGTGAAAAAAGAAGAAATATTTTGCGACTTATGTATTTTTTATGCACAAGCGAATTAACCGAAATTGATGTGATTAATTGATTTTTTTCTTCTTCTTTTTGTTCTTTTCGCAGGTTGTTGGCCCTAAACTTATGGAAAATCGTAAACCCTTTAATTTAAGATACATACTTATTTTATACAATTTTGTCCAAGTAATATTTAGCGCATGGCTGTTCTATGAGGTAAGTGGTGTGGCTGTCGATCATCAGCATCTATTTTTTATCAAACATCTTCCTTTTTTCTTTTCGCTTCTCTTTTTTCTATTTTTAACTCATTTTTTTTCTGTCTATCCTTCTTTTGATTGTGAAAGATATTCGAGTAGATTCCCTCGCATACATACCGCTTTGGTGTTTACAAATTGATTTATTATTTCATTGAAAACCAAACCAAAGTGACAATTCGATCATTTGATCATCACACCATATCTACACGGATGTAAGCTATGTGTGTATTTTATTTGTTTGTTTGCTCTGTACCATTTCTTCTTCGTCATCCACAAATCTTTTTTTTTTCTTCTTCTTCTTCTTCTTCTTCTTTGTCGTAGTCGTCGTCTTTATACAAACTGGAAATTTTTACCACAGATTTGTGTTATGTCTGCGTTTGTAAAATATTTCAAGGTGAAACATGTTATGATACAGTGTCTAATAGATAATTTATGTATGATGTATTCATATTGATATGTGTTCCTTATGTGGATGCAATGAATGAGCAAAAAAAACCACAAAATCAGACGATCGTAATCGTTTTCATCCATTGATGATTTTTTTTGTGTGTCTCTTTTCAATGTTGTGACATTATTAAATATTTAACAGTGCAAACATCAAAAATTCATTGCCTTCAAACATTTTTCAAAGTTCAATATGAAGGATCATAAAGAATTTCGTTACATTTCATGACTGATACGCCAACGAATTTTAAAGGCAAAAACATTTTTTTTTTAAACTTTGGGTGAGATCCTCCAGATTCGAGATTTGATATACCCCTTTTGCTTAAAATCAATAGAAAAAGTTAGTAAAATGTTTTCTTTTGAAATGCCTATTAAACATCAACTAGTGCCTAATGGGCGGTTGGTGGGGTGAATATAGCTTCCGATGTCAACCAGTCGATCATAGTGCCAGTCCGACTGCAACAAGAGTAAGTTGTCGTTCACATAACGATAGATATCTTGAACATTATGTTATAAAACAATAACGAGCGCAACGTATTTGTTCGCCCTCGATTGATTAAGAACAAAATGATCATACACGTATACAATAATCAAATTTAATTTCTCTCAACACACATACACACACACACAAAAAAAGCACATATACATATGATCAATTGTAATAAAAACAAAAACCACTTTAATCGAAAGCGAAAGTGGCCACGCCAAAACTACGCCTTTGAAAATAATATATCCGTAATTTAATGCAAATATTTAAATTAGCAAACAGAAAGTTCTCATTCCATCGTATCGTATCTGTATTGTAACAGCTCTTCAACGTAACAAAGCTATAATGCCGCAAAGTAAACGTTGTACCATGTATTCTGGTAACTTACTTCTTTTGATACATTTATATGTTTTTCTCTTTAAAAACCTGCATTGTGTTGAATAATCAAATTAATTGATAACAACTTGTTTAAGCGGGAAATAAGTATCAGGTTTTGGTTTGTTGATTCTTATTAAGTATTTTATCATTTTTTATGTTGTTGTCCGTCTGTGTAATATTGTAGAATATTTCTTAAATGGAAATGACTTCATTGAATAATGTTTATGTTCAAAAATGGTATTTAAATAGTTAAAAAAAAACAGCAAACGAGCAGCTGATGAACTTCAACCGAGATCAGTTCTTATTTGGTTAAAATGTTTTCAAATAACTGTGTCGAAATTATTCAACAGTCGTACGCCTACGATAATAACGACTGATGGACGATCCAAAAACGTCAGCCAATTCCAATGTTTTATGACATTTTTGGTAATGATTTAGTGGTCAGCAACACGAGAGAATCTGAAAAACAAGATATGCAAGAATTTACGTAAAATAAATGAGAAAAAACCTTGTACAAATGATTTGAATGACCGGTCCATATAAGTGCAACTTAAGTCACAATATGCGAAATTTGTTAATATCCATACCAAAACAAAAATGAAAGCAATTCAACTTCTTCCGTTTTCATGGATTTCTGTGATGACCGAGGCCTAGATGTGTTGTTACCATCTAGACACACAACCCGTCTATCAGCTATTTTACATCTCTGTCGCTTATGTTTCGTTGCCCAGTGACCAATCGACCGAAATTCAAACCTAACCCATTTTGTCAAGGCACAACACCATCGAATTGATTGTTTTTCTTCAATTTGAAACATCTTGACACCAAAATTTTTGATTTGCAACTTTTAAACTGGTTAAAAAGAATCTACTTGAAATACTGAACAACAAATCAACTTTCTGGGACGTTGACACGAACTGGGTGAACAAGGACAACAACGACCACGATCACGATGACAATACCGCAACAACCATAGCGATGGCCAATCGTTACCAAATGCACACATACACACACATAACAGACATTGCCAAAATTCCAAATGGAAAACTTAACATGGCGATGCAACAGCCTTCGTTGATTTATGAATGCGTTGCCACTTGATGCAGCCAGTTCGTGTCATGCATGTCCTCATTGTTTTCTCGTTTCTCTTTTCTCTTTTATTATCATTTCCATTAAGAAAGAAAAACATAAATTCCTAACAAATTTAGTGAGTACTAGTAATGCTTATAATGTCATATTTTTTGGGAAACTTGTAAAATCTTTACAGATAGCAATATCCGGTTGGCTAACCGGACATTATAACTTCCGATGTCAACCTGTTGATTATAGCAACAGTCCTAGAACGTTAAGGGTATGTGTAAAACATTTATCGTAAATATCTTTGTCTCTCTTTTAAAACATATACAAAATTTATTGCTAAGTATCATCAAATATAATTTGCCAATGTAAACATTGTGTATACATCCCATTCATAAATCGAGTCGATGCATCATTAATGACAACGCTACGACATTCAGATACATTTTACAGCCAACAATCAATCGTGTCTACGTTGTTGCCCGGGCGCTGCTATAGCTAAACCGCATATGAAATGTTTATTTTCTTTTCGATTTATTCGCAACATGGTATGCACTGTACAAACAATTGTATCGATTGGACATTTGTTCTCACGATCAATAATAACAATCAATAGTCGAAATCAAAATATCGAAGTGCGCAGCAACAATCGCATTTATTTGTATGTTGAAGTAAACATATATTCAATCGTGAATGTGATGAGGCTAAAACATACAAGTGAAAGACGAAAGATGACGGAAACGAAAAACAAAATACGCATTCAACAACAGTAGCAACAATTAAAAATCAATACAAAACATGTGCCTTTAGCGATAAATAGCAGCAGCAACAGCAGCATCGAGTAGCAAAATCGACTGAAAGTGAAAATTCAAATGAATATTTTAACACTCATTTATCGTAATAACAATGAAATTAACTTTTGACATCGTAAACATGTGCACACGATCGCGGCGACATATCATATCAATTTGTTTTCATTCAACGACGGCCATATACATCGCGCATCCATTCAATATATTTATAAAACAAAAAAAAGTGTAATCTCAATTATTATGCAATTATTTTGTTTATGGCTCTTATATTAAATGCAAAAACTTTTTCTCTGTCTCTGCCTCTCTTTCACTTCGTTTCACATGGCACTTCGGCACTGGGCCACTGGGCCAGTGTCGATTAAATTCAATGAGGAATAGTGTGCACACACACACAAACACATACAGAAACAAATAAAAACATTGTGCGACCAATGAATCACTGCAAATTATATATTGATTAAGCGCATTATTCGCGAACGATTTATCAAAAACTTTCAAGTTCACGTACTATTGTAGAATGTTCAACAAAGTGTTCACACACACTCTCACACAAAAATCGTCTTAGCATCGAAGAAAAAAAAGAATGGCAAAAGACGACGATGATGATGATGATGATGGCGAGACGAACTGGCGAGTGCAAATGATTGATTTATAAACAGTATTATTTTGACCGGTTAACGGCCTTACCATTTTCGTGAATCATATTCCATTACGATTTCAGGGTCTAATACCATTCAATGCATATTCCATTCCAATTCACTGAATATTTGCGCCCAATTACGGGCGCACTTCACTTCTTTGAACTCTGTTTATGTGCATTTATTCGCATTTTAAACAATTGCCATGTCAAAATTGAAGGGAAAAAAATTGTAAAACACCTTTTAAAATATGCGTTTGAACACGAAAAAATCTGAATATTGACATATATTTTTTTTACCCTTAATCTAATGCACTTTTTAATACCAGGCCGCAATTAAATATTAATAAAGTGATCGTCAATTATTTCAATAGCTCATTTGTCATGGCCATCAAAACGACGAAAATATTTTGGGTATAGCAACACGTGCCATTAGAATTTGTGTATGAGAAAATCAAAAATATAAGTATTTCGTTTCCAAAATAATAAATTGTTGTAGTTTCAATGTAATAAAATTGCTTACATATGACACAATGTGTCAGTATCACAGATATTTCATGGCTCAAACATAACTTTTATATACGCATATCGCGTGGCGAATATAAAAAAAAGCAGACATGTTTATGGTGTCAAATTTAAACGAACCTAATATCCACTCAAAGAAACCATTTGAATTGCACATCAATCGACAATATCGTTGCAATTCCATCATTTAAAAGCGTAGATTATCATGTCTGTGTTATTATTTTTTATTTGTTTTTCATTTTCATATTTATTAGCGGTAGATAATACCTTGTTAATGTAAAAAAAAATTGTGTATCATTTGTTTTCATGGTAAGTCACACAAAATCAAACAAAAAAAACAACAAAGTCAAAAACCTTTTTTTTTTAATCAAACCAAAACAATTTTACACTTGGATGATTTTACTCATTCTTGTCCCATGCAATTTCATAACGGACATCGTATTTAAACGATGATTGTTAATGAAAATTGAATGGTTGCGCTGTGTGTGCGCCTGTGTGTTTCCCTGTTGCATGAATTATTATTGCTCACTGAAAAAAAAAAATTATTCTCTTGTTGATATATAGATGGTTCATGCGTGTTGGTGGTACTACTTCTCGAAGTTCACAGAATTTTTCGATACGGTAAGTGTCCGAGTTTTCCTTCTACATATTTATTATTATATTCTTTTGGTTATTTTTCGTTCTTTATTCGGTTGTTCGCTTCGTTGGTGCCAAAGTCATTGCAAATATATACAATTTCAACACTAATTGTTGGCATTGATTAGCAAAAACGAAAAGAACATTCGAAATGTGCATTTTTTGTTCATATGTTTTTTTTTTTTTTGTAATTCGATAATTTATTCCTTTTTTTTGTTTCAAGTATTTATAATAGTAATAATTTTTCATTTTTTATGAATATTGCGAATTGTTTCGATTGCAGTTTTTCTTTGTGCTGCGAAAGAAGAACAGCCAAGTATCAACATTACACGTTATTCATCATGGTTGCATGCCGATGTCAGTATGGTTTGGCGTTAAATTCACACCAGGTAATGTATGAATTAATGATGTTGCAATCGCATAATAACCGTGTAATAAATATTAAAATGGCACTCGATGATATTGCTTTCGGTGGCATTATAGTCGGCGCAGCGCGCTCGCGCGTACACACTTTTAATATATAATATGAAAACATTAATTTGTTGTTTTTTTTCCTGCTCTTTTTGGTTGAACACTTTTATACACTGCTCCGTGAATGATAAGAGTTCACAGAGTGGGAAGTGCTCGTTGCCAAAGACACTCATGGAAAATTCTTGTGATTGTTTTTTTTTTCGTAAATTGAATGAATAAAAAAAATCATAGTGGATATAATATCGTTAATGTGAATATTATGACTAATTATGGTTGCATTTATTTCGTTCTTTTCCACAGGTGGTCACAGCACGTTCTTTGGACTTTTGAATGTAAGAAAACTGTGTTTTTTTTTGTTCACTCCAATAATAATCATATTAAAATTATTTTCGCATACTATATGCTTTAATCGATACATGTGTATCTGTATTAATATCGAATCTTTTTTTTCTCTTTCGTTTTTGTTCGTATTACAGACATTCGTGCACATTGTCATGTACTCGTACTACTTGTTCAGTGCATTAGGACCACAATTCCAAAGATACTTATGGTGGAAAAAGTATCTTACTGCCCTTCAAATGGTATGCAATTCGTTTTTTTTTTCCTCTCGATTTTTTTTTATTTCATTACACATCAATCACCCATCAACATTTCTTCAAAGAAAAACCGAACTGAGTGCGCTTGTCTGCAATATGTGCGACAAGTTGAATTTGGTATGCTCACTTCGGTCGTTCTTTGTTAGTATCGTATAAATAATAATGTGTGACTAAAATGTACAATGTATGCAATTCGAACAGGTTCAATTCGTTCTTATTATGGTACATGCATTCCAATTGTTGTTCATTGACTGCAACTATCCAAGAGCGTTCGTTTGGTGGATTGGCTTGCACGCTGTCATGTTCTTCTTCCTTTTCAACGAATTTTATAAATCGACATACAAATACCATATATCACGACGCGCATTGCAGAAGAAATTACGAGAAATGGAAAATGAAGCTGTCCGAAATGGAGTCAAACAAAACGGTACAACTGCCATCAATGGAGTAAATGGTGTGAACGGCGTAAATAGTTTAAATGGTGTGAATGGCGTGAACGGATCATTGGATCAATATTATGATTCAGTTAATCACAATCACATTAATAATAAAAAGAATATCGAATATAACGATAAATACAGCTATGACAATGCCAATGGCACAACGGAATTGATTAATCGAAAGAAATAACGGCTAAAAAATAAAACAAAACGACATAAAATCATATAGAAAAACAAAATATATACAAAATTTTAAAATGAAATAAGAATCAGCAGTTTTTCAGCAAACACAGAGAAAGAAGAAAAAAGATGAGCAAATATACCAACATTTCATTGTAAGCACATAGTGTAGTGACACTATCCGATTTTATTTCAAGCCAGTAGTTGGAAAATGAAACAAATCACCGAAACATAAAAACCATTTAAGAAACGGACATTTACCAATTAATGCATGCATACACAAAACACACCGATGAATAAACAAAAAAACGTAGCTTATGGCTGGGGTTATTTATTTTTCAAATAATTTTAACGACTTTTTTTTAAAGAAAAAAAACTTATTTATAAATAATAATATTCAGAATTAAATTCAAGATACGAAATTCAAGGAACTATTTCATTAACAGCTACATTCTAACGAAGAAGAAAAAAACACAGAATAGGCAAACAATTGTTATTGCTATTACAATTTTAGCGGAAACATTCTTTTTTTTCTCGAAAAACAAAAAAAAACACGAATTTCTATCAGTTTTCACACGAAATAGTAGTAGTAGTAGTAGTAGAAACCAGGCAACAGTGTAAATGATGTTGACATCAGTCAAGCTCTTTGTGATGATGTATTCAAAAAAAAAAAACGCAAGCAATGGATTTGCAATGCAACAGGAACATTCTTACCGCTAACACACACAAACAAATGCGCGGTATTATACACCATTGCATTACAAAATTATTTGCAATTGCGTATATTTAGAAAAAAAAAAAACAATGATTAAAACAATCGTATAATTACAAAAAGTCCTATTTTGAATTGAAAAAAACGTACCACTTCCTTCATATTACTCCAGAAATATGTTGAAAGCGGTTACATTTCTTATTCGCTCTGAAGAAAATAGGCATAAAAAGCGGTTGATGACATACTCTCTTATTCATTTCTAATATAGAAATATATTTGTGATTGAATTGAGTGTATGACATACGTTGTTTTTGAAATAAAAAACCAATATTAGGCGAAAAAAAGGTACTTGTTGAGTAGTATACATTTCTTTTGTTGTCTCCCTTGTTAAATCGCTTTTTAAGCAGCAATTTTGCATACAAAACACATACATTTTTTGTTGTTCATGCTTTTGCGCATTTACAATATTAATAACATTTCTTTTCTTTATTTCCTAGATTTTGTAATCTTATCCTTCTATAAATCTTTTTTTGGCAAACAATTTGCTTTTTAAAAGCGTCACAAATCGAAAACTATTTTCACGAATTTTCTTTTAAATAAAACATCCATATTTTAGAAGATGCTTTTCTTTTGTAACTTAATCATTAATTTTTTTTTTGTCAATAGTATTATCAATTGAAAGTAGGAAAAGGAAATGATAAATTGTACTTAAGAAAATTTATATTAAATAAAGAATTAAATTAATTAAAGAATAAAAAAAAAAACAAAAAAAATTGAAACAAACAAACAAAAAAGTGTTATGAAACGAAGTCGAACATTTTTTTTGTTTTGGATAAGTTTAACTGCGAAAAACCGAAGCAAATAAATAAATATTTAAACTATACGTAAGCTTTTCATTGTGAATACGATACGGGATATGTGGTTACTGTATAGTAAAAGCACACGACATGCTTTGTTCGTATCAACTTTACGTTTTTCTTTTGTTGTTGTTGTTTTTATACAGTCTTTTTCTATTGATTTTTATTGTCTTTTTTATTCGTCGCCATCTTTTTCATTTCACATCATATGGTTTCATTCAATTTGGCCAATTGCTATTATCCTTTCGTATCGGACATACACATTTTTATTCGTAGATGTCAAGTAAAATCGTAAATCAATTTATATGATGTGTATGTCCACGGATATAGGCAAATGTTGTGTCTCAATAATATAAAATATGGAAACGAATTAATTGTATGCGTCATCCATTATCGACTTGCGCCGGTGTCGGAATGACAATTTAAATATACGTGCATTTGTTTTGTTTCTCGTGTTCTTTTTTAATTCAAAAGAGAAGAAAAAAGAGACTCGATTTTTTTTTCAGAATATTTGTCTCTTTGGTAAAACCGACTACTGTCCTGCGCAACGATCATTCGCTTAATTTCTGATTTTTATTTTCTTTCTGTATTCGTTCCGAGACATATTTTAAAATTCATAGACCATTCGCCGAAACGCGATACTCATTGTCGAAACAGATTGGAGAGATAGACACGGACGGACATTAAAATGAAAATACGGAACATTCCAACAACAATAACAAAACAAAACAATTTTAAATCAATTCGTTCGGCTTTAATTTGTTAAGCTAAAAATTGGTCGTATACTCCTTAATCGATTTTAAGTATATGGCTATTTAAAATGCAGACACAATTAAACTTAAGCATATAAAATTTTCGTTGAAATTTTTAATTTTCATTTTAACGAATCCTTATAACGTTAACTTTTAGGGAACAATTTTTATTTTTGACATGCGATTATTTTTTTTTTCACTCGCTCTCTTGGTTTTGTTCACTTCGAAAATCGTTTCATCGAAAACTGAACGAAACCAGATTTGAAGATGCTGCATGTCAGCTTCTTCTTTAAGATTGTGTTATAAATATATATCTAATAAAACAAAATAGACTTAAAAAGTAAAAATAAAAGTTTGTTGAGCTTAATCTAATAAATCATTGTGTTTCATTTTGTTTTTGATTTTCAACCCCTTTTTCAGATAATAAACACACACATACATTGAATAAATGGTTCATCAAATGGATTTTGCGTTAAATTTAGAAATAATTACCTTCATCAGAATTGATTTATCGTACATTTGTTGTCAACGGTTTGAGTGTGAAAATTCATTGTGTCTGGTCGACATTATTTCTGATAGAAAATGGCATTTGATTTGAATGCGTCGCCCCATTTACATTCGATTTGATTACCATTTAGATTATTCTGATAGGAATATCTAATTTATTTTGGTTCATCGACTTGCTTGACTTCAACCAGTCTCAATCGCTTCAAATGAATTCAGAGTGTCATTGCAGTCTATGACGCATGTATACATTTCGATTCTCGCATTACTTTGTGTAACAAGAAAGAAAAACACACGTTGAAGTTTAACATTTAGGTTGATTTGTGCATTGTCAGAAATTGCAGTTCTATCGTCGGACGTCAGAACTTGGAAGAAAACAAAAGCATTCAATCCTTTGATTCGAGTGTGTGTTAGAGAAAGAGAGAAGTAAAAAATCGTATCAAATGGGCTCTCAACAGTTGTTTCGCCACATCTATTACTGTGTGATTATAGGGATGCTTTTATTTTGCGCTTACTACATAATTTTCAGTCTATTGGTTGATGATCAATTAAGATTCTTTGCATTCACCATCGACACAATATAGTAAGTATGCATTTGAACGACCATAAAAAGTCGTAAATTTTGTAACGAACGTGTGAACAAACTTGCAAATTGACATACATGACACGCATACACGAATCAAAAATGTACGATCAGAAATGGTCGCGTCGGCGGCAACGGCGGCCAAACAAATTTTATAAACATAACTATCTAAACAATTTGGCTTTGGACAGTTTTTTTTCTTTATTTACAAATATATTTATACACGGTGGGGATTTTTCTTTCGTTTTTGTTTAGTGCATTAGTGTATGTGCCATTTTACAACTAAAATTACCTTGAATGAACTTCAAAACAAAACAAATGAAAAGAATTCAGTCATTTTTGTTGTTTTCACTTCATTCTCACGTATTATTATTTAATTTTACTACCGTATTAATGTCACTGCATTATAGTTAACCCTATACGATATAGTATAATGGTCACGACTAAACAAAATAGTAAAAAAATGACCATAACATCGTCACCAAATGATGACTTGGTTTGAATTTCCCAAATTACATTGACAATTGAAAAAATAAAGAAATATTGTGATTGAGTCAGGGCAACGTCAAGAGAGATGAATAGAGAGATAGAAAAATAAGAAGGAGACAATCAATTGGAATATATAGACGCGACAAGTTGATCGCATATTGAAAGCTCAAACACAAATGCAACATTTTATCATATTAATTATTATTGTTTAACGATGACATCTGTCTCGACCGAAGCGGAACAACAAAAAAAAAAGCAATTAGAAATGTATATTATAAGTTTGATTTGTTTATGGACAACTCTGAATTTGTTGTATCATGTTAGAAGAATGTGTATAAACAAACTTTATTCCAACACCGATTTAGTTCATGCCTAAAAAAAGACGACATTTGTGATTTGCACGAAAAAAAAACACACACCTGCTCATCATCTTCTTCATTAGAATATTGTTTGCATTATTTGCAATCGATTGAGCAAAGATATTCTAAACAAGATAACATTGTTGTTTGTTCAGCGTGACTCTTATAAAGCCATAAAAAACTAAACATACGCGCATTCAAGATGCTTAATTCACATTTTCAGTAATTTTTTTTCCTCTCATTTGCTGATATTTTGTAATAACTTGTTTTGCACATCTAATCATTTAAATTAATCGGGCTCAAGATTCAAAGCTCAAAACTTTCGTCATTTCAGAAAATGTAGAACTAGTTTTATTTCATAAATTATATTCACCAGTTCCGATGGAACAAACATGCTTATTAAATAGTACAAGTTGTCTTCCGATTTTATTTTAGACATCAAATTGGAATGTTTCTGGTTTTCGTTTATACGTCTTTTGATCACTTTCAAAAAATTTGTTGTTTTGGTTCTTTTTTTATTTAAAAAAAACAATTAAAAAAAGTCTAGAAATTAGCATGCACGCGCTAAACACGGCTCGTAAAAATGAGCTTTGAACAACAAAAGCAACAAAAAAAACTATATATCGATAGCATCAACACGTGCTCGGCCATTTGATTATTGTTCCAAACCGAATATACGGCTCAATCAGAATAAATTAACGCAAGAAAAATTCGAATGTTAATTTAAAAATAAAAATCTTCATTTTATTACTCTATCTCATAATATCCATGATATTTGTTTTACATTTGGTGATTTTATGATTTGTTGATAAAATTCTATCTTTCTATCTTCCTTATCATACAACGGAGTCGAATACATCGATTTTATTTTTCTATGACCCGATAAAAAAACCTACATACACTGTCCGCTATTGACTAGAGACATCACTCAATATATTAACATGCCAAACTTGAGAAGAATAGTATCAATATCTTATTTTTATTCACTTTCACCCTCACAACTTCTACTGCTTTTCATAAAGTAGCCAAAATCGGTTTTGTAATTGGCCTAAAAGGCTGTTAAATGCAGAGTATTGCTCAGCGCTGCTGCCATCCACAGCATATTAAAATATCTTGCTGATAATGCGTCCGTCGCATGCGAAGTAACGTAGCAGTTTATACATCACAGCGAACAACAATACATGCATTGTTCTCTATTCAATCGTTTGAATATTTTGAGTCACATAATCGTGAAGAGAACAATGCATTCATTCTTGTTCACTGTGATGTATAAACTGCTACGTACATTCGAATGCGACGGACTACGCATTCTCAGCAAGATATTTTAATATGCTGTGGATGGCAGCAGCGCTGAGCAATACTCTGGTTAAATGTATTAGTTTGCAATATATTGTATACGTATAAGCCAAATTTTTAAAGAATAAAGAACTGAATTATTTAAAGTCACCGATCAAATTCACAAGATTTCACTATCAGCAGCACCACTTACGCAAATGTGCAAACTTACAAACAATCAAAAAGTACAAAATTTGTTCCATCAATTTTCAACAAGGAACATTTTCAAAAACCATTTGAAATCGTCGATTGATTTTCATTTAAATTCAGTGAATTCAGAACAGTGAATTTTATTTAAATTCTCAAATGCCCGTTTATACTACAAATTTTGCTGTAAATGTTGGTGTGCTCAAAATTTCGATTTTGATGCTATTTTGAATATTCCAATGAACAATACTTCTAGCTAGGTTTATAGGAAGTTTACGCCATGTGTACAACACAAAACCACAAACAGAAGCTATTAAACGTCAATGATCATTAAGAAGAATGTCACAAATTCTCAGTTTTTGGAAAATGTCTATTCGAAAAGGGAATTGAAGATATTCATATTTTTTAGCCAGCATACTCACTTAAAATCAATTGTACATTATGTGTACAAAACTGATTTGCCATCATCTATTGATTTTTTCAAGGTAAGAAGGTTACCACTCAAATGAAAAAAAAAACTCGCTCCAAAATCACTGAATTTCCAAATTTAGTGTACCCTTGAAATTAAATGTACAATATGTGTACAGCATTATTTCACAATAAAATGCAGGTTTTAATGGTGGTGAGAACATTTCCGATCAATGATCCATACCTTTCCCCTGCCAGCACTTATTAATATGACTAAATAAAGACAGCCCGTTCTTATTATTATATTTACTTTGATCGATTTTAGCCTACATTGGAATGTATCTTTTCCCGCAATAACCATTTGCGAAATGTTCAACGGCGGAAAGATATGGGAGCTGAGTGAAAAGTGTGTAATTAATAATTTCAATTTGATTCAATTTGAAACATTATGACATGTTGCCTTTGTAGATTTTATGGAGCTGACCGGAATAGTAAATTGGATGATTTTTTGTCGGACATTGCATTTTTCAGTGGACAATGCCATTCATGCAGTCTTTGTGGCAAAAATTTTGAATGTCCAACCAATTTTTCTGTAATATCTTCTAAGGTAAACAATCAATTCATTTGCAACTGAAAATCAAATAAAACTCATTTTCAAATTTAGTTTCGATCATCTTGTGATGAAATGATAAGTAATTGTTTATGGAATAATGTACAAATTGAATGCTGCACCTCATTTTTACCATTAGAAACGGAATTCGGTGTATGCTATACAATAAATTCAATTCATACAACGTATGTATCAAGACAATGCAATTATTCTCTATCTAAATCTTCTTGATTGATTTTTGTTTGATCCATATCAAGTCCAATGTACGGACATCGCTTGCTTAGTAGTCGTTCAAGTGGGCCCGGTTCTTTGTCATTCACAACAAATGAAGACGTTCAAGTGCATGTGTAATTTGCTTTTTTTTTTCTTCATCTAAACATTTCAAATCGATGAGAAAATGAAAAAAGATTCTCCCATTCAGGCATACATCGAACGAAGTGCCATCTGACACTGAGAGCGATATCAAAGAAGATATATTTTATGGCACCGAAAAAGAGCTCGTTCTTAAGGTCATCGATATGGTAAACGATGCCAGCATACAAGATGCTTCGATTACGAATCGAAAATGCCGATTTCCATGGGAAACACGTGAATGCACCAATATTCCGTCGCACCAATATCCAATGCTGTATAGCCAGTACAGCTATTCAACATGCTCGGTTGAATGTTCAATGGAAATTCAAATTGAATTATGTAATTGCACACATCATTTGATGCCGAAGCGTTTAAATGCAGCGAACACATGTGACATTGATGGTTTGATTTGTCTTACAAATAATTTCGGTGAGATTTGCAATATATATATTGTATAATATGTTAAATTGCCGTCAATATTGTCGTTTTCGATCATTTTTTTTTCGTTTTTCACTGTGTGCTTCTTAAATTGCACGACGGCGTTTCCGCAACGAACACAAAACTTTGATTTATTAATATGATTTTTTCCGGTTTTTTTTTTCAAGGAAAAATTAATTCGAAGAAAAAAGATTGCAATTGTTTGGCATCATGCGATGAACCTGAATACAGTGTTTTATACTCATCACCTGCCAAGGAGTAAGTACTTTTAATAAGTGTGCAACACTCTTGAACGTACTTTCATATCATAACTTGATTTAAAAAAAAGAAAAGAAAAAGAAAAAAGAACCAGTTATTTATGTGTGATGTAAACAAAGACCAGAATTTTTAAAACTCGATCCACTTTTGAACTCGAATTGTATCGCATTGGGTTTTCTTTTTACAGGGATTATCGTTATGAACCTGGCAGTTTGATAACAATATCAATGCTTGAATTGTCTAAAGAAAGGCTCATAAGACGTGTTGTAAAAACGATGTTGGATGATGTCAGTAAGTTTATACTAACCAATTATAACCGGCATAAGGTGACAAGTGGAAAACAACTTTTATTTTTACTCAATAACCTTCTCATTCCTTAAATTATTGATTTTTTGGACTGTTTGGCTTAAAACTTCGTTTTAATTCGACCAAACATTGAAAAAATGCGAAAATCATTCGAAAAAGAAAGAAAATTCGACTGCACATTTATTTTAATTATAAAATTTTCAGGCATAATGTATTCCGTCTTTTTTTTTAGTTTCGATTGCTAGCATTATCAGTTTAATGTTTGGTCTGTCGATCCTCAGCACTCTGGATTACTTAACAAAAACGATAAAATTGATGTTGTCAGCAATTATGTTTCTAATTCGAAAGAAAATCATTATTCAAAAGAAAGGAAATGGCCATGGAAAGTAAATAAAACATCATTTCATACATTTAGCTTCAAAATAGATTATGTATTTTTCATTGTGTTGAATCAATTTAATAAATTATATCATTATTATTGTACAAGATGAAAAATCCTGTTCAATTTTGGAGAACAAAAGAACGAAATGTTCCATTTCTTGTTTTGCTTTTGTTATGTGATGTATTGTTTCGCTCTCTTTTTGTCTTGTTCACCATGCAATACACATGCGTGTGAATTGTTGAGTTTGTCGCATTTGAAACTATTAGAAATTGTTATCGATAACAAAACATTTTTTTGTTTACACATCAATCGGTTTCATTTCATTTGGGGTTCTGTTTTTATTTTTTGTCTGCTTAAAAAAAACTGGAACTAGAAAATTACTCCATTTCAATGTCGCTTAAGTCAGATGAATACCGTATTTGAGCGGTTGTTCGGTAAAATTCAATGGAGTTATCGACATCACGTAAAATCTTTTTCGATTTTTCGACGCACGAATCGAGCACATGCAATTGATTGAATATATCAGTGTACGCACTCAGTCCGGATATCATATCAGCCGCTAATTTACTAACAATACGATGAATATATGGTGTATGCTTTTCACTCGTTAATATTGGTGGCACTTCCATTAAATGTCCATAATCTAATACATTCCATTCGCCCGTTTCAATGTCCCACGTGAATAAGATCTGACACTCGTAATGCTTACGATGAAATACACAATCCAAATTTAAATTGCTCGAACAATTCAAACAATTATTAACACTTGGATCAAGTTGCATATCACTTGCTGTGAAATTCACCATTAATATACAGGTCAATGCACAGCTTAGCGGGCAAATCTAATGAAATCATTTTCGTAAAAGAAAAAAATAAATAAATGATGTGACAGCTTTATGACGAATAAATTTCATTTCTAGTTTTCTCTTGCACAACTGTATACCTTGACAATTTCACAGCCACAGTCGAAGAAAAACCCGTACTTTTTATTATTTATACTACACAAATAGTTGACGGCATAATATGTAAATGCTTCTAAATCAAATGTGATTTGAGTTACGATTAGTGTCGGACACATCAACTTTTTGTAGGAGTTTTTTGATATCATTTGCATGTCAGAGTAACCAGCTCCATGCACTTCAAGTGGCAATGACGTATGATAGCCAGGCGAAATGCAATCATCTAAATCGAGAGAAAAAAAAAACCACAAATTATATTTTGTTGCATTTTAAAATTACGCGTCAATACATATTAAACGAGGTGTGTTTTTTTTGCGTATCAAACAAAGTACCTTCTTCACTCGTTATTACACTGGCTGCATCATCCTCTTCGACGTAATGTCGAATCAATCTACAAAATGAACAACATTTGTGAAATTAGAGTAAATTTTTGTTTTGTTTTGATTAAATTGCGATTGAAAATATTTAAATTACATGATGGAACATTGTGGCTTTTGATCACTTTCAACTAAACTCCGTTCACAAATATTCTGTTGGCTACTTCTTAGATCAATATTTGATGGTTTCACCTCACTCAATGGGAAATTTGTGATACCGGTATGGGTTTTATTGCTATCACAGTCATCGCTTCGCGGTGATAAAATGAGGTTTGAGTGTGGATCCAACATTGAATCATAGTATGGTCGTTTCATATTCTGTAAACTGCGCGGAGACATGGTCGCCGATCGTGTACATGATGGTGATTTTGCATTAAAACACGAACGAGCTAAATTCAATGATAAAATAGATTGATCATCAGTTCATCGAGAGAAATGAAATCAAAATGAATGGTTCGAAAAGAATTGAAATAATTTAATTACCTGGTGGTGACATCATGTGGAAACGATTTCCAACGGGTGAACCACACGGTGATCGAAATCCATAGCTTGGCGACGCCCGATGTGTGTGATACGATGTGGGCATTTCAAATGTGGATGGTGGCGATGAGCTATAGTTTACAACATTCGAATGTGCCGGTGAATGTCGTGATATTTTCTGATGCAATGCTGGATTACGAATCACCGATCTCATTCGATTATATGGTATAATATTTTCGGTATTATCTTCGGAAAATTCATACTTTTTATCAGCCAAACGTCTCTTACGAAATGTGCTAATCTTTTCACATTTTTCATTGTCTTCGGAAAATTCATAGGCTTTTGCTGCTTTATCTAAGTTTTTATTTAAATTATTTGAGCTTCCGCTCGATATCGTTGCATTCGTTGTTGGGCTTGTGCCAAAATCAACTTTCGTTATAGTATTTTTCATAGTATTGGCTACACTTTTTGATATAATTCGATTACTCCGATGATTTAACAATCGCACTTTTGTTGAGCTCGTCGATTGTTTCAATGGCTTATCAATATTATTACGGCATGTAATAACCAATTCGTTAAAATTACTTTGTGCATTGCTGGTAATGCGTGACGATTGATCTTGTTGTTTTTCGGTCGGTACTATATCAGTTTCACATTCGGCAAAATCGGCGATGATTTTTTCAACAATATTTTTCGGTTCATGACTTTTGGCCGTTGTTTGTTGTTGATGGTGATGATGAAGATGATAATGGTGAAGTTGATGATGCTGAGAAGAAGGAGGTGGTGGTGGTGGATGATGATGATCATCACCATTCAAAGTTGAGTTCGGTCTATCTTTGGCAGTTTTTGTTGACTGTTGTTCGGAACATTTTGAAATCGTTGTCGATCCATTCGGCAAACTGACTAAATCTTTATTCACTTCATCCGATTGACTTGTATCTGGTTTCGATTTTGTACGCGTTTTAACATATTTAATATCAATTGTATTTGTAAACGGTTTCACTTGTTTATTCATATGAAGATCAATATGAATCATGTGGATCAAACCGTTTGCCATTATTAGAATTTTATCCAAACATTGTAAATTCACACTCGGATTAAATACCGGATCCGTATCGGCTCGACAATACTTTGTATGAATTGTGAAATTACATTTTATACACAAATAACCGCTTCGATTCACTGAAATGAACAATTTACCAGAGAGAATTGAGTAAAAATTTACGAATAAATGATGATGCTTTTTACCCTTACCGTCCATGGTGTCCGCACAGAATTCATCACGAAGTTTTTTACAATCTAAACATCCCAGATTCGGAACAGCCACAACGCTTATGTATGAATCTTCACTCTCACAACCGCCACCGCCATGAATCACAAGCACACGCGGATTTGTTTTCCATTGTGCCATTGTGACCGTTTTAATATTATCAACACCATGATCATCAAATAAGCAAATTGTAAAGTATTTATATAGTAAATTATGAGGGCGATAGATCCAAAAATAGAGCCTAAAAATCGATTACAAAAAACCAACACAAATTTAGATTTCAAATATCAGATAAAGAATAAAGAAAACCACACATTCACTTACTCGTATTTATAAGTTGAGGTAAAGCTGTAGTTGTTTAGTGCAGAATCTTCATCGGAGATGATTTTGTAACTAAGCATAAATTGGCCGCATATTGTTAAACCCATGAATACATGCCTGAAAATAGATTGAAACGTCATTTGCATTCGATAACATTGGTCACTTTTTAATGGTTCTTCAATATTTACCCGGTTAGATAACAATATGGCACAATTTCTTTTAAGCAAAATTGCAATCGTCTGGGCACCCGAACAAATGCCAATTTTCTATCCTTGTGTGAAATTTTATCCGTAAAATATCCCGAACGCTATACATTTTTTCCACAAGAAAAATAATATTTAAAAATAAATTGTAAACATTGACCTTGAACCTGAAGAGACTTTGACTCAATGCATCTCTTTCCACATCGATAAAGATGCATACCAAAAAATGTGCATCATACTTGCAATTTACCTCACGATTTTGTAGCTTGAAAATTATATTTTGCGATGTTGATTTCCGTAGGCTACTATTCGAATCGTTTTTCTTTTCGGCGATGCGTTGTTTTTTACTGAACATATTCGCCGTTCCTTCATCTTCCGATGATGATCCATCATCTGTGTCCGATGAACATGACGAACTAAAATCACCACTTGTATACAATCGATTCATTTTCCTGTGCTATCTAGTCAAATTTCTTTTTTTTTTCAAGTAATTTATTCACATTTTGCATTCCGGTTGGCACTCAATTACTTTAAACATTCTATTTAGTGTTTTGTATTTTCGAGGATGAACCAATTTGAAAGCGTTCTTTTACGACAAATTGTAAACAAAAAATCAAAATTATTTGCAATCCAAATGTTGAGAAAAGGAAACGAAAAAACTGAAAATAGTCGCATTCACAACAATAGGTTTCTATTGACTCGGAAACAATAGTAAATGGTAAACTAAAACACAATTTTGACATATCCATCTGGAGCGTGTTTACTTTATTTTTGCGTTTATACCTGTTTTATGTCATAACAGATGTCGTTCGATACCACTCATCGAAACGACACATTCAATTGGTTCTTGAAATATCGTTGAACATTTACAATTTTTCTTTTTTCGCTCACAAATCCACTTAGATTAATTTTGTTTTGCGTAACATTTTCTTTTTTTGGATAAATAAATACGCGTTGGAATCCTTATTGTAAATGATGACATAATAATATGATCATGTTCGAATCGACATACGAATGCTCGTCTAAAATCGAAAGACGAATAAAAAAATAGCATTTATGAAAAAATTAACACATTTGACGTGGTTGCATTATCTTTAATTTTTATATTTTCCAAAATGCACATTCATCACAAGAAAAACATCAAATTCAAGATATGTGAGTAGGCGCGTTTAAGTGTCAGTTAGACAATACTGAACAATACACTAATTTCAAATTTAAAATGTATTGAATTAACACGAAAATGTAATTTATTCGTTTTTTTATATTTCAATTGAAATTAAAAATGTTGATTTTAATTGAAAACGCTTGAATTCGAGCGATATCGAATTGTTTTGGATATGAAAAGAAAGATTTAATCGACGTATATGAGATCGGTAATGCAGTTGTAATTTATTTGTTATACTTGTATAAAATGTGGTATAATTCGAATGACAGCAAACTTCATTTATTTAATAGTTCAAGTCAATAATAAAGAAAGTTTGGGAGAGGAAAATTGAACCAACTTGTGCTCAACACCAAACACAAAAAGGCAACCACACACGAAAGACGAAGCGAAAAAAAGAACTCGAAAACAACAAAAAAAACGATTCGCAAATGAAAATGTTGCAAGGTCGAAGATGCTAAACACCTTAGCTCAAATGTTTAGGATATTGCATTCGATACATAGTCAACGAAAATGTTTGTTTGTTTTATTCGTCGTGCTTCTAATATTAGTATTTTGTTGCAATAATGTAGTCATAGGAAAGTGCATTAGTGATAGTTCTTGTATGAACGGCGGCGTGTGCATTAATGGAACTTGTGTTTGTCCCGATGGTTGGCAGGGCGATGATTGTCAATTTTGTGGCGGTAAAGTACGGTACGTTGATTGTGCATTGGCCAAAAATTTAATGTGGGCCAATGCAATTGACACTCATTCCAAATGGTGAACGACAACGGATAGTCGATGTGTCGTCATATACATCTATTGTTGTTTATAATGTTATGCACCATTAATCAATATCATTTTTCATTTTCGTTTTGGCTACAGTTTGACCGATTTCTTCGGTTACATCCATGATGGTGCTGGAAATTACTCAGTTGGAGTGAAATGCAGTTGGTTAATCGATGCCAGAGATAGTATATATAGAAATTCACTGCATGGCAATGACAAAACTCCGACGATACGTTTGCACCTCGAAGAATTTGCCACCGAATGTGGCTGGGATCATTTGTATGTGTTCGATGGTGATAGCGTTGAATCTCCCTTACTTGCCGTTTACAGGTAATTTACAATTTTATTTATTTTGATTTCAAAAAACATACCCATTCGATCGGTGTGAATGCACTCACAATTTTATGCTCATGTAATTTTTGTAATTTGTCAAGGCTAAATAATAACATATTATATGACTTATTTATGCGATTGCAGCGGTTTGATGTATAGCCAAAATATTTCCGTTCGACGAGTGCCTGAAGTAGTGGCACGTTCCGGATCAGTACTTCTTCATTTTTTTAGCGATGATGCGTATAACATGTCTGGTTTTAATATTTCATATAAAATAAACGGTTGTCCAACGGATGATTCGAGCGTCAATTGCTCTGGCCATGGAGTGTGCAATGAATTGGATGGAACGTGCGATTGCGATAATGAACACTATGGCTTTGCATGTCAAACGCCCAAGTGCCCGAATGATTGTGCAAAAGATTTGAGACGCGGACATTGCGACGGTAATAGGTAAATTAACGAAAAATATTACTTTTTTGGCATCTTTTGATACAATTGTTATTGTTGTTGTTCTTGTTGAGATGTTATCTTATCTGTGAGTGTTTTCCTAATATTTGAAAAAAAAAAAAATTATCCCATTTTCATTTCGTTATAGATGCGTTTGTGAATTGGGTTTTGCGGGCGTTGATTGTAATCAAGATGTATCGCTCGGCCATTGGACGACCATAACACCTGACAGTTTTACTCCATTGGGTAGTGCATCGCATAGTGCGGCTGTATGGGGCGATGCATTGCATATTATTGCTGGTGAATCATACGGACGTGGTCAATTGCTTTACACATATGATTTTAATGGAAAAGTATGGGAGACGGTGCATTCGTCTGGTTCGGCCACTCCAGAAATGCGCTATGATGCATCTACTGTAATTTATGGTGATAAAATTTACATGTATGGTGGCGTTGTTGGTCATAAAGGTGTCTCGAATGAATTATGGGCGTTCGATGTGAGCGCTCGCAGTTGGGAAAATATTACGGTTAAATTTGAACCGTGCACATCATCGAATTCGATGTGCGGCCCGTTAAAAACGTCTGGCCATACAGCAACATTGGTGCCTGCTCATGATTCGGCAACAAATACAGATTATAAATGTATGATTGTTATATTTGGACATTCCCCTCAATACGGTTATCTCAATACGGTGCAAGAGTACACATTTAGCACGCGAACGTGGAAAATTGTTACAACATATGGTTATCCGGTTAAAGGTGGTTACGGTCATAGCGCTGATTATGATCCATTAACAAATAAAGTATACATTTATGGTGGCATTGTGTCGGAGAATGAAAACAATCAAATTATTAGCAATAATTTATATAGCTATGATCCGCAAGCAAGAGAATGGAAACTATTGATGGCAGCGGCGTCTGGTCGATTTTTGCATAGCGCCAATTTCATTTCGCCCGGTTTGATGATGGTGTTTGGCGGTAATACTCATAACGATACGTCACATAGGTTTGTATTCAATTCTTTCAATTCATTTGCACTTGATTATTAGATCAGATTATTAATGCTAAAACCAATATTATATTCATATATACGTAGTTTTGGTGCCAAGTGTTACAGCAACGAATTAATGGTGTATGATGTAATATGCGATACATGGCACTTTCAAAATATGCCCAACGATTTTCGAACGGATGTCGCACGATTCGGTCACAGTGCAGTTAAATTTGACGATTCACTTTATATTTATGGTGGATTTGATGGTCAAATGCTATCCGATTTACTGAAATATACTCCAGGCAATTGTCATGCATTCCAAAAAGCTGAACAATGCCTAAACGCAAGACCAGGTCACAAATGTGTCTGGGATATACAGAAATTTAAATGCATTCCAATCACTCATGTTCAAAAGGATATTATTCGAGTTCGAGATCCGGATGTCTATTGGTTTTGTCCGAAAGAAAGTCGAATCGTACTTACGCAACAACTATTGATGGACGGCACACGATGCAGCGAATTGCTCGATTGTCACAGTTGCGTATCCACATCATTCGGTTGCACATTTTGTGGTACCGGCACATGCTCAAAAGATAAATGTCGTGACTTCCATTCGGATGGCATACCAATTCCAAATGTTTCAATTTCATCACTTGACAAATGTCCAGAAGATATTGTTGGATTACAATGCGCTCAATTACATGATTGCAATGCATGCCAATCATCATCGAAATGTCATTGGGATGGTCAATTGGGTAAATGTCGGATGGCTGGCAATCGAAGTATTGACGATGTTGCCGTGTGTGGAACACCGTGCTCTGAAATAACCAGTTGCAGTAATTGTACGAGTGAAGAGTGCATTTGGTGTCAGAATGAAGAGCGATGTGTAGATAAAAATGCGTATACAGTGAGTTTTCCATATGGTCAGTGCCGTGAATGGACGACACAAATCAATAAATGTCGTGCACCAAGTTCGGGCGGGAAGTCACAATGCGAATTCTATAAATCGTGTTCGCAGTGTCGAGACGATCCAGCTTGTGGGTGGTGTGATGATGGCTCGAACAGAGGACTTGGAAAATGTTTACCAGGCGGTGATAGTGGTTCGCAAGACCCAACTGAGTGTCCCAATCAAGAGCAATGGTATTTCACGAAATGTCCAAGTTGCCAGTGTAATGGTAAGATTTACGTTTTGATGTTCTTGATCATCGAAACAAAAACAAAAATATTTAAAAATGATTTTGAACGTATTTTCCACAGGCCACAGTACATGCAATGATGGTAAAACATGTATAACACCATGTGACGATTTAACAACTGGACAGAATTGTGAAGTGTGCCAGCCCGGATATTGGGGAAATCCAATAAATGGCGGCAGCTGTCAAAAGTGTGAATGCAACGGTAAGCAAAATCAACCTTTAAATTCGGCACCGAATGAAAACTTTTCGCAATTTTAAATCATCAATCGATTATCCATTATGATAGGTCAAGCCACACATTGTCATTCAGAAACCGCAAAGTGTTATTGCAGTACCAAAGGCTTAACCGGTGATCATTGTGAAAAGTGTGACGGAACCAATCACTATCACGGCGATCCGAGCAAGGGTTTGTGATAGTTCTTCTTATCTTTTCATTGTGATTTTTTTCTTTTCATTCATCATCATTCGTTTCGTTTTGTAATTTCACCCTTAGGTTCGTGCTATTACGATCTCACAATTGACTACCAATTCACATTTAACTTGTCGAAAAAAGAGGATAAATACTTTACCCAAATCAATTTCCGTAATTCACCAATTAAGTCGGATATTGATGCCGATTTCAGTATTTTATGTAGTGTTGCAGCTAAAATGAATATCACCATTCGATCAGCGGGTGGACCGGAGAAGGTCATTTTCAGCAATTTGAATTGTTCACAATTTCGCTATCGTTTCTCAAAAACCGAACATCATTTTGGTATTGAGGACAATGTAACGCTGACTACATTCTACGTGTATGTTTATGATTTCCAGCCACCCGTATGGATTCAAATTGCATTTTCACAGTATCCAAAATTAAATTTACAACAATTTTTCATCACTTTTTCCACGTAAGTTTTGTCGCTTACATGCTTCACATTCATTACACATAATCATGTGGTTTATGTTGTTTCAGATGCTTTTTGCTGTTGCTTTTGCTAGCCGCCGTTTTATGGAAAATCAAACAAAAATATGATATGTATAGACGTAGACAACGACTTTTTGTTGAAATGGAACAAATGGCTTCACGACCATTCTCTGAAGTATGAATCAATTGATTTCTTTTCATTCAGACTCGTTGAAACTCAAGCAACAATAAAAAATGATGTTTATTTCCATTTTACAATTAGGTTTTGGTTGAAATTGAAAATCGACGACCCGACGCTGAATCACCAACGCCGGTGATAGAAAACATTTCGAAAGCGCAGCGAAAGAGAAAAAAGGTAAACAAACCAAATGATTAATCATGTTTGAATTGTCTCACATTGTTTCTCATTCTTCCACAGGATGCTCCAAGTCCAATAGCATTAGAGCCTTGTAGTGGCAATAGAGCAGCTGTATTATCACTTCTAGTCCGGCTTCCAACAGGTAAATGATCTGACAAATACTTTGATTTGAAATGGTGATTGGCAAGTGAATTTAATCGAAAATACATTTTATCTGTAGGAGGCTTAAACTATTCATCTTGTGGTCAATCGACTGGATTGGCGATTGCCAGTGCACTAGTTACACTCGGAAATCCAAGGAAGCTATCGATGGAACATCCGAAAGAAACCAAAAACAAACGAAAACAAAGCCAACATCCAGATAATTGCATATAATTTTACTGAATTCGATAGCATTTAGCTATATTTGATTACATTAATACTATTTTATTAGTATTTAAATTCGTGAGCGATATACTGAAGAGAGAATGAAGAGCTGGAGATTAGAAGAAAACAAACAAAATATTATTATTACCTCTGTATTATAATGATAGGCAAAAGATGAGCAAGAACAAAAATAAAAGTAATTGGAATTTGTTTCGCAAAAATATGTAAAAAAAAAAAAACAAAATAAAACAAAAAATAACACAGAAAAAACTTAAGGCAGTAGAAGTGAACGGAAATCACAGACTAAGAGATTCTTTTTTTAACATATAACATGCATATTACATTATTTTTTTTATATATAATATTAAGGCGGAGAGCGTTCGTTTATTTAAAAATGTGGAAATAAAATTTAAAAAAACTCATATTTACTGCAAAACATGGTTTTTTTTTTTTCAAATCAAAAAGTACAAATGATATCATTCTTCATCGCTCATAGATTTAAATATTTGCAGGTTGATTTAAAGGGTAAATGAGTAAGTCTTAGGGTCGTGAACCGAACAAAAAATGACCCCGAACCGTGTCATCCTGATACAAAATTTGTTTGGTCAACCGAAATTGTATTCGTATTTGAAATGGCTCTAGAGCAAAAACTTAAATCGTTGCATTTCAAAGCGAAACAATACGTTTTTCTACATAGATTTATGTTAATCAGAATTAATTCATTACCCTTAAGAAAGGAATCACACTGAATGTTGTTCTGAAAGAAAGTTTTGGAAAATTCAAAATATCGCACATAGTCACAAAGGGAAAGCTTTTTCAACTTTATTTAACAAAAATTATTATTTTTATACAATTTTCTCTTTCGGTTCACTTTGTTTTTCTTTTTATTATTATTATTATTTCTTCTTTAATAATTGTGGAAAAGAACTTAAAATGATAAAATTTTTGTTGTTGTTTCCATTGTCACTGGATTTTTCATCTCTATCCACTATCATTTAACTTTTATGAAATGACGACTAGTAACTGAAAATATGTTGCATATCAACTTAGCTACATATTGAATCAGCGACCAAGCCTCGTCGAACGCACTGGACATAAGGCGATACAATCGATGCTCAATCGCTAATTGCATACATTTTTTTTAGTTTTTCTTTTTCTTTTTTCTTTAGATTTATGTGTGTTTTGTGTTGTGTGAGTGTGTGTTTTATATGTGTTGTATTCATCACGCAAATGAATTGCATTGTTCTTGAATAAAGTTCTTGTGTTCATTTACTTCCTTTTTAATTTCATATATATCCTTTTTTAATTCGATTCACACCACTGATTGGCATCATATCTTCACATTTCGTCCAAATATGTTTCATTTTTATTCATAATTTCATTTGTTTGAGATAAAAACCGAAAAGCACAATGGAACGAATGCTCTGATGATGTTCTTGAATCGAATCGATTGCATTTCAAAAAAGGATAAACAATGCATACTGATGAATATATTATTCATGTTCTGTTCACTGTGATTTCAAGATATAGTCCATGTTAATATTTTCTTTTATAATTATAATAATTTTGGCTCTTACACTTAAAATAGTATATTGCAATGTTATCATTTCGGTTTAAAAAGTATTTAAAAAAATGAAAATTAAAATACTTTCACGTCATTTAGGATGAAAAGCAACAAAAGAAATGGCTTTTTTCTGGTGATTTTTCAAGTTATTGCTGTTTTCTTTTTAAGATGTGTGAATTGATTTAAAGCAAACAACTGAGGATGTAATGTTCAGAAAGCAGTTGAGAAAGAAGGAATCAAGAAGAAAGAAATGGCATGCGAGAACAAAGAAATATTTGTAAACAAAAAAAATACGCTTGATTAAGAATCACAATTATATTGAATTTAACTTGGAAATTGTCGAGCAAATGAAGATTTGAGGGAGATAATCATCTTTATCATCAATACAAAAAAAATTACATATGATCGAATTGATTCAGCACCGAACGCTTTTCTCAATTTGCATCCGTGAATAATATGAACAATTTGTTAAGGTTTTTGTTTTTAAATTTTTTCATTTGTTTTCTATTCGATTTTTATTTGATTGCAGGCAATCCAACTATGCAATTAATACAACTTTTATAATACTTAATTTTAATGAATCGAACTTAACCACAGCTCAATCACAAATGGTTAGAATCATTTTCTTCTCTTTTTTCACTGATAATATTGTGTGGCTTTTTTATTTTCTTTGATTCAATCCAGACCGGATGCGTGATTTTGTTTTTTTTTAAATTAAATTTCCTTAATAATTTTCTGAGTCAGCAGTTTTGTGTGTGTTGTGTGTGTTTTTTAAATACGATTTGCGTTATTTGTCTATAACTCTTATAATTTTTGTTTTTAGTGTGAGACTTTGTGGTTTTTCTGTTTTTTTTTTTTTTTTTTTTTTTCATTTAAATTTTATTCTTGTTAGATGCGCCTCATTTAGTACTAAGTAGATTAGTTCTTTTTGTTTCGCGTAATATAATTTGATGGCAATTTTTTATACGGAAAAATTACAATGTATTATAAATGGCTATTTTTTCGTTTTTTTTCTCTTTTATTTTAAATTTTACAAACAAATTGGAATTGCGCGGACAAGATTTTTGTTTTATTTTAAAACAAACATGCAAAAATAGCAAAACAATTTAAAAACGAATCAAATGATTAAAGTCGAAAAATATATTTTATAGCCATTCGAAATGTTCGAGCCAATTTAAAGAATTATCATCCGAATGCACATCGATAACTAGTTAAATCACTAGTGAGGAAGAATAAGAATAATCGAACAGAATAAAAGCGAAGAAAATTGAATCGATAGTGATCTTAGCTAATTTGAATTTTATAATCTCATTTATGTGCTGAAAAGCATTAGTTTTGCTCCCAGAAGAAGTAATTATGGGAAAATAAGAAATGAAATTTGTGTCTAAATCGGCAAATCATAGTTATATCGTAAAATAAATGATGGTCAAACATTGCGTGAAGATGATGAATGAGTGTAAAATTTCTGTTCGCATTAGTGTGTGTGTTTTTGTTTGTTTGTGAATGATTTTTTGTGTTGTCTATTTTCGACGTACATTTTTACTTATTTTTTTGTTTAACTACAACATATACTATTATTTTGTTTTTTTTTTATTTCCTCATTTTTTTCCTTGGCTTTTTGCTTTTTTTTGGATAGTGTGTGTGATTCGAAAAAATACAATTTCACTTCGCTCACTGACTATGAAACTAATATATCTCTCATTATATTTATGTATTATCATTATATTTATTTTCTCAATTTATTTGTTTGTTTGTTTGTTTTTTTCCTAAACGCACGACATTTTGTTATATTTTTGTTACTTACCTCCAATCACTGCATGTATCTATTAGAATGGCGTGGAAAAGGGTATATTTTTTTAAATTCATTTTTTTAATTTATTCCGAATTTTATCAGTATATATTTTTATCGTTATCTATTTAACCTGTTCTGAATCGTGTATTTTTCGATGAGAAATGTCATATGAAAATAAAATCAAACAATCCGTTTACGCCTATTCGGATATATAATCATCGTTTTGATGGTAATATTTTAATAAGAAAACGGGTGATGATTCATGATTTCTTACCAGAATTCGAGAACGAAAACAGAATTAAATCGAATTTCTAATTATGTTTTCCGTGATGGTGAATGAGAATATCAACTGAAACATGACTAAGTGATACATTAAAAAAATATATATACTGCAAAAATGGTCAATGTTCGAAGTTGAGGCGGCTACGGAAGATTTTCGGAACTACCCGTTGGCTCCGGGTGAGCCTATATATTTGTGAAATGCATTGGTTATCGATCAATGCCATTCTCTCTCTCTCTCTCTCTCTCATTGGCACCACCGCATTTAATTGCGTGCATTTTATTTGTCCGCACTTTGATCGATTCTTTGTCCATTTCTTGTTTTTCATTTTCTTTATCAAAGTTTCTAGTGAATGTATTGTTTTCGATTCATGGTATTTTGTATTTTTCTAATGGTTTTTGCGTTTAAGAAAGAATTGTATTGCTGTATAAGATATCGCCTATTTTTGTGTTGTTTAAATTTGCACGTACCAAAAGACATGTGAACAAAGGGATGTTATATGAAATAAAACGAGAAGACCGGTTTGTTTGTGAAAATGCAACACACACACGAATCGACGATTTTTAAAGAAATTCATCTAGTTTTTCATTTTCTTTTTCTTTTTTCGTTCAGATATTGAAAACGGAAAGTAAACAAAAAAGAAATGGTAAATACGAACAAATGAAGATAAGAAAACGACGATGTAAATGAAATGCAAGCGGAAACTATTGAAATTTTTCATCGAGGGGTGGGATTAAAAATGCTACACGCACTGGCTCTTCATACGGGGAAAATTAAAGTTGATTTGAATCGGAAAATGAAAACGGAACATCGTGTTTTTGTATGTTAAATTTGCAAGCCAAATTCAAATTGAAACGAAAATATTTTTTTCCTATTTGTTTATTCGACTGTACAGATTGTTTTTTTACTTTTGAACACCTTACAAACCTACTTCCATTCTGTGTGTTTTTTTGTATTGTATGCTTTAATTTGTTCTTTGACTTGTCTGTATGTGTAATTTTATCAGCGACGCAGGTCAGTAACGACAAAACCACATAGATTCGCCGACTCTGGCCAACCGCTGCTGATAATTTATAGTTATCTTCGCCATATTTTTTTCTTCATATATTTGTTTTTTTTTTTTATATTATATAATATAATATATGTTTATGTAGTTCCAACTTATTAATTAATACTTGATGTTTCCATCATCATTTCTTGTTTTTCTCATCTTCTTTCAGTTTCTAGCTCTTTGATTCAGTGTAGCTCAAAAAATGCATTCAAATCAATGTTTCATCTTTTAACTGTCAACTTTTATCTTCTTTCGCATTTGTTGCATAGGATACATTCAATCATTACAATAATCATAGTTTTTTTTTAAATATTGTTTTCTTTTTTTTATTTATTTGTTTATTTATTTACTTTAAATTTTTTTATCCTTTTTAAATTTAATCCTCTTTCTGGGTCTGTCTACTTCATTGTAGTATTTTTTTAAAAAAAATAATTGATTTATCAAAGAAATCAGAGTACGGAATTCGCATCTTCTATATTTCATTTTCATTTTTTTTTTTGTCTCAAATCAAAACATAATTTTTTGGACTTTTATTTCGTATTATTTTTTGTGTTTTTTTACATACAATTGGAATTGGGATCTCTAGGACAAATAAAATGATTATTATTTCTTGCTTGCTTTTTGCTATTATAACGAAAAGAAAGCGTATGTTCGTATGTATTGATAGATATGGAGGCTTATGGAGGCCTAAAAGGAGAACATTTTGGTTGAGAAAATTGGTTTTGCATTTTCTTTTTCTTCTTCTTCTTCGTTTTTTTTTTTCAATGGAAAGAAACATAAAAAAATAAATGAAGAAATAAATAATAATAATAGTAATAATCAGTGTTAATGGTCGGTTAGATCATTGAATATGATTTTTTTTTCTTGCACGATAAAAGCATAAAACAACTAACTGACCCCATTTGTCTTGGTTACCGTGGCACATCTCTGACAATTTTCGAATTGACATTTTTCTGAAAACTGAAAAATGCACACATTCGCAGCATTCTGATAAGATTGTGCACGCGATATGTCCAATGGTCCAGTTTCGTTCGATTCAAAGCTTATCTCGTAATGGTTCTCGTCGGTCAATGACCTGAACTACAACCAAACACTGGTAATAATAAACCACAACATATACAATTCACAATATATATAATTTTTTAAATATTTTTTTCTGCTTTAGTGTGTTTTTTGTGTGTATGTGTAATTAATTATTTTTTTTAAGTTATTTTTTTTGTTTAATTCATTTTTTCTTATTTTTCTTTCTCTCATTATCTTTTGCTCAGTTTTTTCTTTCATTCTTTTTGCATGTTATTTGCGTAAATTTAATGTGTTAATCCTCTTTTAATACACTTTCTTTTTTAATTAAATTATATGTGTCTCCTGTACTATCAGCCGATGGATTTATTGAGCCGGCTGCTGAGGCGGCGGCAGCACTAGCGGCGCTTGTAGTATTAGTCTTTGTTATGGTTGAAGTGGTTGTGCTCGAAAATGGATTACTTGATGCAGATGTTGAGGTGTTCGTCGGAGATTGAATTGTATCGCTATTGGATGAATTCATCAGCATTCTATTTGTACGACTAATCTCCAGCTCATGCAATTTTTTCCATAATTCTTCGCGTTCGCGTTCTCGCTTCTTCTCTCTGTTTCGTTGAATTAACAAAAAAAAATGGTAGGAGGGAAAGAAATGAAATATTTGCTTATGTTGTGCTTGACATTTTTTTTTCTTATATAGATTTTTAAAATTAATTAAAGTTTTGATCATAAAATAATGGAATTTTCTTCAGTTTATCACTTACTTTTGTCGTTCAGCTTTGTAACTCGCGGTCAGCTCATCAAACAGCTTCGAATTCATTTCCATAAATGTTTTTAGGACATTGTAAACGAGCGCAACGATTGTTTGATTCCAATGTTCTTTGCTGATACGATACAGACCAGGAAACATAATTGGCATTATAACAGTATTATTTTCCTCAATAAGAGACATGGCATATTCATTATTCCAGAAGTACAGCGCTCTCTCTGCAACCTACGTGGGTAAAAACGGCATTGTTGAGATCAGTACCGAACAAATATGTCATCATCGGTAAGAAAGCCTACCTGAAAATGTGGACTGGAGACACATTTGGCGATTTGACGAAATAGTGGCTCTTGAATTTTCACAAATTGCGGTGGATCGATGACATCCAAAATTTCTTCTATTTCACCTAAAAACATTACTTCCTTTTGTGAACATGTCTTCGGCCAAAATTTCAAGAGACCACGCACGACTGGCTCAGTCAGAACGGCATCCTTCTCCAGAAATTGTACCACACAGTAAGCTAGCTGAGCATGATATAATGATAAACATTTCACTTTGTGAAGTGGCAACAGAACTTTGACCAGAAACTGCTTATGCTCCGCTTTTAGAGGTAATGCGAAACCGTTTATAATGCTGCAAAATTGAGGTCAACGATGAGCCAACAGACAAAAAATAAACAAAAAGAATAACGAAATAGATTGAGTTAAAAAAAAAAGTAACATGACATTCACAATGTGCACGGAATCGATTACATAACAAACAATGTATAAACAAATAAAGAAACAAAATCACACAAAATAGATAATGTGAGCGACGCTAATTACCTGCCCAGAATTTCCAACAGCTCACCGACTCCGTTGAAGTGTTCGGTTTCATAAATAAAGCGCAAAAATATGTTATTGATTTGTTTACGTATGAAAGCCCGAAGCCCCAAGAATTTTCCATAAATACGATGCAACACAGTTTTTAGGAAATCTCTTTCTCGTGGATCTTCTGAATCGAATAATTCCAACAGCTGTTGCACAAAAATTATGCGAAATAAACAGAGAGAAGAGAAAAGGCAAGCAAAAAGAGACAAATGAGCAATTGGAATACATTTCCATCAATGCATAAATTCAATTTGAAAGAATGTTCATAAGCTAATTACTTGTAGCACGAATTTTTGGTCGATCACTTTCTTTCCTATAGTTGCTTGAAAATCTTGTGACTCTAGAAATCGTAAAAACACTTCATAAACTAATTGCAAATGTGGCCAGGATGCTTCTAAAGTAGGATCATCTTCCTCTGGGTCAAAGTCCGGATTTTCACTCGGCGGTAATGTCCGAAACAGATTTAGCGATATCTTTTGATTTAAAAAAAGGGGAAATTAGTTACAAAACAATAAGATAGAAATGGCGACGAAATAGCATCAGCAGCAAATGCATTTCAATTTGAATAATAAAGCTAAACAATATTCGTACCATTCGAATGATTTCCGGATAAACAGCTTCTGTTAGTACACCTCGACCATGGGTAATGTAGGTGGATAGATCATTAAGTGCAGCACGTTTGATCTCTTTTCCCTTTAGATCTGACACTGGATCCATAAAATCAAACGAAACGCTGCATTGACGTAACTTCTTTATAAAAAGCTCCTCTTGATCCAAACTGGAACTGTCGGCTAAATAAAGAAAACCGGATTAGCGCACATCGAATAAAACAAACTTTTTTTTCCTTCTTCTCATTCTTGCTACACCAAATTGGCCTATTTAGCACAATGAAAAATATGCCATTTAAAATGACTAGATGAACTTTGATTGAAACTTTTTTTTCTCTCTCTGTCTGTCTCTTCGCTCTCGCGCGCGCTATCGTTTTAATTCTATTTTCAATTTCATTTCAATCAAAAGTTAAGGAAGGCTTAATGTTTTTGCATAATGTACATACCTTTTAGCTGCGGCAGCGGTTGCAGTTCTACATCCTGCGAGTTTCTGTACCTGGATGAGCCTTGCGACTTTTTACTTTTCTTTTTGAGTGATCGTTTAGCAAATGGGTCGATGCGATCAACAAATGTTCCCGATGCCATATTTATGCACTGAGATACTTGATAACCATTCAACAGCTCAATTTAATTATAATTTGTTGCTTGTTTGTGTATGTGTGTTTGTGTCCAGCACTTCTTAATCGTATTATGTTATTTTTACAGTGTTATTTTTTATTCTTTGAATCTGAGAAACAATATAGTATTTATGTTCGTAATTTGTGTAAATTGTATTATCGATAAGCTAAACGAGCAATCGAGCCTCTAACGTATTTTAATTCCTTTATTGTTGTTGTTGTTGTTGTTGTTTTTTATCTCAATTCGATTTTAAAAGGATTTAGTGCATGCATTTGCTTTCTGGTTTGTTGTTGTTACTATAGTTGCTTTTGCTTTTTTTTAAATTTAGTTTTTAATATAAAACTGAGTTTTTTGTTTGTATGTGTGTGTGTTTGTGTTACTATTCTATTTTGGATTTATTCCCAGGAGAGACGATGTATTAAATCGGTTAAAATGTGAATTTTTGAATTTCTTCTATGGTTGGTGTGTTTTATATTGTTTTTGTTGTTGTTTTCTTTTTTAATTTGTTGCCACACAATAGATAAGTGGTTTGATAAATATATTTAATTAGTACAAAAAAAGAATAGTTATGTGTGTGATTTATTCAATAATTAATAATAAAAAATAATATAGTTAAATAACAATAACACTAAAAATGCTTTAAACCTTGCGATTGTGAAACGATTTCCGAAATTTTTACACATTACGCGCGCGCGGATGCTATTTCATTTTATTTATTAACTGTCGCCCATTTGCTAGAAAATCCTTTTTTCTGTAAGAAGAAAAAAAAAACGAATTCTAATTAAAATCAAAATCAAACACATACAGCATCAGCATATAAATGATGCAATTAATATTAAACCGACTATCTAATTTTCATCAAAATATTTGGAGACGACAATTTTGTATGCGAACGCGAAATAGCCATTTCATTAGAATTGAGATTGGGTTTTATTTCTTCTCTCTCTCTCTCAATTTAATTTAAAAATTGCATTAACGAAAGTGCCATTGAATGAACGAATGATAAAAATGAACACGGTGAATTATATTTACAATGCACTTTCAAATATTCGGTTCTCTTGTGGATATTGCGGTATATATACAAGGTTATTGATCATTTTATGGTGTCATTAGACTCATTTTAAAAAAATTCGTTTTTATATATATTTAATCTCTCTATCTCGTTTGTTCGCTCTCATAATTTCATCTTTCCCGACAAACAGTTGTCATTGACTTCCACCGCACACAATCGTTAAAATGCCGAAACGAGTTTGCTAGAAAAACAATCGAATGTTTTGTATGTAGATTTTGCTTTGTTGAATTCAGAGCACCGAGTATAGATAAATGACAGAATGAGAGAAGTTTCTTGTTGTGTCTAAGATAAATATGAAATTCAAAAAAAAAAAAAAAAAATAGTCGAGAAATAAAAGTGAGAATCGTTGAATGTGCTGAGGTCTGATGGCTCTAAATGTATTTCGCTTCTTCATACATTTTTTTTTGCTCGTCTCATTCACTTTAAATACATGTATTATTTTTATTTTATTTCGGTGTTTTTTCCCTCGTCTCTTTTCTCTCTTTCTCTCGGTGTGTCATCGCTATATGCGAACAATCATTGACTGGCTTAGAATTTTCTTGCGATTGTATGCGAGTTATAATGTGAGAGAACGCATACACAAGAGTTCGTTCGGCTGGTTCAATATTGACGTAAGAATGGCCGTATCAAACTTGAATATGATCCACCGACGACGACGATGACAACGACAACTAATTAATGAACGACACAAAAATTGTCGATGAAATGTTTCATTTTTCAACTGAACAATTAAGCTAATATAACATTGGCAACAAGCAATCACTGTCGATATCATTTTGCAAGAGAGAGATGACATAGAATAAAACAACAGAACACACAAAAAAAAAATAATCAATTGAATGTCTTCAAATTAGAGACGAGCTCAAATAGCTAGTTCACCCATATACACACTAACATTGGCAAACAGTCACATCTTCACATGCAATACATTTTGGCTTTTTGTCTTCTCGATTTTCATTTCGTTTGATTTTCCGTTTTTTCCGAATGTGTTTTACAATAATGGCTTTATTTTTCTCGTTTTGTCTCTCTTTCTCTTTCTCTCTCTCTCTCTTTCTGTCGCACTCACTTCTCGATTCTTGTTTGAAAATGTTTTTCGTAATTGAATTCCACCGTAGTCTCAAACAATTTGATAGAATTGTTGCTAAATTTGCCGTTTGAATTGATTACCGAAACATGATGAATATATATATACATATATATATAAATCTCAAATGTTCAACTTTGCGACGACAAAAATCAACTAACTGTTCGATTTTTGTTCATGTTAATGCGAAGATATAATCGAAAAACACCAACACCAAATTTCAAACACTCGAGCTTTTTTATTTTTGATTTACAAAAAAAAACAGAGAACTATTAATAATTGTCATCAATCGTGTGTAATAGAACACGAAAAAAGAATATGGTGATACAATAGTGTAAATAGCCAAAATGGCGGCCACCCTCCTCAAACGAACGTACTCACTCAAACGCATACATCGATGGCACATATACACAAGTATACACACACCACACACTACACATGTATGTGTGTGTACACTTACACTTCTCAAAGAGCTCAGAATACTCACACAGACACGAAATTAAAATAGAATTCGCCTTGGCATTTTTCATTATCAACGTCAAATTCGAATAATCGTCAAAAATTCAAAAATCAAATTTTAACAATTCAATGTGAATTGTGAATATCAAAGCAATGTGATTTTCTTTTATATATATTAAAACACATTTTCCAATTCGATTTATGAATTAATCCATTCAAACAAACAAACGAAAAATACGTTGAGTGGTAAATTAAACACACAAAAAACGATGAAAAATCTTTTCCTATATCTATTTGGCTGCACCTGATGAAAGTTTGACATGACAGATATATATTCTACAATGGAGTTTGGCGATGGCTATAAATATAGATGTGAATTTGCTGAGTATATGTGTTATACTCCACTATCGCTGTGAAGCGATTTTCATGCGGCTGTATGGGAACTTTAACGTGTGTATGTATTTGCCCAAATGTGGACGAGCCACGGGCGAAGTGTTTAACGATGGCCAAGTGTTGACAATTGTTGGACTAGTATGGAGAACGTTTTTTTTTTGTCAAACAATATATTTACACAATCATTGGTGAAGAGGATATCGAACGAAACAGTTGCATCTTCAATTTTCTATTTGCATTCACTCGGAAATTGATTTTTTTTGCGCGCAAAAAGATAAACCGAAAGGAATACGTGTGACAATGATTAAAATGAGTGACATTGAAACAGAGATAAAATACGAAAAATTGGAGCCTAGAAAGTTATCGATATGAATAAAAAGAGTGATATTAAAATAAATAAAAGGATTTGAAAAATGAAATGAAAACCTCAGGCAGCTATCATCATATACATAAGTGATTTTTATAGTGATGGACACAATGGAAGGGTTTTTATAACCATAACAATCACTTCTATTGCTTCCCATCTGTTTTAGCGGCTGACGATGGATGCCCGAACTGTTTCATCTCGTTGAAAATATCTCAATACATTGTCTGGAAACAAGTTGTTGACCAAAATGAGAAAATATCCGATAGTCAAGATTTGATTTCGGTATTCAAAAATTTCAATTGAAAACGAAATGAAACCTATTCAAATTCTGGCAAAACAAAAAATTCAAATGCTTCAGAACCTCGGAGGCAGTTATTTTTTTAATATTTTATGATTTTAAGTCGTTGCTATCAAATTCGACATAAAAAAATGTGCTGGTAATGCTTTGATCGAAAATAAACTGCTGCCAAATGTCACCCAACTAGAAAGCATTAACCGATTTTTTTTCGCGCCGAATTCAAAAACTACGACTTGAAAATGCAATAAATTGAAGAAAAAACTGTGCCTAATTTCGATGCAAAAAGAAAATAATGAAAATGTAAAAACATTGTATGAAGATTTGACGAAATATTTATGTCTGATAGAAATTATTTTTTTTTTAAATAATATAAATGATCGACTATGAACATCTCTGTTTTTTCTTTGTATCTATTTGGCTGCACCTGATTAAAGTTTGACATGACATATAAATTCTACAATAGATTTTCGCGGTGACTATAAATATAGATGTGAATCTGCTGAGTATGTGTGTTATACTTCATATCGTTGTGAAGCGATTTCAATACGACTGTATGGGAATGTTTATGTGCGTATGTATTTGCCCAAATGTGGACGAGCCACGGGCGAAGTGTTTAACGATGGGCAAGTGTTGATAATCGGTGGGCCAGTATGGAGAACATTTTTGTCGAACATGCACGTATGCCATTACCGACGACCAAGGCTTATTCTTGCCTTTTTTCGACTTTTGGTTTTCTTCTCTCGACAAGTTTTTATTTTCATTTCTTTTTTAGCTTCAATTTTTCTCCTCACTTATTTTCTCTCTAGCGCGCACAATATTTTTTTTCCTTTGATTCATGTAATGCACGTGCCTGCCACTGAAATGAAATGTTTCATTATTCACTTGGTCGCATGGGTTCTCGGTACAAAAGATTACAGATTCAATGTATTTGATTAGAATCTAACAACTGAATGAACAAATATTGCGTTTTAATTTTGCTTCATTTTAATCATTTCTGTCATGCTATTGCTATGTCAAAATATTCAATTCAAACACTTTTGAATGTATCATACCATTTGGTTGTTTGCATTTCATTTGATTTTCGATGTTGCATTTATTTGAATTACTTTCCACATGATTTACACAAATCAATTTATCTATGGGGTGTGTATGTGTTAAATGTTTTAATTTTTGAATAGTAAACGTCGTCATCGAAGGCGACAAAAGTCAAATTCTCTCACGCCCAATTAAGCGAAACACAGTTCAATCGAAGAAATCTTCATATCTATATCCAAACGCACACAAACAATACTCACTGAGAGCAAGAGAGCGAGAGAGAGAGAGAGAGAGAGAGGGAAAGAGCAATGGCATGGACACCAATTTTCTGTGCACATACAATTTTCAACGCGACTGAGAGACATTCATGAAAAATGCCGTCGCTGAAGAGAGAACAAATCAACAAAAAAATAGAGAGAGACAGAGAGAAGAGAGCAATTCACGTAAAATAAACCGAATGGTTCAACTTCATTTGTAAAGAGAAAGAAAGAAATAAAGAAGAACACACCGACAATATCTTGCTGCAAACGCGTTTATATCGAAAAGCGATACATCCAAAGCCGTTCGGTGTTCGGCATTATAAATTGGAAAAGGCTATGGCATGAACAGAGAGTTAAAGAAACACTTCCTAAACAAGAATACGCGCTGCAAATGGAGTGTAAGCGTAATCCAATGTAAGAAAACTAGCTGAATAAAACAAAAATTGGGAATAGAAAAAGTTGTTCTATTCGACTGTAGAGTAGACAACAACACACATAGATATATACATATATTCTGTGCACTTGTGTGCGGATGCAGACGAGGATCGGCGATGGATTGAGTGAACGAAGAAAAAAAATATTTTTTTTCATATATGTGTATGTACTGAAGAATTTGTAAGACTCTCTCTCCCACACACTCTTTATCTCACTCAGAACGCGTCGCGTTCTCTCTTTCGTGTACTCTGTGTGGATGTAAGTTCCATGGTTTTTCCACACTTTTAACAAAATCAACATCTTCTACACTTGCAATGTATACTCGCGCACGTACAGCACATATAGCAGATATATAACACACTTTTTTTTTGTTTTTTCTTCCTCTTAAGTCCATACGTACTTGTTCTCATAGAACTTAATGGATAAATGATATTTGCTTAAACTCAAATTGCATTTCAGCCTAAAAATGATTTTAGCACGAATTTGATGAAAATCACACAAATCTCAGGCCTTATGTCATGACCGTTTTGACCAAATGAGAAAGAAAGAGAGGGAGAGAGCAAAAAAAAACGCACTTTGACTCACTGTTTTATCACACTAAACAATGTCAACGGAATTATACAATCCGATTTTTTATGTGCTTCTTCTTACGCTACGTTACTTCGATTTTTTTTCTTCATTGGTATGAAATTTTCATTCGGTTGAAAATGATATGCATGCGATCTCTTGTTGGGGCGATTTTGAAATTTCACGTTGTCGTTTTTATCTTATTACTTTTTTTCTTCTCTTTTCAGCTCAAGACATGACGAAATGTAGTAATTGCAGCAACAAAAACTTATACCAAAACCGAATGACATTATTTATTCGCGAATAGAATCAATGCTTATGGCGATTTTTTTTCTTCTTCTTTCATTTTATATATGCACACCTTTTTCACTGTTTAAAATCATTTTCGAAAAATTCACAGTCACATTCAACAAAACTTACTTGTCGTTTCTTGTGTAAATCAGCGTTCAAATGACAATGAATTAACAATATTAAACGAAAAGTCGGCAAAATGTAACAAAACTACTTTTTCTTAGTGTTTTTGAATTCCACAAATCAAACCGTAAATTATTCACAGGAATCACATACATTCTATAATTAAGAGATTTCAATTCAATACATGAATGTATTGCGAACGCTCGCAGTGTTTGCCGTTTTGTTCATGTATGCGTCGCTATGAGTTTCACATCAGATGACATATAAGAAGTAGATGATGAGAAAAAAAAATGTTGTACACTATGAAGTAGTAGTGTCTGTGTATAACATACAATATTTTTTTTTTTTGGTGTTATAACTGTTTGGTTTCCGAAAATGCCGCCGCTAGCAACACCTTTTGACACTACATACTACTCATCGAGAGAGATATGAAAGACATTTCAAAGACAAAAATTGCACACAAATATACATACATCCGCGCGTTATATTGTTATGTCAAAACGGCGCTGCTGTACGGTTTTCGCTCCAAACACAGTATATCCGTAATTTAACTATCGTCGTTCATAATAATCAATTGCCTGGAGGAATTTCATAAACATTTGTCGGTTAAGAGAATAAAGATTCACCCCATTTTTTTTTTTCAATATTTTATTTTTATGCTAAAACGCAAATTGGAAGAAAAACCTCGATTTTAAATCTCTTTAGAATTGTTTATTCGTTTCAACGAATTATTCGTTAGTAAATAAAATCTAGAAAATTGTCTAAAAAAAATTGTAAATGGAAACAACTTCACAACTTTATATGTCTGATGTAATAGTAAAAAATTTATAAAAAAGAAAACAATTATCGAAATAATTGTCGATCAATAGACCACTCATGCTTTAAAAAACGTCCATTTAACAATACTTATTGATGTAAACAGGGCCTTAAATGTGCTACATTTCTGTATAATCTTAGATGGTAGCATATTGGTGATTGGTTGGATGGAAGCTTCTGTTTTAGATGTTCTATCTATATCAATTTGACTCGGATATTTTGTTGAATTGGCAAATTGCTTCGTCGATTGAATGATTGTTTAGTATTTCTTTGATTGATTCATCATCAATGACCGTTGTGAATAGTAATTTAACATTTTCCCGTAGTAATTGTAGTTTGCTACCCGGTAAAATACAATTCGAACTATCGATAGGTGATTGGCCACATTGTTTTATAACCGCGCTTAAAACCTTTTCGATCGGTGTCTTTGGATAGCCAAATTTGGTGAGTACATCTTCGTCGACAATGGTTTTTAGCAATCGTGCAATATTTTCTTTCAATTCGGCTTCAGAAAATTGCATTGAATTCACAGTTGATTGGATTGGTTTTGCGTTGCATTCGTCGTCATCATTGAATTCATAGATTTCCAATACGGTTTCACCGGCCGTTTCGATTTCATAATTGGAATCAACAATTTTATCATCGGTGTCAGCACAAATGATTTTATACGTATTCGGCTTGGTCGGATCTTCTTTAATAATCTCAATCGTTTCATCGTCAATGGTTTTCTCCACGCTATAATTATACGATAGTAATTAACACATTGGTGGTTCACAAAATTAATGAATTTACAAAAAAAAAAAACTAAATGAAATCTTACAATGGATGTTTTGTTTGCATGTGCCGTTTAAAGGCACTTTCCATTTTAAATTCTTTTCCACAAATTTGGCATTTGTTTGGCTCTTCAATTTTATGGGTTTTTTCGTGAGCGACAAGCGTTGTTTTCAATGAATATGCCTTGTCACATACGGAACATTTGAAATCTGAATGTGTGAAAAAAAAATTGGCGAATATTATTTGGATGCATTAAAAAGCAAATGAATGATTGTGACTGTGTACCTTTTGATTTTTTATTTGACGATGATTTGGCATGAACGGTTAACATATGTGTTAACAGTCGATTCTTTCGATTGAATTTGCTGTCACATAGTTCGCATGTGAATCCATTTTCGCCCGTGTGATGGAACATATGTGATCTCAATTGTGTTGCCTGAATAAAACTCTTGCTGCAATAAGTGCACGCATAAGGTCGTTCACCGGTGTGCGTCTTATTGTGACGATTCAATGTTTCTTTGGCCGAAAAACTTTTTCCACACTATTGCAAAGAAAAAAAAAGAAACGAAATTTAAAAATGACAAATCAAATCAAAGTGAGATTCATGTTAACGAACCGTTTGGCATGTGTAAGGTTTTTCACCAGTATGAGATCGCCGATGCTTTCGTAAAGCACCATTTGATGGGAATGATTTATCACACAAATCACAACAGAATGGTTTTTCACCAGTATGCGTACGTATATGAATGCTGAAAAATCACACAAATAAAAGAAAAAAAAAAAACAATTCAATCAATTTCAATTTAGACACTCTTTGTACGAAGGAGAATAATATAAATACTTTAACAGTGATGAACCGTAGAATGATTTCTCGCAATGTGGACATTGATAGTCACGTTTACGCGTTGATTGTCCAATGTGAGCCCTGAGATGTTCACGTAAATTATCGGTACGGCTGAACAGTTTGCCGCACACATGACAAGCGGTCTCTTGTTTCTTTCGTGATTTATCGCAACTTGTGTACAATAGATGCCGATCCAAGTGATATTTTCGTGTAAAATCTTTGCCACAGAAATTACATGAAAATGGTTTGCCGGTGTCATGGCTCAATAAATGAGCATCGAGTATTTCGCTGTTCGGACATGTTGCGTTACAGTGTATACAAGCGTATTCTTTCAGCGGTGAATGCAACAAATACAAATGCCGCTCCAAACTGTGATGTGATTTGAATGATTTCGGACAAAAATTGCAGCTCACATGGCCGTACTGTAAACGGAAAACATACAGATTATGGTTTGGTCCTTATGTGAAATTAGTTAATACGTACATGAGCCGTTTCCTTTTCTTCGTTACAACAAATACAAATCGATTCGTACATCGGATCGTTCACATCAATCGTTGAGAAATCAAACTCCACGTCACATGTATTGTTTACCGCATTTTTTGGAAGATTTTTACATAAGTTTAAATGTCTTTTCAGCGCCTGGAAAAAAAAAATTTATTTGTTAAAAAATCATGATAAAATTTCGCGATGTAACTTACAGCGCTTGATGATAAAACTTTGGAGCACTTGGCACAAATGTGATGTAATGGAACTTTTTTCTTTTTTTCTGGAATTTTTATTGACATTGTCCCATCGGCATTTACGATCACCTCTTCCTCCTCTTCCTCTTCCTCTTCTTCCTCAGCATCATCGGGCATGTCGTCATCATCATCGTTAGCTACCCCAACATGATCGCCATCACCAATAATTTCTTCCACTTCGTTTTCAACTTTAAAGTATTCGATTTCATTTTTCTCATTCAATTTAACATTGATTGTTGACGTGGTTGCACGAGTACTTCGTCGCAGTCCACTCATTATGTGTCAAAATAAATTGCAACCAAACCACTTTAAATTATCTAAAAAAAAAACTATATACAAAATAGAATAAATCACAACAAAAAAAAAGTTGATAAACAAATTGTCCATTTAAAGTTCCTGAATATATACTATATCGATCATATTCGGTCAATGTTAAATTTTATGGTGATCAATGAACATATATCTACCTTGTTGAGATTGTACTTAATTATCATCAAATAACATTCGTTTTATTAAATAAATAAAAATATTTTGCTATTTTCTCACTTGGATTGCAAAATTTAAATATATTTTTATAAAATAGCTTTAAAAGCAATGCAACATTTTCATTATAAGTTAATTAAATTATCACAAGCAAAAAAAACGTAATGGCGTTTACTTTCTATTTTAATTTCGTTGACACATACAAATTCATGTCACACTGAATGATCTTCTTGATTCACTTGTTGCATTAAGTTTTGCTCTTTGAATTTGTGCGTCGATTATTTTACAGCAAAAATTTAAAACAAAGTATTTCAACGAAAAAACTCAGTTGATTCAATTTATTTTGAACGAAATGAACATAAACATCGAAAAAATACTACTGAATAAATTGACAATCGTCACTAGATTTAGGATCAATTTTAAACAATTCGCTCAATATCTACACATAGGCGCCTGTCACAACTACACTTCGTAAGTATTCGATCGTGGCGATTTTCGCCGCACTAGCGACAACATTTTTTTTTTGACATTTGTTTCAACAATTTTGAAATACACTTACACTTAACACACAAAACATTCATCTATCGTATTGAGAGAAAAAATTAGATATATGCTTGTGTCGGCAAACAAAAAGAATATCACTTAACATATATTGTGTTGCTATAAAAATAAATAACAAATAAAAAATCGAAACAATGAAACAGTCTAGTTCGTATGGAATATATACACGGTACCACAATTTTACTTTTTCTTATTTACATTATGGATTTGAAAGATCGTCTACACATTCGAAATTACGTATATATGCAGTGTGAACAGATCATTATGTTCAATGTAAACCATGGCCTTCTGTGATCGCATGAAAATCCACCTTTTTCATAAATTTATCGTAAGCATAAAAGATCCGATCATTTTTCTGAATTTTTTTTTTTTTTTTTTTTTTTTTTAATGTTCAACGAAATGTTCAAATCTTTTGACATATAAACAGTGTGATGGTATATGAAAAAGAAACTGGTCTTTTACATTGTCAAGTTCAGCTGTATGCCATTTGTGAGCCGTCATTGACTGATGCAATGGAATGGTGTCCAGAGGGCAGCATCGTCTATGTGTCTTAAATACACAGCTGTTTCAATTCAAATATTCAATTGATATCTTATCCTTATCACATAAAAAATCTTGGACCCTGTCAAATTCCATCCAATGTTTTTTGTTCGTCCACGTTCCGAATCAAATCAGCAAATAGACGTCTGATTATCAAACAACCGAACCCAACACGATTTATTGTTATTTGTGTTATTTGGTGTGTGGCGTTGACAGTGAATTGAAGAGCGTTCGCGCGAAAGGAGCGACTGAGCGATAGCGAGAAAGTGAGAGAGAGGCTTTGAATGACAGTAGTTTTGAAGAGTGTACTGTACGCACATATACTATATAAATATCAATATATGAATTAATTTGAAGCATCAAAATCATATGACAGTGTGTTAAAGTGTACAAAAAAATTTCAAGTTTCAAAAATAATCCCATATAAATAGAGTCAAGTGCTTGACAGTTCTTTTGCATTGATTTCGTGTAAATATTATATTTTGAGTGCATTGAGTGTACACATTTCGTTGTTTTTTTTCTACTTCATTTCATTTGGACAACTCCACCAAATGCCTGGTACAATTCAATATTTTTCATTTAGTTTTCGTGATTATTTACTGTAACTTAAATTATTGTTTTGCATTGTTTGCATGATTTGACGGTCAAATGTTTTTTTTTTCTTCTTCACTAACAACACTGTCAGTGCATCTGGAAATAATTATCTCATTGAAAATAGTGCTGTAATTTACAATTAAATTGGAAAATCTTTTTTTACGTTAGTACTGTGTGTGTTTGTGTGCGTTTCAAATTATCCTTAATCAATCGCATATTTTCCCTTCAATGAGACGATTGATTTCTATCTGTATAGTTGCTAGTGAAAACATTTTAACTGGCTAAAAAAAGAATCGCAGTGAAATATTCAAAGAGTTATGGACGAGAAATGTCAAGAAGTTATTTCATTTCAATTTGTTCATATTTGTTTGTTTGCATGCATTGTTTTGAACGTGCCGAAAAAGAAACATGAATGTGATTGTGAATTTTGAAAAATTTCCATTATTAAAAATATTATTAATTTATTTTTCTTTTTTTTCTTTTTTTCTTCATTTTACAATTGACGTGCACGCACCATTTCACTTTTGGCTTGAATTGTGTGTGTGTGTTTTTACTTTTACCATTTCTGACATCGTTTTATTGCGTGATACAGAGATAATTCATATTTAAATGGTGAGAGGTAAAAGTGCAGGCATATGTGGCGCTCATCGTCGTAGCTATGGAAAGCGATAATTTGTTCAACGAACGACAATCCATTCGGGACTCGGCTCGTCAACTGAAAAAATATGGAAGCACTTGTAATCACGTTCGGAATAATGAATATCTAATACGTCACAATCTACAACAAACTGATACATTGCAAGGAATTGCATTGAAATATGGATGTACGGTATGTATTAAGAGCGCGTGTAAATTGCCATTGAAAATCATTTGTACATTGTATACACGGCCACAGCTTAAATACATTGCGGTTTCAGGCACATGACGACAAATCAATTCAAAGCAATTGAAATAGATACTTTGTTTTTGTATTATGCTTGTCTTTTCGCTGCCGTCGTCGTTATCGTCGTTATTTTTCTTTTCTAACACACAGGCAGACACAACTCATTGACATTTGATAACGAATGCTCCGTTTGTATTTCAAATGGACAATCAATTTTGGCGTACACACATCATAATGAAATATCTTCGTTCATTAAAACCAGATAAGAGATTTTCAATGGAATCTTTCTTATCGAATAACTGGCTCAACTATTGACTTTATCAAATGTTATCGTTGTGACCTGCGGAAAATATTGATTTATAAATGTTGACATTACTAGTCTATGTTTACTTTGAATTTAACACATTTTTCGTCTTTCTTTCCGTGTGTTTTTTTTCGGTGTCGATGGTTCGATCGTATCACACACATACAGACAGAACAAATTCGACGGGTCAATCGTTTATTTGCTCAAGATAGTCTATTTCTGCGGCAATATCTAATGATACCAGTTGATCGTGACACATCACTTCAACACAATCAGATAATGAAATCTATGCCAGCAAATGCAAACAATGATTCGGAAACATCAACAGCATTTGCCGGCCAATCATCACACTTGGTTACAACAGCTGCATCGACAACAACTAGCAACTCAACCATAGCCAATTTAAATGATAATATACTTAGTCCAGAAGAGGAGAGTAAAAAATCGATCGAAGATTTTCTGGGTAAAATCGATTCGAACCTTGCAAAAACAAAGAAATATGTAAAAAATAGGTGAGTCACTGAGCACGATTTATTAGTGTCATCAATTTGTAAGTTTTTAATTTTTTCGAATTTTTTTGTTCGTTGCCGTTTTTTTTATTGCAGCCAAAGTAGCTTAGATAAATTAGCATCAATTGAAGATAATAATTTTCAAGAAAATACACACTCAGCAGCTGCATATGCGCTTTCATCATCATATCACAGTGGCGGTTATGGTGGGGCCGGTACAAGCAATGGCACTCAATTGGTCGTTACACACGGCAAACGAGTGAAAAGTTCATTACATCGATTAGAAGAGCAACAAGATGAATTCTATCAACTATAGTTTATTGGTCACCGCCATTCGTTCGGAAGATGATGAATAATTCCAAAAAATATATATATTGTAATGAAATTTATTGCCACACAAACAAACTACATCGCAAACCTCGTGATATTCTAGGTAACAAAATCCGAATTCGATCATGACCTATGAGCTGCAATCTTTTTTCAGTTAGAACGATTGAAATATATACAAAACAAAAACCCATATACACAAAACATACAATAAACCAATCAAAGTTCAAATAAAAATGTACCAAACTATAGGAACAAAGCAACTTGTAAATTTCAACCGAACTAATATTGCTAGCATTAAGTGCACCAAATAATTGAAAAAAAAAACACTACAAAATTCAAACACAAACACAAACCCAACGGATATATGATGAAGAGTTTTGCTCTGGAACAAAAAAAAAAAACCTAATGAGAGTGTTATGTATGGTGAATTAACACACCATCAGCTGTATAAATAACTGAAGAATAAAGATATAATCCAATATGTTGTTAACTTTAATTTATGTAATCTAATTAATTTACGATGTTATATGTGTAAATCGATAATAATCAAAACAAAATAATAATGATAAAAATACACAAAAGAAATGCTTCAAATCAATCTCAACATCAAGTTGATGTCGTTTTTTTTCTTTAATTCTTTTTATTCATCTTTTTACAATTCATTGGTAAAATTGTTTAAATTTATTATTAAAATCGCTTAAATTTATTGATAAAATAGAATCAAAGCAAAGATTCTTCATTTACTTTGAATTGAACGTTTGTGCCCCATTTGAACATTTTTCAAGTGTTTTTTACATTTCTCGTGCTTTTCAACATTCACAGCGGGAACTATTTGGTTACATGCCTTGCATGTGTTCTCCTTGGTGTGTAGTTCCAAATGATCTTTTAATGCTTTTTTGGTGGCCAGACGTTTTTCGCAAAAGACGCATTCATGCAGCTCAATGTGTTCTAATCGATGGTTATTCAATGATGACTTCGTTGAAAACATTTTATGGCAAAGTTTACAAGTGTATGGCGTGATTGAATAGAGTTTTTGTATTAAATCTTTGCATTTGCATTTTGATAAATCGCACAAAATCAATAGTTCCTTCGATGACAGAAAATATTTGATTGATATTTCTCGAACAGCTGCGCCGGTCGACTGAAAGTATTCATGCCAAAATTCCACAAAGTTACGATCATAATTTTTTATTGATCTATGATTACAGGTCATATTTGCCTGAAAAAAAAAATGCACACACACCATAAAAAATCGATTACAAAAAAAAGAAGACAACAAAAACGGCAGAAACAAAAAACAAAAATTACATTTGAATTCGGACGATGGTAAAAACGGCAATTCGAAACAGACGAATCGATGAACAATGCTGTCTCACAATTTGCCATTTACAAAATTGCAATAATTAGATATGCTGACGTCTCTCTCAGTCGCCGATGCTGTTTTTGTAACCGACGCATTTCCTTCGGTATTAATATTCATTTAGATGTAATAGATTATTAGTACAATTCGACGTCTAGTCGTTTTCGTTCGGTTTTATGGTCAATCATATATTTTTGGTCCCCGTTTCATACGAATGGCAAAAGTAAAAAGTTCATTTGTGCATTGCTTGCTTGAAGAAGTACAAAATCATTACAGCGATAACGGTTCAAAAAATGATGCGACAACGGCGACAATGCTTAGCTGAGTAAAGAAGTCTTTCTCTCTTTGCTCTTTTATCTACCATTCTAACCGTCTTCACTTCATATTCTCGCTCGCTTGCATACCATTTCAATTGTGTTGGTTATTTCTCTGTCGTTTCTCCAACAAAAAAAAAACGAAGTATACTAACAATACGTGTTCCAGTCTCAGTGGATTGATGATTAGTATAACGCTCTGCACACATAAAATGTAAACACACACACATCGACAAATCGTGTGTTTTGAAGCAGCAAGTGCCATGAATGCCGATCAACTCGATTTACCTACGCAGAGAAAAGAAATTCTTTCTCTTGCTCATACACATTCACGATCTCTTTCTCTCCATTTCTCTGTCTCCCTTTCTCTTTGGTTCTTCTTAGCCATTTGGTTTTGGTAAACGATCCAACGTTAAGAAGAATCGGTGAAACGTGCAACCAATCATTTTGTGTTTCGTACTATGTGTAATTGTGTGTTTCTTTTGTTTTGTCTCATTTACGCGTATCGTACAACGACACAGAAAAAATATATATAATATTCTCCTCGACGTTTTTATTCCGACTGTGTTTAGTTCGCTGAAAGAAAGCATCTAGACAAAACAAGCTGTTTAAACAATACTATTTGCCAAATTATATATATATATCTCAATGTTAAGGTGAATCAACAGAGTAACGATACAAGTACTTTTTAGTGTGTTTTTTTTGTTATTGTGTGTTGAATATTTATATACATTACATTTGTTGTACACGATCGAATCGTAAAATTTAATATACATTTGATCGTGAATCTAAATCGATTGTGGTGGGTGAATAAATTCCAGTTGGAAGAAGAGTTTGTGGTTAATCGAAGTAGCGTTGTTCACTCGGTCTGATGTGAAATCTGACGAAACGAAACAAAATATTTGTGAAATTCAGTGCAAATTATTCCAAAAATTGTTGCGATTACGACACAATTTGAGAACAACAAAATGAAAACGGAAACAGTACAAGAGCCGCAGAAAAATGGAAAGCCACAAAATTCCACCGAAAAGTAAGTAGATATAGGCCCGGCGAAAAAAAGAAAAGAAATTTAAAAAAAACCACGTCTCACAATATAATCAAATATCGCCTGCATTTGGCATGGATCTCCATAAGAAATCGAATAAAATAAAATGAGCACACCGCCGAATGACCTATTTTAACTTGTTGCTTTTTCGGATTCTTCCATGTGGTGCGCTTTATTGTCAGTGAAGAGAAATCTTCAAAACATAACACGATCAATGACAAACATGCAGTGGTTCTGCTTTGGTTGTTTCTACATCATTTTAAATTATATTCATTACATTTTGAATGAAACTATTCACTTTTAACATGTGTGGGGTTTTGCTTCTTTCTTTTAATTATTGTCGTTTGCAAAAGCTACATTAGCGTAACACAAAATTTTTTTTTGCAAAAAAAAAAAAAAAAAAAAAAAAACTCAAAATTCGTGACATCTATTTTACTTGTTCTAGTTTTACAACTGGTTTGAAGCGTTCTGGTTTGAAGCACGATTTTGTCGCTATATCTTTGGATAAATCAGTTTTCATGTAATTTATAGGAATGTTTGTTCGGCATTGGATGTTTAATATTAACGATTATGCCCTGTCTGAAATATGACCATCCAAAGGTTATCATTTTAAGTCAATAATATAAAATATCAATAATTTTTACCATCAATGCCATTCTTTAGACATGACGTGTACTTTAAATAGAATAAATTCGAGCCTGAATTGTTTACAATGTAAATACAAGTGCAAAATTAAAATATTATCGCTAAATATTTCCGATAAATTTTAAAATTAAATAAGATGCGTAAGAGATTCTTAAATGATAGCGATGCTCAAGTTATAGAACTTCATCATTATTTAAATCGTTTTTATACTTTTCAGTAGATTGCATGTCATTATTTTTCTACGAATTGTTTCTGATAAGTACACGTAGTTCGTGGTTTTTAGAACTTATTGAATAATTTATATTAACATTTGAAAACATTTTGATCTTTAATGTGTTGCTGAACATTTAGACTTCTATTTTGGTATTTTAGTTGTATACATTTGCAGCAACATTTTCATAGCCAAAAATACTATCTATATCAATAGTGAGGTTCTAATCTCCTGATCACGAATCAAAAAGTTCTTATATAAATATAATTTTAGTGTGTCAGTTTAACAATGAAAATGTTCCCTATTCTTACCATTTTCTGGTCAAAACAAAAATGAAGGAAAATCATTGCCATTACTTATCTAAAAACATAAACGACGAAAGTTTTAAAATTAAATTTTGAACTATCAAGTCAAATTTCAATATTAAAATGTATTTTATTGTATATTTTTTCTAGAATCTATCCGCAATTGCCGCCTCAAAAATCAATATTCATAACATATGTGCTATGGTTATTCGGCGGTTTCTTTGGCTTACATCATTTATATTTGGGAAATGATTTGCAAGCGTTTGTGTGGTGGGCAACGATCGGTGGCTATTTCGGCATTGCATGGATTGGTGAAATATTCAAAATACCGGAAATGGTACGAGATGCGAACGACGATCCGGCGTTCATTCAAAAATATGTGAATGTTCTGCGAGCCTACCCAAAGCCTCAGTTCTCAACATCACGCTTTCTGTTTGCTGTCATGGTGGGATACTTATGGGCGCAATTATTTTTACTAGCCATTCCCCAAGATAAATTTGGTGGAATTGATTGGAGCTATTTGCATTGGTTTGTGCCACTGGTTGGAGCTCTGGGTAAGTATACATTCTATAAAAAAAAATCGTTGGATCAACAAAGAAGAAGAATAACAACTACATTTAAATATATTTTTTAGGTATTTATATGGTTGGTAATATTGGGCGAGAGAAAGGTGTCCTATGGCATTGTTTACTTGCTGCATACGCTACCTATCCAATTCGTTACGTAATTTATGACGAATCATATTGGTTGACATTTACATTGGTTGGATCGGCGTTGGCATTCGATTACTTTAGCAAAGAATTTGATCGTGAACCGAGAAAACGTCGATCACTTAAAAAACGTTGTTTCTACTTGTCGGTGGGCATTTGCATATATCTATCGGTTTGGATTGCTTTTTTCTACTTTAATGGTAAAATTTCGGATGGTGACGGCGAAGAGATTCCAGTTCACGAGGCAATACATAACTTTTTCGCTTCATCATGGTGGACCGATGTGAAGCAAACGTTAAGCGATATCTATCAGTATGCACAACATCATGGCTGGTACGAAATTTATAAACAAATTATAGAATCTCTGGATGTGGATGGTGAGCAAAAGGCTTACAAGGTAAGATTTTGACGATTAATGACAGAGGGAAATTCAAAAACACATTTAATAATGATGGTGTATGTGACATTTATACAGGTGTTGGGAGTGCTACCGACCGCCAGCCAATCCGAAATAACAAGTGCATGGAGAGCACTATCGAAAGAGAATCATCCCGATAAGGTAAAAGAAGAGAGTAAAAAACGCGATGCTCAATTACGATTTATGGAAATTCAACAAGCCTACGAAGTGCTGAGCAAAATCAAGTCAAAACGACGACGAAAAAACAAAAAGTTTACCGAAGATTTGTAAATTTGTCTAATTACCCCAAATGTACTTGGTATTGATAGTTGTATTTTGTTAAGATCTGGTTAAGATCATTAGATTGATTTTTTTTATTAGTTACACATGAACATCAGCTGCATCAAATTTGAACTTTTATTATTTATAAATATTTAAAGAAAATATTTAAGAAAATTGGAATGCCAAAGGACGCATTAAATATTGTATTTACTTAAAATTTTGCTTTTTTATTTACATGCACAGTTATACAAAAAATGAAAAAGAAAAATGTTCATTTTCAGTAACCTAATATGACATTTAGTTTATTATTTCAAAATCTTCAAATTCATCATCGTACGTTACACCTCTTTCTAATTCCATTGCTTCCTTAACGACTGAAACTGTGTCATTTTCATCGATGTCTTCGATTTCATTTGTCAGACCTTCAAGTTCTTCCCCTCCAACATCTTCGTCCATGTGTTCGGTGCGTTTGTTTTTGTGATTTTTTCGCTCTTTCTTTAAATTCTCATCAAACTGGTTCATAAATGCGAGATAATTCACATAGTCGGCTGGTTTGTCGGTTGAAAATTGTTCATTAAAAAACGGAACGTTGAAAAATTCTGGAATCATAAATGGAAATAACCATCCGACCAGTGGTGTGGTGCCATTCACGTACGAGGCCTCACGGTGATAAAATAGAAATCCATCCAATTCGGGTTGATTGTTTGTCCAAATAGGCCATTTGGATAAAAATTCATTGAACTCCATTTCATCGCCACAATTGTATTTCTCAATTACTTGAAATGGATATTGGTTGCGAGCGGTGACCTGGTCCAGATTCGAATCACGAATTTGTGATTCAATCCAAAAAAATCGAAATTCCGCATCACAATCGGTCATCGCTTGGTTACCATATGCAAGAACGTCCAACACATAATATTTCTCCATATTTGGCACATAAATACAATCGAGAACTGTAAGTGATTGTTCTCTTTTGCGTCCATCGCCCGGTAAATCGGAACGAAATCGTTTCATGAACTTTCCATATTTGTTGAATACGCGTGTTGTTCCATCCACAGCAATGACCAAAACTCGGTTTCCCTTGGGGCATGGTTTTATGTACCATTTTTCAATGTCGTCTGGCACTTCTCGCAACCATTCGGACAGCATGTGCCGATTCTTGATTTTTGTGTATTTTTGTGTTGGATGATGTGTGTGCCTACTGCGATATAGCTTTTTCATCGGTTCAATGCTACGATGTTCATCCATCAGCTCATTTCGACGTTGTTTTTGCATTTCAAGCAATGCATGCCGCCGTTCCGATTGCCGATATTCTCGACTATGAATATCACGTGATTTATAGAGTTCAGCCGACATTTTTCAATTAATATACTGTAAAATCAAGGTGAATGATATTTTTATTGAATGTTGACACTTAGTCGAAAGAAAATTTCGAATGAATATTTACTCTGTTTAAAATCGATAACTTGTGCTCGTACGGTAAACAATTTCAATCGTAATTTGACAGCCACAAACCAAAAGTCAAAATTACTTATCAAGTATTTACATGCTTAAGTAATTTCAATACTCAACTGTACTTAAGTATATAAACACGAACTTAAAAAAAACACTCCAACTTTTTACGATTACAGTAATTATTTCGGAAGCAATTGAACAACTGCGTTACAGTTGCTTTTTTTTTTGTATTGTTTTTTTTTTTTTTTTTTTTTTTGAAGAAAATTTTACAAAAAATATATGTTACAATAAAATCAGATTTTAAGTTTGTATAAATGAATTTGAACTTATTCAGACACTTTATGCTACCGAGTCAGGTGAATTCTTTTTTTTAAAACATTTTCAACAATTTTCTTTGCATGATTTAAGTACATGGCACATGATTTTGAAATGTATATTCCAATCGATACCAAAATGCAATTGCAATGCAAATGTGGCGTGATGCATGGAAAAGGATGCGATGAGCGTTTTGAATTACAAAAAAAGAAGATATATATGGATTGTTTGGATTTACAAAATGACTTAAGTAGAAAAAGAAATAATAACCTATATTTAACAGATGATATTTGTTTTGTTCTTGAAAGCATAATTAGCCATTTATCACAATGGAAACAATTAATTAAAAATTACAATAACAATGAACTATATTACATAAATGTTGTTGCTATTCGAGTTTGGATCGACTAAAATATTTGCTTTGAACTTCGACGTGGCGGTAACGCTGGTGGCTTTGCATTCTCATTATTACCCAAACTGTATCGCTTTTCATATTTACGGATTAATTCCTGATTGTGTGGCGATGTCACTTCCAATTTTGGCACCTCCAATGGGCGTACAACGCTTTTATTGAGAAAACCATCGGATCGTGATAGCATCGTAAAACCTTTTTTTACACTTGACGAATCTTTAATATTGTTATTATTATTGTTTCGATTTTGATTATTCGATTTATCACGCGAAACAAAATTGAAAACTTTTGATATTTTTGATCGAATGCCTGCAAATTGTTATTGAAGAAGAAGAAATATTTAAACGGAGAAAGTATTGTTCGAATACAGAGAAAATGAATCGAATTTTGTTTTATACCTTTATCACTTTTTATCGGTGCAATATTCACTTTGGATATTGCTGGAACAGCTGAATTGGCACGTGCACGACCAATCACCGAATCACCAATGTCTTGATCTTTATTTGCCGTACTGGATTCTTTGTCCAAATTTCGGGTCCGTGACCATTTCTCAATCAGTTCGGCACATGAGTGTCTTCCACAAAATCGCGCCCATTGCTCGGCTCGCAATTGTCGCTTGTAATCAATTTCCACTGGTGATGAACCTATTCATATACAATCTTTTTTTAAATTTTCATTACGAAGAAAATATTGTTTGGATGTACAATTGATGAATAAAGTTCCTGAACGTTGTCCATGTCATATGAAATGTATTGGAATTGTTCATGTATGGAACAAAAATCGAATTACCAGCAAATAACAATGTTTTGGCACATCGAATGTGACCTTGAATGGCAGCTTTCATTAGGGGTGTAAAACCAAATATATTTTTTGCGTCCATATCAAGCTTACTCTGTAGTAGTAGCAATCGTATTGCACCTAAATGACCTAAATGTACAATATTTCCCAATTAAAATTTGTTTTCGCTTAAAATGCATTGTTCTACAAGATTATTAGCGAAATTAACGTGTGGCCAGAGCATTTTAAAATTCGATTGCTGTTTTTTTCTTCTAATTTTCCGTTCAATAATGTAACAAATGCACAATTACGTCAAGAGTTTTGCCAGTTGCGCATTCTTCGCATTAAATTATTATTCTAAAAGTCGATTATATCTATTACGTAAATTACGACTAGAGAGTGAGAACAAAAAATATGTTTGGAGCATTCTTAAAATAAACAAATCGCAAAGAATGTTTATAGTTCGATATTTTTTTTATGGCCACCAAAGCTATTTAAATCAATGCTTGGCGCATGAGAAGCACTTATAGAAAAAAAATACCAAAAATTTACCACATTCAGCCGAATAATGTAACGGTGAGTTTAGTTCATTGTCCGGTTTATTGATATCGATGCCAGGCACTTGGAGTAATGCTTCCAAAAATTGTGTTGTATTTGTTGAGCACATGTACGACAGTGCAGTCTAATTGAAACAAACAGGAAGAAAAAGTTACAGAAAAAAAGATATGAAAAATCTTAGATTTCTTTAGATTGTGCGAATATTTTCATAAAATCGTTCAATTCACGAGATAATGTGCTACTGTCACGCCCTATACGCAATTCACAATGAAATTGATGCAATAAAATTTCAATTGATTCCGACGTGGCTGGTCGCAACTGTTATTGTTTCTTTCACATATTTGCAGTTTGTTTGCCTATTCAATTCAGAAATCTGAAGGCATTTTAATTTGTACATTGTGTGCACAAAGCAAGGCTTGAATGTTTTACGAAGTCAAGAAAGTTGAATTATATGTCAATCAAACGACAATCAAAATCTCGTGCTATTTGTAAATCAGAATCGAATGAAATTGCGTGTCCAGGGTTGCGCATGCACAAAATGTTCAACAAAAACTCGATGTATTTTTATCTTTAATCTGCAAATGTCTCTCTCTCTTTCTCTCTCTCTCTCTCGTTCACTCCATAGTTACAACATAACATTGCCTACTGGAATTGGCGCCATCATGCGCACATTTAACCTCGTTTTGGAATTTTTCATATTGTTTATAAACACTTACTCGGCCACTGCAATCGGCAGCATTCAGTTCGTCGTCAGCAATTCCATTTCTTAGAATATTATCCAGTACATGACGCATTGTGTCTTCATCTTGGCTTCGTGCGGCGCGCAACAATGTCGTTACAAATGGTACTTTGTCTTTGCTCATTTTCGTTGATTTTGGCAGCGCATAAAATAATTCACTTCCACTTTTAATTCCACTGCTGGCGCTAAATGAATATTAAAATCAAAAAATTGCTTTTTGGATATATTAAAAATGCATTTCCATAGCGATCATCATAATATTGAATGTTCTACAAGCAATCGATTCCAAAAGCAGCAAACGACAAAGACAATAACACTTGTTTCGAAATACTCACAAAATAAACGGCATAAGCGATTACACATTTTTTAATAGATGAAATTAATATTTTGTAAATTTTATTTAAACAACCATTTAATCGAACGTATGATTAAATTATAATTATTTATTAACGCTTCAATTTCAATTAAGTCGATTGAACGCATTATATTATTCCCTATTCCGAACATTACGCAAAAAACAACAACAACACAAAACCTGTATGTATGTGGCGATGATGAGTTCGATTCGTGCACGATTCCGATAAATGAATTTACTTTTTGTTTTCTATAATTCACACAGAATCAAACACGACACAATCCATGGATCCATATTCGATGCATTTATATTTATATTTGCATTCAATTAACGTTGCAATTTAGAAACGTAATGAAATTGTGGTTTTTTGCGGTTGTCTCAGTTGTTGTGTTGTTATTCCTAAATTTTAGTGGCGATGATCAGTTATTATTAGGAACATACGTCAATAAACATTGACTACAATTGATGAGAGTAAACCCAAACCAAAAAGATTTTACATCTCATCGGACCGATTTAACAATAAAATGACGCTATTACATAAATTGAAAAACGATCTACTAGTTTAATGGCCATCAAATAGACCAAAAATAAAAACAATATACTCGAAACCTATACGAAATTTATAAATATACGGAAACCATGATCATGATTCATTCAAATTCGCACACACGTCAACTTTGTAATTTCAAAGATTAACGTAATTGATACTTCATCACGATCAAATTTTTTTTGCCAACAACCGATTGTGTTCTCTTTCGATCGTGTTTTTCTACAGAACTTTGACCTATTAACTTCAGGCTCTTGTTATTTCGATGAATCGAAGAAGCATGCGAACATACAATGGATTTAATTGATTTGATTGATTCGCCAGACAGAGAGAGAGAGAGAGAGAAACCTGGTCTATTTTGGTTAGCACGTTACAATCGGTGTTATCGTTTATTTTTATTTTTTTCTCTGCTGTGGCGAATTTTATTAGATATTTCGATGAAAACTGTTTTTTGACAGACATTTTTTGTTTATCCAAATAAATTAAACAATCATATTAATTCAAAATTAAAATCATTCGTATAGATAAGAAGAGGCGTTCTGTTTTTTTTCTTCTCTATTTCACGTCAATCGGCATTCGGTTAGATTTATCGATAGAAAATCAAAATTAGCAATAGATGTTCTTGTTATTTGTGTGTTTAGCTAGCATACAATGTTCGATTTCAATCACCCAGTGGCATTCGATCACCTCGTCGACTACTGTTTTATTATTTTATTTTATATTTTTTCTATTTTTGTTGGCATGTACAGGATTGAGCTCGCTCACAAAACATGCTCGCTCGCACAAGAAACCGTGAAATAATTCAAATTATTTATTATTTTTGTTTCTGTGGAGTAATCATTGAACATATAGCACGCACAACGCTGTTGTTGTCGTCGTCGTTGTTGCACACACAAAATATTGTATTGTGTACACAGCGATTCGCATTCAGCAATTTGCCATGTGCATATTGATTTATATTTCAGTGAGGTTTGTGTCGATTTTGCATTCTCATTGGTATGCATAAACCCCTTTTATTGATGTGGCGAGTGAGAGAAGAGTACAGAAACAAAAAAATAAAATAAAACGAAGTGCTTTTCACCACACGCGCGAAATAGTCATCACACTGTCATACATCGAATGCATATTAAATTCGAATAGAGTCGGCGATGCCATAAGAGTTATTGCATACTGTGATCAATTGTCGGTGAACAACATGTGTTTGGTGGTGTTTCTGTTAATTTCGCTTTTCATTTGTTTGCTTCTTTTAATCACATTAATACAAATTACAAATGTGTGTATTATTCGGTTGAATTGCGAAACCTTCAACTTTACTTCCGTCATCAAATCTCTACGTGCCCGTATTATTAAGGACTGCCGTTTATTATTGTTTTGATTTTCCTCCATCGATATCAATGAAATATACATGGCACACCACATAATTGGCTACGAATGTAATTTTTTTTTGTCATAATTTTAATGAAAAGAGAAACTTCTTTGCAAAATATCTTATAAATTGTTTTCAAATCGGGAGCAAAATGCGTGTTGGAAATTTAAAATTACCGATCGATAACAAATCCGATATCGATACCCGATGAGTTAAGCACACGAAAAGTAAATTATGAAATGTTGACCGGAAAATCAACACCAGCACCAATACAAGAATACTTTTTAAGGAAAATAAACAAATCACACTGGGGAGAATCTGTAAATGTTGAACATGAAAACAACAATAATAATAGAAAAAAAAAGAAACAACAAGTAAAACACAGAAAACAAAAATCACTCGTACCGATAAATATCATACTGTTCAAATCGATTGCGTGATTAATTTTCTTTGACGCTGCGCAATTAAAATACAGTAAAATTGAAAATAGTAAAAATAAATTAAATTCTCATGGTTTTATGCTTATTGTACTGAAGGGGGGGAGGCTTTTCAGTAAAATATTGAGTTAACAACACAATACATAGAAATCAAATGCTCGACCGATCGTGTGCATTCTCACAAGAACTCCTTTGAAATCATCATCATCCGTGCGACGATGGTGTGTACATACTTTTTTTTTTATTTAAATGTGTCTGTTAACTGCCAAATGATTCTTCGAATATACAACGGATACAGTCGCGGATGCATAGTTGCGTCGATCGTGCATGGAACAATTGCAGGAAAAATTACTGATTTACAGTTAATTATGAAGCTATTTCTAGAAATACATGCCGTCCGAATCATGAAGTGTCAAAACAAAAATTTACTCTTTTTTTGCGGAAAATGTATACTCATTTCTTTTTGTTGAACAACTATTCGAACACTTTACATTTGGTGTGTTCAATCGTCTCATATCTGTTATTAATTTGGTAAAATATACATCAATTTGTATAAACAATAAAAAAATGGTATTTAACGGGAAATTACGTATTGTTTCACTAGCATTGCCTTTTAAAATGTGAGCAACATTTTATTTCATTCGAAATTACGTTCATTTTCTTTCTGTGCTATTCAAATCTGTTTTCAATCATTGGCGCTTACAATTTATTTCGGTTTGATTAGTTTCAGTAGTTAATTTTCCATGAATTTCAAGCCAACATTCGTTTGAATTGGATTAATTTGCACTTGGGATGTTTCTTTGGCCCACCCCACATCTGTCATCACTTTGAAATTCAATTATATTTTTTTATTATTTTGGCTATTTCTGTTGTGCGGTTCAATGAAAGAACCACATTGAGATTTTAAAACAATATGGGCACAATGGTTGATCTTTTATCAAAACTCACATTTTACACGGAAATATTGTCGATTTTTTTATTGGCCGAATAACAAACAAAAAAATGAGAGATGTATTTCATTACCGCATATCCGTCGAAAATTGGACCACAACGAAATCACAATAAGTTTAAGAAGACGAAGAAAAAAAAACCAGCGAAATGAAATGCGATTTGTTGTCAACATCACTTAACATTTCATTCGATATTATTTAAGTCAATTGCGTTGATGCAAGCAAATGGATTGAAATTCAGACCGAACAGATGAATTGATACAATGTCATTGTGAGTGACAAAAAGATTTTATACTTTACTTGTGTATGAATTTTTCAAATAGACAGATAACGGCAAATTCTATCTCTATCTCATGCATTTCGATGCTCAGTCGTTACCGAAATTGATGCAAAACACCATTCGACGAACTGAGATAAATCGTTGCGGTGATGTTGTTGCTGTAGTCCATTTCTCCTTGCATTGTGTTGATACAATGTCATTATTTAAACCGAACCGCAACAAATAAATTGACCATTTTTCTTGTCAACAATTGTCAAGAAGAATTTGAACACTTTTAACCACTTTAAAATCGGGTGTGAGTGTATGTATTCATACAACGTTTGATCATATCTTTACGCGTTGGAAACAATTGAAAGAGAACATATATATGAATAAAACAAATAAAAAACAGAAAATCGGCAGACAATTAATATTTTTACCTCGCGTAAATTTACTAAAAAAACATAAATAAATCCGCTTCGTTTCATTTGTTGTGTTTGCTTAAATTAATTTCAATTTGCGGAGGCAAGTATCTAAATTTATACAGCGTTTACTTAAAGGTTTGTGTGTTGTTTTTTTTTATTGCTTGCCATTGTTTTTATATCCTTAATTTCGGTGCAAACTGAAAATTATTTCCATTGACTTGTCTTGTGTTTGCCCAATTCTACGTTCCGCCCGTTATTTACTCTGTCTCGTATTTTGCAATGGCTTTTTATTGTGTCTCTTATTTGTTTGCTCTTTTTTTGGAATCAATTACATTTTTCCGTATATACAAACACATTTTCGGATAATTATAACGATAAATTAAACCATATATTAAAAATGAAAACAATGTAATAAATAAAAATCACATTCGTAAATTCGGTATCTTTTTAAAAATTAAAAAAAAGCATCAAATTCTGAACAAATGCAACTAAAACATGCTCATAATACAAAACCAAAAACGAAATGTTCAAATAACAAACTCAAGCAAGAGATTTCAACTCACATTTTCACATCTAATTTTTTTAAAGTGCAAAATTCGACTGAGTTGCCGAACTCGCGTATCGATACATTATCACTGTTGGACATTGAATGTGTCGTTGGCTGCCATCTGTGTGTCAATTGAAGTATTTCGCTCAATTGTTTGCCGGTGCACTGGTGTTCAAGCTCATTCGGATTAATGCTTAAAGCATTTCGAACAATTGATAAAGCACGTTCATCAAAGTCGTTTGCAAACGGTTGTGATTCCTCGGAATTATTTACTTGGCATCGCTTTCGTCGCATTGATTTTATTGGAAAAAGCTTATAGCTAAATTTTTCGAATGGATTTTGTTTGAAATTGAATTTGTGTGCGGTTTTTTTGTGTTGCGGTTGTTTTGTCGGCAATTCCAGTGTATTTGATGTGGATGATCGTTTTACGTTTGATTTATTTATCAAAGATTGACTTCGAGATCGTTTAAAGTAATTTGTTGGACCCATTAAAATTGATGTGTATCTTCGTATTTTATTTTTGCGAAATGTTATTCGATTGGCCTCTTGATTTTCGGCGCTTACATGCAGCAGTATGCCACGACGATTCACTGCATTATCCCAGTATTGATGATCGATAGAACAGTTTTTTCGTGCACTTTTCGCCGATGCATCGTTTGTAAACTGATTTCGAAACGTGATGGGCTTTGATTCAAACGGTTCTTTTTTTGGTGTGAATACACTCATCGATGTCATCGATGGAGGCGGTGACTTTGTTGTACTTCCATTGCTGTTCGGCATCATCCTTCCATAGTCAGTTGTCGAAAAGTTCAACGTTCCATTCACATAGTTTGCTGTTCCATGCACCTTTTTCACATCCTTTTTTGTTGTAATTAAAAACTTATTCGGATGTTGATCAAACTTGTCGAATTGTTTGTGATTGACAGTGTTCCATTTCGCACTGTCATCGGTATTGAGTCCCAATGTGGTTGGCAATTCAAAGCGAACTTTTCGCACATTTCGTTTTACCTTCGAATTGTCGGATTTTTTCGACATATTCCTCACTCTCTCCTTTTATTGCTCCCTTTTTCTTAATCTCACGTCTGCTCACCCTCTCACCTTGCCTTCTGCTTCGATCAAAACAAAAACAAATAATTTCTTGGAAATTTTAAATGATTTCGTTTTCATTTGATCTTATCAACAGGTTATTTGTGACCCAAATCGGTTTAGGCCTTTGTTTCTCTTCTGTTCGGTATTTTCGGTATGTCATATATTATCCATTTCCTATAAAAGTTCTGTCGGTGTTCTGTGTGTGTTTTATGTTAATATATAATTCATACGAGCGCCGTGTACGATGTGCAAATTGTCTACAAAGCAATAAAATGCAAGTGTCAAAAATATGAACATTTCTCTAATTTAGAATAGTCACGAAAGGTTGTACAGGCATTTATAGCACCCATTTTCATTTTCGTTCCCGAATTGTTATTGCATGCCAAACCAACTTTCTTTTCTATTGTCAAAATATTATCGGAATATCAAATTAATTTTAAGCGCCGCCCGATTATTGCAGGTGCGACGAAGTGAAAAAGTTTTCGAAATGATTTTTTGTTAGTTTTATTTTTTGCTGTGAAAGTGAATAGACAGCGGTTCGATTGACTGACACTGCAAAACAATTCAATAATATTCGAAATTAACGTATGCATATCAACACGAACAAGTGGCATGGAAAAAAATGATGTCTTAAATTGATTATTGCTTTTTGCGCCAAATACTGACATTTCGTTGCTGTTTGTTCATTTCACAGCAGAGTGCTTTTGTTAGACATCAATTTGATTTATATTCAACGTAGAAGAATACGAAGATTTTTGTATCTGCTACAGTCAGCTCTACAGAATGGGACATTTTCATGGATTAACAAATGCATGCAATATTCATAATTTCTGCATTGAATTCAATTCCAATATTGGTGATAACTATAATTGAATGGAGTTTGACATGGTTGGCTCTAGCTTCTTCTAATATTTCTCTTATTTTACATGGCCTAGTTTTCCCTAGTTTATTCTAGTATCGAGCGTGAACATGATTTCATTTTATGATGTGGTGTGGGGGTCGAAAAGTAGTAAAACTGCCCTCTTATAAAAAAAAATTGTAAATGGAAACCACTATCGTTTACGCCAATCCAAAACAAATGGAAAGAAAGATGTTTTGTTTTTTGCATGCAAACCACACTCAGTCAGTAAATTAGCAGTTACTTTGAATATTTTAGCAAAGTTATTTTTTCACAATCGATGTATTGTCCATAGCGAAGTGCTGTAGTAACGTCACAGCGTCTGCACCTTATAGTGTTTGTCATATTATTAGAAAAATATCGTTCACTGTTTTTGTTTCAATGATAAATGGTCATAAAATAAAAAGAATCTGACACCTTTTTTGGTAAATTGGAAATTATTAGCGAAGAATTAGACAAATTTGTGCTGGCTGTCTGATTAGAGTATGTCTGATTGATTTGTTTTGTTTGTTTGTTTGTTTGTAGTGCATTCAAGAATTGCTGCACATCTACAACTTTCAATTGTATAAATTACACCTATAAATGTAAAGAGCTTCGTAGAACAAACGAAGGTCAATCAATATGTTTATTTACACTCTTTCCCATAGTATCGTAGTGATAAAGCAAAGTTATAAATCACGATTTTGAGATTAGGATGGTATAAAACAAGAGGAGAAAATAGAATTGAAAAAAAAAAAAAACAAGAATGGCTCAATAGGCGCCAATAATTACGTGCCATTGGCCACTACCACAGGATTTTTCATATTCAATTGGTACGTGCCAGCTTGTATCAGGTGAGAAATGCCTGCCAATACTCAAATAAAATGGAACAATCGATTTTCACACAATGTAAAAGAAGAGGTGTTAAGGTGGTGCCTCCTTTTATGTCTATTATAAACAACAACAAAAAATTGTTTATGCTATTATTAAGAGTACATATAACACTTCTCGCACACATACGGCATGACGCACTTGTGCCGATGTGCATTTTAAGGTAATTCGAACAATTGGATCTCTCTCTCTCTGAATGGAAAAAAACACACATCAACGCGCTATGCTATTTGTTTGCTCAAATTCCACATGTACACACATTGAATGAAAATAAACAAACGAAAATGTTTAGTAGACTCGGTGTGCAAAATAAAAAAACTGTGAAATTTGCTTCAAATTTTCCGAGTCTTTGAAATCACAATGCAAGTGTGAATGAGGTAAAAAACATTCGAAAACACCTAAATTGAACGAAAACAAAAAATCAACTGAAAATTCTGTGTTCCGTTTTATGTGTGTCATTCATAGTTCAAAAAAAAAAAAAAAAAAAAATTTGAACAACAAAAAAATAAATAATATAATAATAATCCTTCGGTGTTTAGTTTAGTTGAGAGAGAGCGAGAGATATTGTCGTATATTTTATTGGTTGGTGTGAATTTAAAGACGGCACAACCAAATGAACTAATTATAGACGATGATATTTTCTGATAAAGTTTTTCCTTCTGGTATATAACACGAACAAACGTTATTAAACGCATCACGAGTAACAATATGAATCTTGTTCTTCTTCTTCTGTTGAATCGATGTGTGTTGAATATTTGTGCACTTTTATCGTCGCCAATTTTTGAGCTTTTTTGTCGCCACAAAATGCGGTGTCTCTCAAATTATCAAAACCGTTTAAAAGAATGAATTTATCACGATTCACATAAACAAGATTTATTAAAATCATATGACTGCAACCACACAATATTTACCATACAATCGTCTTCTTTTTTTTATTCGCGAACAAATTAACCAAACATCATGACAATCAGTTGTATGTAAACGGCTGTTTTGATAAGAAAAAGCAGTTTTTTCTTGTCATCTTATCTATTTTCCACATGATTATAAATTCATCACTTTAATTTACTGAATACATACGAAAGACAGGTGCTACACACATGGACACTGATTTGATTCACGTTCGATATGTATACGTGTAACGTAGTATAACATTCAAAATTGATAGCGATAACAGATATTTTTCGCTAACAAAAACTAAACACACATCGTGATATATCAATGAAAATGAATAGCCGAGGATAAGTGGAAATACAACAACAATTTAAGCAGTTTTATTTACTCGCTATCGTATTTCAAATGATGATTTTTCAGTCGTTTTTTTTTTCAAATTTTAAATTTAAACATATACTATATAATATAGAGTTTATTAAGAAAGAACAGCGTTTTGACGCGGGTCTATGATTCGTTGTCGTCGTCGTTGTTGTCGTCGTTATGCCAAGGTATGAACGGGAAAATACGTTTACTCCGAATGAAATGGAAAATAGAACTGGGCCCGATGGAAACACAAATCTATTGAGATATGTGTGAAAAATTATATATTGTTTTCACTTTGGGAAAATCAGCAGTAACAGAGCACCGTGTGTATAGCAATGTGCGGTGTTTATTCACCGAACGCCTGAGAAAATGGCAAATACTTAATTGCCACATCGTGAAGTGATCATATATGATCTTTCAAGTCGGTCTTTTGGACTGCATTTACAAGTGGACACACAGTAAAATGCCTTTTTCTTTCAAAGATAGAGCAATCAGCGACCGAGAGTTTCTTTTATTTCACATTGACGGATGCATTTTGGCACGCACAATTCTCTCATTGAGTGTGCTACATTTGTGACGTCAACATTTTGACTTTTCGAAAAGCGTGTTCCTATTTTAAATCGCGTCTCTCTTTCATCGCAAGCACATCGGGATGAATGAAAACGAATGTGACACACACACACACAAACAAACAAACGAATGAAAGATCAGAAAAAAAACTATTTCCGTTTGCAGATGTTCTACGTATTTTAAGTGATTATTTGTAGAAACCTGTTGAAAGGACCTCGTCCATTTAATTATTCTATTTGCAAGCATCGTTTAGTGTTCGCACAAAAATAATACAAAAAAAAGCACATGTGAATTGCTACCAAAGCGAGGTCATTACTAAATTAATATTTACATAGTATATTTGTTTAAATTCAAATGAACAGCGGCATCGATTGTCACTTGATTTAAAAATAACGAGAGAATCCATATCAACTCAAAACACACAAATCACTTAAAAGTGAAAAGTGTGTTTGAGCGTGTTTTGATGCGCAAAACAAAACAAAAACAACTCATCATATGATATGATTAGCGATGAATTTTGGTCGATTTTTCATATTTAAATTCGTTGATTCGAATCAACAAAAATTCAATCGATTCCGATCGAATCAAAATGCAAACAAAAATGACGTGCTAAGTGAACAATCACAATAATTCCTCCTAATTGTATCTTGATTTACACATGATATTCATAGAATTGAAGCCAAAAATAACATACTATATTTTTATACATCAGAAAATATAAATCATATGTCCAAATTGGAAACGAACAATTTACAAAATTCAAACAAAAATATACATTTTTCAGGTTTAACTTATTATATGTATCTATCTTTGTTTTTCATAACCCCTTTCTACCGGTTGGCTGTGGACTTTGACTTTGTTCTAAATGTAAATTAAGAGAGAACCACAAACAAACCGAATCATGACCGAATGGGTGTAAGGCAGGAGGGAGCAGGCATCACGAGCTGGTACAACGAACTACAAGTCTTGAATCGATCACCATCCATGTGTTTTATATCTTCGCATGTGATGTGATATGATTTTTATACATTCGCAAAGATTTTATGAGTTTTTTTAATGGTTCTTTTTTTTTGTTCTTTGAGCGAGGGGATAGACATGAATTATAAAACTTTGAATCACACTGAGTCAAATGAATCATCCAAATGTCAAATAAGCATCATTTATGGTTTTACCAACATGATCGTTCAACAAATTCTAAATTCTAATTTTATTTGGAATTTACCAGAAAAACACGTAATAGAAAAAATGATGAGTTTAAGAAAACGTCAAGAAAATATTTTTTTCGAAGACAAATAATTTTAATTGTTCAATTAATATTTCTTGTGTTTCATAAATGACATTTTAAATGTCATCTAAACAATCTGAATCTTTTAAATCAGATGAATCATGTCTACCCCCTAGTCTTCGGAAAATATGAATTCGCGTGTGGCTCATATATATATACTCAAATGAAGTGAACAAAAGGATATGCAAATACGCAATATAGTATTTAAAACAAAAAAATTCAAACGAAACAAGAACTTAATAGGTCGTAAGGCATCGTTTTGATCAAGTGTATCGACCTTTTTCACTGCCTATCTCTCATCGCCTTTTGTTCACATCGAAATAGCTTCCATCGTTGAATTCTCCTTCATCGCCTGGCAATTTATTTTATCTTAATTTTTATTGTTTACAGTTACCAAATTTCGAACATTTTCCACATGATAAAGAGTATTCAGTATTCACATCACGAAATTTACGGAAATTTCGGAATGTACGCATGAAATTTATAGATCGACAAAAGAATTCGAAACTGTCGACAATGAATTGAATCAGGGAAGTTCAAATTCATGAGGTCTAATTGCATTGTGTACATTACAAATGGTGATTGAATTCGTGTTTGTGGAAATTCCCTTTCCTCAATCAAATCGATACAGTTTCAATGTGAAACAATTTCTTGTTGCTAAATCATCATTTGCACGGAAGTATTCTCCGCTCCTAAATAAAAAAAGGCAAAAAAACGTTTGTTAAATGCGAAAAAAAATGTAAATAATAAATGAGTGACGGTAATAAAGTATGCGCATTATGATTCAATTGATTTGTGGCTTTATAACTTTTCAACAAATCATTTTGTGTGTGTGATGTGTGGAGAGAATAGTAGCGTGTCCAATGGATGACATGTGCTATTTGCGTCATACATTTGGCATACACCTGAACAGCCCAATTCTAATGAAATTGATGTGTGAAAATCCCTGTCAAGTTTACGTTCTCAAACAATACAGCAATAACAGCAGATTTAAATCGAATCGAAGTAAGCGAGAATGTAAAAAGGACGTATCAATACAAACAGTAGATCATGTGATCTATTCAATATTAATGGAGACGATAATGACGACAAATTGTATTCGGACAATAAAATTAAGGTAAAATTACGTCGGTTGCTTCTGGTCGGCATAATGAGACAAGATGAATGCCTCATTTTGAACAAAATACCCATTTAAATGCATTTACTTTAATATTCAATGGTTACAATCAATTCGAATGGAACTGTCTTTGGAATTTCGTCGAATTGCTCATTTAATTGAACGTATCAAACCAATCAATTGTTCAAAAATGAAAATTCGACGAAAAATGCATAACCTTCTCCAAACAACCGTTTTCTTTTTACGTAAAATGTATGAAGCACAATACTTTATCGAGAAAAGGTGCAACACAAAATATACTGTTTAGTAATTGAAGCATTTTTAACAGTATATAAATTTCCAGAAAGCCAAATTAAAACAAGTGATGGTGACACGTCCAAAACTGACAATAGATAGAATGTAGGTGGTAAAGGATTTAATTTCTCTCGATAGTGACCAGACACACCTTGCTGTCGTCCATTATCAATGTAATTGCCCGTAAATTGCAAAAGCGGAACGTGTGCTATACGTATTTTTCGATTGATTTGAACAGAGCATAGTATACTGAACTGTAAAGAGAAAGAAAAAAAGATTTTAAAAAAGTCATTGTGATACGGTCTGTATAACCTGCGTTACTGAACCTGTATTTGAAGAACTGCGCCTTGATTACGTATTTCAATTTTCGTGCGGCGAAACATTATCGCGGTCTATCAATATTTACTTCTAATATTTCGTTCTTTTCTTCCTGCCTCTTCTTCTCCTTTGTGCAATGGCGTTTTTTCTGTCTTGCTAGTATATGATTTGTTTACGTTTGTTATTCAGTGTGGCCAGACAGTTTTTGCTAAAATTAATTTGAACCGTCGTTGATAAAAAAATATATACAAGAAGAGAGCTTGACTTTAATGCCACTTACACTAATTTCTATTGATTAAGTCATCATCTGGAATGAATAATTAAATTTAATTATTTGTTTATTTATTTTTTCGACCACATTGGATGACCTTGAGAGAATTCACATTACCATCGCTATTTGGTTTGAATGCAATTGAATCTTTCGACCTCTTCTTATCATTTAAACCGTTTTACATGTTTAAATCAGCCCATTCATTTTGCTGAGCGCGTAAAAATAAACAGAAATTGCCAAAAAAATGTTCGAAACATTTATCTAAAGATTAAGCACTTGAGAGAGAGAGAGAGAGAGAGAGAGAGAGAGAGAGAGAGAGAGAGAGAGAGA